TGTTGGTTCAGGGTTTTGAGGTACTGCCGAAAGCCTTAGCAGGAGCAGAATCGCGGGAAAGTTGTACTCAAAAACGCGGCACTTTTACGGCGCGAGATGTATACATCTAGCCCGTACATCTTTCCCATGATTTCCGTACATCTCAAAAAAGTGGAATTTTGGGAACCTACTATGAATCGCCCCGGTGTAAGTACATCCCAAGAGTACATCTTTCCCGTGATTTACGTATAAGATATATATCCCGAGATATATATCTCAGACGTATACATCTCGCCCGTACATCTTTGCCATGATTTGCGTACATCTCAAGCCGTAAGTTCACTCCTGTTTAGCATTCAAGATAAGTTTTGGTTTATAATATGGATAATTATAGTATCGCGAGGTATATATCTCAGACGTATACATCTCACCCGTACATCTCTGCCATGATTTGCGTACATCTCAAGCCGTAAGTTCACTCCTGTTTAGCATTCAAAATACGTTTTGGTTTATAATATAGATATTTATAGTATAAACAAGAAGAACAACATCAACATAGCGATAGATATGGTTGTTTTCCGACTACACTGTAAGATGGAAGAAGGTCCCACAGTATTTTTCCCTTCATCGCCATGATGCATTCGACTGTTTTGTTGCAATCGTTTATGACGTGGACGACCCAGAACGCGTGCGAGGCGCCTTCTTTCTCTCAAAGTGGTTCCTTCTAGATGCAGGTCGGCTATCGACAGCCAGAGTAGGTGGTAGCCACTCTTTGGCCTTGCGCGTTCCCGACAGTGCTTAAGGGTAAATATGTCGTGTATCTCTATCTTCCAAGAATATGCTGCAAGAAAAGAAAAGAACTCAGCCCTGATGGAGAAGGTAACTCTAGTAAATGTGGAACTGTGATAATTGTAGTAAATCCATGTTCGTACATCTTATGCTAGTAGGGATGTTGTATTGTGATTAGCGTCTTGGCATTAGAATAATCATAAGCCTCTACAGGGACGATAGATTCTGGTAATCTCTAAAGTTCAGGCTTAGAGGCTCACTTAGAGCGAAGGAACGCACTGGCTAAGCGAGCGCTCGACTACTTTCTTGATTTGCGTGGAGAGCATATCAAGGACAGCGTGGGAACAGTGGGGAAGCTGCTAGGAAAGATTCGAGAGGAGAATACGAGACTCAGCAGTGGAGAAGATAAATGCGAAGTGTAGTTGGGGATGCGAAATTACACGAAGCGTCAACATCAAGCGACGTGTTTCGCTTCTTCTATGTTGTATATACTTTCAAATGGTGAAGACACAGGTTGTGTCTGCCAGTCATATTGGACGATGGCCTGGGTTGATGTCACTGAATAAAAAGCATAAAATGCGAATAACAAGGGTTACTTCCTGTTGTTGGCAACGAACTGCTTTTGCTTTCACCAATAACTTATGGCTTCTTCTGCCGATAAAAGGGTGTTGGATACGTACTGTGAAACTCTACTTGCATAAGATTTTATCACCCTCACCTAGAGTCAATAGTCACTTCTGCAAATATTGAGAACGCCACTCAAAACGCAAGGATAAAAATTGAGCGGAGGTACTCGTATATAAGGACAAAAATGTTGACAGTGAGAAAAAAATGTTTAGAAATTCCAAGTCTTTGTAGAGGCTCGTGCGTATTTGTCATTGTCAAATGAGGGAGCGCAATGTCTGGCTCGCAATCTCCAATTCCACAAGAGCCGCATCTAGTTTCTTTTTTGGTCTCTACACGTTCACGAGAATCAAAAATGTAGTTGCGAGCGAAGGGGATCTGGGAGGCAAAGGCCGCTTAGGCAGTGACCGAAGCGCGACATCTTCCGAAACGGCTCCGTCACGCGATCGGCTCGATGCGATCCATTCGGACCTGCCTCGCTCAGCAGTTGAACCGAGGTTGGCGCCGCGGTGTCATCGATAACCCGTCGACGACACATTTCGTGCGAAGTTGCGTTGGCAGGATTGCTGGGCTTCGGATTGAACCTGCAGATTCGGACCGTCCCGCTTTAGGTCGACGACGGCAACAGAGGCTGTTTTCGCAGTTGAATGTCGACGGCGGACAGAGATGCCACAACATTGCGAGCCCTGGAGAAGAGTATCGGTACCAGAACTGGCGGTGTCTGGCACTGGAGGAAACGATCTCCTGGTTCATTCGCATTGTTGAGCAGGAGGCCCCGGGAGCATTCGAGTTTCGCAGACTGCCCAGGTATGCGAGAGGAACGCTGCTTTTTCGGCCTCGACGTGAGGATTATGGCGGAGACCCTTCGTCAGCAGAACCGCAAGTCGCAGGACGGTTAGAAGATTCATCTCTCTTATGGGCAGCGTTGCTCGTAAAGAGTGCAAGCGTCCGACGAGGAAAAGCGGGTATCTACGTTTTTCAACTGTCTTCTTACGAACCCGATCTGGGACTCGTCTTAGCCTGTCAACGCGAGAGCAGGCTTGAGCTGTGTCCGATTCGTGACGTTGAGGTCCGTGGCACGCGTCAAATGTATATTCGCCGAGACGCTCTGCCCGCGGTTGTAACACCAGAAACGGTACTCGATGTGTCAAGCGAGCCGATATATGTCGATCTGAGGGCCACTGCTTCGAGGCTGTTCCGGTTGTTCGGCGCCCTGCCTCATCAGACAGTTGACGAGTGGAGCGACGCTCTCGTTTCTGGCGACGACTACCGCGGTTTTCACTTTCGACTGGATACACTCGTGGAGACATTGTACGAACCCGCGGGAATACAGACCGCAAATGCAGGTGAGTACGGATGCATGCATAATATGGTTGTAGCTGGGCTGCGATGTGTTCATCGGTCCGGCCGTCTGAACATGCGGACCAGACGCGCGAAAAGCAACCTCACCCGCCATCTTCTCTCTCCGCAAAGAGAGGCAGTGGAGGTGCCTTTCGATGGTTTCGACTGCTTCGTCGCCGTTCTCCACGAACACGAAAGCCCGACGAAGATTCATGGGGTTTTCTTTCTCTCGAAACATTTTTTGTGTGAGTCACAGCGCATCTCCGTGGATCGGGTTGGCGGTACCTCTATGATTTCGCTGCGACTACCGACATATGAACGCGGTGTCATCGAAAGCGGGTTGAGGCGTGCACGAGGCCGTCCGAACCCTACTGCAGAAAAGGCGCTGAAGTACTTTCTTGACCTTCGTCCAGAACACATTGAAAGCAGCCGTAAGAGAGTTAAAGCTCTTCTGGATTCGGTGAGGATGGAAAATCTACTTCTGGAAAGATAATTCTCACAACATGAATTCGTAAATTACATTGAATCCTATACATTGATTTAGGTGTATGATGTCTCTCAATAGTTTCAATTTGATCTCCCTGCTTTCTTTTGGAGTGCGACCTGCTGTTGAACATTTGAATAAGAACCTGAAGCCCAGGGTGGATGTGGGCCTTGATTCTAAGAAATAGATCAGTTTCCAAGAATAAGAACGGAGAGAGATCAGTATACAGGCGTCGACGTCAAGGCGACTTTTCTGTACTGGTTTCTTCACTTGCGTGACTGTAATAAGACGCACAGTTCTGCGAACAAGAATATACCTAGCATTACTTCTTAGACACATCTGGAATTGGCCGATCCCTCGTTTTCGGAGTAGCAGCGTTATTTATTAATGTAAGATTGGCCATGGCCTTCAGATCATGAATTAGTTCAACATTGAGTATATTCATGATTTTTTGTCATTCTGTCATCAGTAAGCAAGTGTTGATGCGGCTATGGCATCGCTGCTGGTATTGGTCGTACAACTAAGCACAAGACTTACTTTTCGTTTTTCGACGTGTTAGACATGTACCTATCGCGATTTTTCTTTTTGTCTACGCTTGAGGCACTTCAACTACAGAAAATTGACATCGTTTTCGTTGATAGATATTATGATAGATAAGTAACATAATCCATTCTATTTGTATTTCATCAATCATACTACAAGAAAATACAGATTGATATTTCTGATAGATAGTAGTTAGTTAGATCATTCATTCTCAATTTCAATCATAAATGAATCAAAATGTCCTCGGCTGCAACATCTTCGACGTCGTCAATTCCGGCTGATCCCTCCGCGGCGACAGGAGCAGGAGAAAGTGACAACTCTACGAACACTCGTCCAGGAAATTCGTCATCTTCGAACGCGCAGCTCCGAGACGAACTGACGGATCCCATTACGCTAGAACTGTTGAAAGACCCAGTCACTTTGCCGTGCTGCGGGAAGGCTTTCTCCAGAAGCAGCATCGTCAACGTGTACACGAAAGCGAAAAGGAGAGCTTCGCGACCAAATGCAGCTGGCAATTATGATGTTGACTCGGACTCGGACACCTCTGACGATAATGAGGTCGGTGGAGGTGGAGGAACTTCTGGAAATAATGATCAGCATGGACCACGAGGAGGTGGAACTTCTGGAGATGACGAAGATGGAGAAGTGGAGGATACAAGCAAGTTCAGGTGTCCCTCTTGTCGTGGACTTCTGGGAAGGAATTTAGCCGACGGCTCAGGCCATAACTGGAATCCTCTTCTGGCGGCAAAAAACGTTACGATCGCGGCTCTAGTGGATATGTTCATTAAAAAAACCGGAGAGGTTTTGGAAGACTCGGAGTCCGACGATCAGGTGGAAGACAGACGTACTACGCCAGGAGCTGTGCCAGCTGTAAATGTCATGGCCTGGACATCGCATTTTACTCCAGTTCTGAGCAGCAGACGCGCAGGAGACATGCAGAAGCTGGGATCATCTGCGACCACGTTAGAAGGTCCTCCGGCATCATCCTCAACCTACATCACTGGCGAGCTGTCGATTTTCTTGCAGAGCGCAACCTTTTGTCTTCGTCCCAGTCTTTTTATCGCAGTCTTGGATAGGTCTGGTTCGATGGGAGGGAAGCCGTACGAGCAGGTGTTGACAGCCACGAAGCACATGTGGAGCATGGCGCAGCAAGCAGGAAGTGCAGTCAAATTGGTTTTACTTTCGTATGTTAAGGCTAGCTGCAGTCGTGCTTCATAAGCTTAGAAGCAGTGCTTCATGAACGATGGCTAATGGTGTGCTGTATCCTTATTCGAAATTTTTCACCATTTTTCATGATCGTGTTGATGCTCCTCTACTCCTTAGACGTTCCATGACAGTTCGTTGTGTAGGGCATCCATCCTTAGTGTCAGGATCCCGGTAGAGTAGTTTTAATGGCGAATTTATCTGCTTCTAAAACTAGTTCGGACTGTATTGAGTTAACGAGACCTGAAGACTATCGCATTGCCGGAGGCACTGACTTTCGACGAGCCTACGAGAAGATTGGGCAGGTTTTAGAACGATTCACTTGTAGCGTCGACCCTGAATTTCGAGACCAACCAAACAATGTCTCTGCCGTGTCCATTGCCTTTCTCACAGATGGCCAGGACATGAGCCGTGATAGAAGCCCTGCTGCTTTGTGCCGCGACTTTGAGATTATGTCCCTGAAGAATTGGCGGAACAAGCGGGAAAACGCAGAAGCCAGCATTTCGGTGCACACCATTGGGTTTTCCAGTGGGTGTTCGCAGAGTGTGTTAGAAGCAATGCGAAAGTCTGGGACGATCGACGGAGTCTTCCGCTACGCCGAGCCAGGTGATGACGACGACGTTTTGTGCGGAAAAGTAGTGGAAGTTTTCGACACGGCAGCGACTGGGAGTTCGGTTCCCTTGGCAGTGAAGTTGCCACCTGGCTCTTTGGAATGTTCGCCAACAACGTGTGCGACAATTTCCTCTACTACAGCCTCGTCTGCTCCATCTAATACTGGGAATGTGGCAACAACAACGTCTGCCACCTCTAGTAATGCCATATTAACAACTGCTGCTACTGCTAGTTCTCACGTGACAAGAGGATCTTCATCCTCATTATTTGTTCCACCCACACGAAGTTCAAATACAACGGCCAGCGTCCGCATGGGAGTAGATCCCAAGGAGAAGACGGGGAAGGCCCGACTCTGGCTCCGCTTACCACGCGCGGTGATTGCAGATGCCGCATCCCTGAAGATCGGAATATCCACACCGCATTCATCACCGAGTTCGTCCTCAATAAGCGCGAACCAAGAAGTTGGAGGAGGTAATCGTGAGCACGAGCCAAGTTTCACCCCTGTTCCAATTCGTGTCGAGCCAAGTTCCTCCGCAACCGCTCGTTCGCGATCTACTTCTGAGCAAGGGAGAGCCACCACCACTGGCAATCCAGTGGATCCAGCATCAGCTAACGAAGAGGTACAACTTCACGATCGACTACATCAAGAACGACAAGATGTAGAAGAAGAAGATTGGAGAGCTCGTAGGGTATGCGCGCTGCGACGATGGATCGCCAGTCTGTTAGACGGAATGGCATCAGAGTTGATGGACATAGTAACTGCCGGAAAGAGCGTCACGAATGCCAGCAACCAAGTGACACCTTCCGCTACAATCATACGCACCATGCTACAGAAAAAGCAAATGATTTCAAAAAGTGGGAAGTTGCGCATTCTATACTCTGCTCTATTTGAAAACAGACTGAGGGTCTTGCAAAGGGAGGTGGACTTTCTGCGCAAGTGCGGTCGTAGTTTGACTTCATCGGCAAGCAGTCTTCTGGCGGGGCAAGACGATGATGGAGGAGAGGACGACATTGAGGGTCGCGGTGCCCCGACGACCACCATAGCTCTGGATGGGTACTCGGAGGCAGTCGACGTTGCGTCACTTGAGAGCGTCTTAGAGCAATTGAAGATGCAAATTCAAGATTTCAAAAAGGGTGCTTCGGTTAACGCTGGCAAATTGGGAGACTTGCGGTTTGCTAGTAAGTTTGCTGGAAAAACTGCGAAAGCTGCTACCGAAACAACAGGAATCAAAATCACAACAACAACGGCAGTTGTGCCCGAAAACACGTCCAGTTACGGCTCAAAGTATGACTCGTCCTCAGTTTCCTTCTTGGGAATCTGAAGAAATGAACTGCAGACGTGAATAAAAATTGTTTTGCGCTCGTCTAATCCAGATTTCAACAACTGCCGGTTGCGCCCACGCGAGAGTACGGGCTGGGGCGGTATAATCGTGCGGTTCCAGGTACAGGACTGGGAAGAAATGACGTGATGGACGCGATTGCTGGACATGCCTTATATCGTTCAGCCCCAGAAAGTTTGAAAAAGATTTTGGATCCAGTCACGGACTCCGCCAAGCTGTTAGAACTGATTGCGACCCCCGATGCGAACGGTAACCACGCATTGCATCTCGCTTGCTACTGTTAAGACCAGACACGACTTACTATCTGGTGTGAGGTACCCTGATCGACGTTCCACTTGTGATTGAAAGGGGAAATCAAGGGAAAAGAAAGCACAGATAGGCACAGTGTCTAGCTTTAATGCTGCGGCCATAAGATGGTTGTCGTTTACCTGTTGGAGAAATTGGGACAAGTCGTCAAAGCGCCAGCTGTGATCGGCAACTTGATCAATCGAACAAACGTCGCAGGAGAGAACTGCGTTACTCTCGCGATCAAAGCGAGGGGCTTCACAGAAACTCTAGCCGTTCTGCTAGACGCTGGCGGTTTCATTCCGAGAAATAGACGCCGAGCTTTAGAGGAGTTTTGTGTCTGGAATGATTTCAGGCGAACGGCAGAAATGATTCGCCAGTGCGGGGAAGGGGAAGGAATCGATGACCCGGCTTCGTACTACGTCGATGAAAAAACCGACACGGCCTACCTTCAACTACTATTCAAGCGAGCAGTGAAAAGGTCGGCAGAGCTTTGGCGGGAAGCGAAAAAAGGAAATGCTTATGTGAGAACTGAAGAGGTAGATGCATCTTTACCAGCAAGAGATGCTGTTGATGACGTCGAAGAGTCGCTTAGCGTTCAACAGCGTTTCGTGGCGAGCCTTCCGATGGACTGGGTGTCGATTCTTGATATCGCTCTACACCGCAAACAGTGGGGCATGCTGTCAGTGCTGCTTGAGGGAAAACCGCCTTCGAAAGTTCTCCCGTCCCCAGGTGAGGGAGAAGGACAAGTAAACGATCCTGTTGATGCTGAGCAAGACGAGGAGGAGGAAGATCAAGATCTGGAATGGCTGACTACAGGCGTTAACGGAATTTTTGATTCTACACCTCTAGAGAAGATGGCGGAAATGGTCATGACGCGTTGCTTCCCTAAAAAGCCGGATGCACCCGATGAAGATCAGTACTTGCGATTATTGAAGGTCATGCTGAACCGCTTCCGGGAGGGGCAGGTTTCACAAGTGGGCGAAACGAGAACATTACTGGACATGAAACTGTATCCGATCAACCCGTTAGAGTGGGAGCCGTTGTTGCATGTGGCGACGAAAGCCGGTAGTTCGTCGCACGTTCTATACCTTCTGGACGAAGAGCAGGCGGATATAGAGGGCGTCAACTGGAAGGGCACGACCTGCTTGGGTGTTTCCGCCTTTCTCGGGTATCCCTGTATCGTCGCAGATCTGATAGCCAGGGGCGCGAACATCCACCACCGCAACAACAACAATCATACGCCCTTACGTGCCTGTTGCTTCAAAGGGTCTACTACGGGAAAGGGCGGTACGGGCCGCGCAGAAGGATCGCACCGCAGAGATCGAACGGGCGCGGGCGGTCTGAAATGCGCTGAGGAACTGATTGCGAATGGAGCCGACATTTACGGGTCTTCCTCTGAAGACATGGATGAGACGAGCGTTGTCACTGCTTGCCGGAATGGCAGTGCTCTCGTTCTCGAGTTGTTGTTGAACTACCTGACCCTCGATTTCGTCCTGACCAAAGCTGCAATCGACGGTTTTTCAGCTCTGATGGCTGCTGCGGAGCAGGATAGAGCCGAGTGCATCGAGATTATCTACGGGACTTACAAAAACGTCTTGGACGAAACGACAGGACGTTCGATAGTCCTGGAACAAAGAACGGACGACGACAATCAGATTATCGCGAGCGCAACGGCACTCCACATCGCCTGCTACTACGGACGCAAAAACGCAGTCGAAACACTGGCAAGACTGGGAGCGAACCTGAACAGCCAGGACATCAACGGGTATACCCCGCTTCATATTGCCGTGATGCAGGGAAAGCCGGAGATCGTGCGGATGCTCCTGGTCGCAGGCGCGGACACGTATGTAACTGATAAGATCGGCAATAGGGCTTTGGCCTACGCCCGTGGGGATGTCGACATCCGCGAAATCTTCGCAAATCCCTTGTTACAGCCGTTAATGCTGCTAGCGCGGCAGCAGAGTACTGCTGCTAATGGTGCGACAAATGCAGGAGCAGCAAGTACGATGAAGAGTTCAGGTCCTACTAGCTCTACCGCTCCTACTCGTAGCGGTACTACAGGTGCCTCCTCATCTAGTACGAATACTACTACCTCCACTTCAAGTGGACCTTCAAGAGATGGCGTTGTAACCTCGACCAATCTTCAGCAGTTCAAAGATTTGTACGTGTATAGCAGTGAGGAGAAAGAGATTGCGCATGAGCTGATTCTACCTCGCTATTCTGGCATTCCTTTGATACTAAGTTCTGCCGAAGCACTGCTCGGACGGTCCCTAGTTTGTCCAGACCTCGGCTCCACACCTCTGATTCAGGCAGTCCAGTTCGGCAATATCGGCTACATCGAGGCACTGCGTGGTTTGGTTGCTGCGTGTTGTGTTGCTTCTTCAGTAGAAGTGGAAGCTCTGGTGACATCAAACAGCACTGGTTCTTTATCTGCTGGTGTGATTCTACCATCATCTGGAAGATCCAGACAAGATCCAGGGCTACTCCTGCGTGACGCTTTTTCGCGAGACGCCGATGCTTGTGGTGTGACATGTCAAACTTGGGGAAAGTGGGCGAAGAATCCAAGGATCGTCGAAGCTTTACAACTGCGAGTCGTGCAAATGCCAGTGGAAGTTGACAGAAGTACGGCTGTTGCAGAGGAATTACAAGAGGAAGATGCTAGGACCGAGGTTCAACTGCGACGACTAGAGGATGCAAGAAAGGCTGATCCTCGCGTAGCCGCTCAGGTCTTATTCCTAGGACCGCCGCCTCCGCTGATTACAGATCCGAAGACTCTCTTTGATTGCGGTTTCTTATGATGAAGGGACTTTTGTTCTTGCTGGTTTCGCGAAGATTTTCATTGTACTACTTACTAGCCCTACAACTGGTACTACTTACGTTGTCGGCACCAGTCCCAAAACCAATTCCGAAGCACGAAGAGAAAGACCTTGGAGTGAGGACATTGAGGATTATTTTGACTTTGTTTTACACCCGTACTCCTTTCACCTGTTTTTATTTCTTTGTGGTATTCGTATTCCCTCTGCCTCTTTCATACCCTCTGCAAATCCTAGAAAATACGGAGAAGATGTCCGATATCGACCGCAATCGGGTTGAGCATGACGTCTTGGCCCTCGCGCAGTTGGAGGCGTTGAATGCCAGACTGAGCAGCTTTAATGAGAGGAGTGAACAGGTGGTCAATGCCCCGACTATACTCGCTATTGGAGAAGATGAGGGCACCTCAAGCGCAAGTTCGACTGGAGTGGTTAATTAAGGCCGGGCTTCTGGTGTTTCTGTTACCGTTATAGTCTTGCTTCTCTCAGAGAAGGGCATATTTAACGGTCCAAACGAACACCAAAGCCCTACCCCTAAGTCAAGAAGCTGGAGAAGTCTCTTGGTCTCGTTCCAGAATTGAAAGCGCTATGTGGAGTCGACGAGGGCACCGGGTCTACTGCGGCTTCGAATCAGAACAAGCAGCTTCAAGTGTTATTTACCGACACACGGGATCAGATATTTGATGCGTTAGCGAAGACCCGTGCAATCTGGCATGCAAAAGCCTATACGATTCGCCGAGTGGCATCCGGAACATGCGACTCTCTTGTACTGCTGAGTGAATCCGTCAACAAGACTGTAGATGATAGAAATATGAAAAGTGGACAAGAACAAGGAGAACGTGATCAAGTAGGTGCACAAGCTGGAACTAGGACTACAACTTCCCCAACTTCTACTACACCAAGAACGATGAGAAGAGTCACGCTTACCCCTCTCGAAATAATGGCGGTCTGTTTGTACACGGCTAATTCGAAACTCAGCGAGAGCTTGAACAACAGCCTGGTAACTGCCGCGATGACACAAGATGCTAGACCTAATACGACAACATCAAGTTCGACACTCGTGACTTCTTCTTCATCAAGTACTCCTCCAACAACGACGCCAGTTTCTATGACGCCGAACCTGAAGAACTTTGCGGCTGTGTTGTACAAAGTCCTGGAATACAAGCTTCCTGCATATGCCGGCGCCGAGTGCTTCCTTGCGTCATCGACGATCGACCGGAAACTGTACCAGAAGGGAACGCGTTTCACTTGGCCTCGTTTCGTTTCCACTACCGCGCTTTGGACTGTGGCTCTCGATAATGTGCCCAGCTTTGCTAGCAAGACTAGGAAGGGGACTGTGTTTCTGATTAAGACGAAGAGAGGAGGACACTGCGTACAGGAACACATGTTGATGTTAAGACGAGAAACGACGATAAATTGCACATGATACATATTAGTAAGTACAATCATAGGGCTCTGCGTACTTGTGATAATTTCTTTCCATTGAGAACTCCGAGAAGAAGGAGAAGCTGCCCATACTACTTACTTAGAAGGAACTAGTGAAGTATCATCTTTAGCTCTTGTTGCTCTAAGAGAAGACCAGACTACCCCGACCAAAGCTCGCTCCGTGCAGTCTTTTTCGGAGTTTTCTGGTGACGCGGAGGTAATTTTCTTGCCGAATGCGGAGTTTTTGGTCACTAATTGGTACCATGGCGATCCGATTGCTTTGGGACAACCTAACATCAGAGGCGAAACCTTCCTTATCAAGCACGTCGATGGCGAAAGACAGAACTTATCGGAAATGCTCGAGTCCGACAAGAGTCTCATCATCGAATTAACGGAGGTCTAGGTGATTGTTGACGCTGAGGCTTCTCTGATCTAGATCTATGAATGTATAGAATTTTGAAACTTCGAGTCGCCCACGACCAGTAATGCTTGATGGATTATCCATCGTAGAGGCTTTTGTGACGTTCTTTCTTGTTTTCTTTTGAATGTCGACGTAGAGCCTTCATATGATTTGAAATTGTAGTGCTGAATAGATTCCTATGAAGATCATGACTGTGATTACATTAGTGAGGAAATTGACAGTTGATTTGGTTCTCTTCGTCTGTCAGTTTGGTTTGCGAAGCAAAAATCTACGTATCTTCCTTCCTTCCATAATTTTTCACCTCTCGCATGCTCTGAGGCAGCGACTCGCATGGTTACTTGTGAACACTTGGTTTGAGCTGTTGAGCATGCGAATATGGTAAAAATTTCGCACACATAAGAAACTTTACGCATACTGGTTGGAACTGGAAGGGTCTTCACAAACACGTACATTATAACTAAACATCAGTCGACATACTAAAGCGAAAGAGGATGCAAGCCGAAATTGAAAACAAAAAAGATGTTGACTTCTACCTGCGTTCTAATGCGCGCTTAGAGAAGCGTGTTGACGAAGTAGACTCTTTCTGATGCCGGACAAGAAAAAATTAGTAAATTGTAGATCTCTGTAAGCAGCGTGCGAAAAAAGGTTTTGCGTATGTGTGTATATTATTGGTTTCATCGGTGGTGGCGGTGGCCGCGAACGCGATCGTGGAGACGTCCGCTCAAAATGCTATAATGGCTGTGTCAAATATTGTTGTTCACCTGTCGCACTAGTCAGAAGGTGGCAGCTGCTGCAACCTGATGTTGGTCGCAGTTGCAGATGAATACTACAATCATGAACCCATTAGCAGAATTTTTGTTGAATCATCGTCATCGAAGCAATTACCATCAGCATCATCGTTAATCGTTGATAATCTTTACCAACATCGTTGATAATCTTTACCAACATCGTTGATAATCTTTACCAGTATCTAAGTTTATGTGGTCAATAGTCCTTATTTGCTGTAAATGAAGAAATCGAATTCGAACCCCTTGCTGAAAATGAAGAAATCAAGAGACTCAAACTCCCCTCGACGGCCTTTGGTCGCGACGAGGGCAAGACATGCGCTCGCGGTCATCATGCTGTTTGTAGCCATGACGCATGTAGTTGACGGTCGCAAGTCTGGCATTCCAGATGCGATCAAGGCGTTGCGCCAAGAGGCATACAACATAAGCAAGGCACGAGCGAAAAGCGCAGCTGCTGCAGAACCTTCTGAACTACGTGAACAAGGGACACAACCCTCGGGTAGACAAGGGAGTACTGAAGCCGAAGAGGAGACTCTTCTTTCACACAACAGCGCAGGAGGCCATGACAGTCGAGATGAGACAGGCCACGACATTGGAGAAGTGGGACGCCTGCCAAGAACGTGTCATGACGACAAGACTACCACAGCAGAAGGGAAAGCCCCTTCTTTGGAAGCAGGCGAAAAGGGAAGTACGACAGCAGAACAAGGGAAAGTGCCTTCTTTGGAAGCAGGCGAAAAGGAAAGTACCGCAGCAGAAAAAGGGAAAGTCCCGTCTTTGCTCACGGATAGCCGACCCTTGACAGATGCTTTAGCAACTCTGCGCGAAAAAAGGGCACGTGAGTGGCGGCTCCTCCGTGAGCCACACGTGCCTGCTTTTTGCGCTCGTTTACCCCTAAGTCTGCAACGTCGGATTTTGTTAACCAGTGTGGGAGGCAGGGAAGCGGCCTCGGCATGCAGAAGTGTGGCAGACATGGCCAAAAGACATAAGCAAGTAGACAGCCAGTTGTTCCACTTCTCCGAGACAGGCAGCACTGCAGCAGCAGGAGAGGAAGACGAATGTAGAGGACCAACATCTACATCTTCGAGCACTAAAAATTCTTTACTAAAGAACAATTAAGGCTCAGCTTTCAATGGTCATTGGGGTTGGTCACTGAGATCGAAGAGGCGACCCCTTGAGAGAACAGGGGAAAACGAAGGGAAAGGGGAGGGCTTTGAAGGGGGTCGCTTCCGTTCAGAGTCAGAGACCACTGAGTGCTGAGCTTTAAAACAAGAGCCCAAACACCATTTCACTAGGCACAGCTCCAGCATTCCACACGTCTTCGGCTTCGTCCAGTGGACGCTTTGCGGCTGAGATTCGAGTAGATGGAAGGCCAGCAGATTCTTTTGGCGACGATGATGTAGAAATTAAGTGTTTCCGAGTTACAACCCTCAAGACCATCCTAAACTTGTTTTCCTCCAGTAGGAAAGAAGTCAAGGATGTTCTGAGGAGTGCAATGTCGCAACCTCTAAGAGAAGGCGTCAATTGGAGAGAGACAAAAAGGCTCAAAATATCGATCGAAGCTGGTTTTGGACTAAGTTTTGGCCGGTCTACGTTGACATAGAGAAATATCCATTGAAAAGGTTGAGGTTCTTGTCTATTAGTCCCACTTCTACGACTAGTACGACAAATAGTTCTACGACTACGAATAGGACAAATCTTCATGAGGAAGCACTTTCGACATCAACAGAAGGAGTGAAGACGGCTGAAAGAGCGCGGCTCAGTCAAAGGTTTGATTTCTTTTTTGGTAGGGAGAACGTCCCACACGAGAATGCCTCGGACCCGGAGATGCAGATAGCGGCTTCAATTGAGGAGAATGGTCATGAACCCTCAAAAAAGGGAACGAAGGAAGCGCCTCAAACGTCGATGACAAAAACAGTTCTTGAGACGAGTACGGAATCGTTTATCTTACCGTGTTCGCCTATAATGATCCAAGTCCAACCACAGCCAGAGCCTTCTTCGGATAAGTTGTTCATTGGGATCTACATGTGGGTTCCGTACTATGCTTTTTTTCGTGCGCTGAAAGCCGAAAGACAAGAACACTCACCTATGGGTGGAATGTTCTTCTTCCCCCGGAGCAATAGTATGGATTTTCTTGACAAGTACGCCAAGGTTGGCCGCAGTGTCGAGTATGAACAACGACCTGAGATGGGAAGTAGATTCCTACGAAAAGGGAATGGAAGTGGATATGAGTACTCACCTCCCCAAAGAAAAAAGCCTACATTCGATTTCCCGGGATGGAAGGAAGGAGATTCTGTTCGTCGTCATCGGGAAGACCAGACTCGGATGTTCCCGCCCAGTTCGGTGACGTCTACTGTCTCGACGGACCAAGATCAAGAACATGATCATGGCGTGAGAAATCATCAGCAAGAAGGAGGGACATTCATAACTGCGCGCATACCGAAATTCTTTGTTGATGTCCTCGCAACAGGATCGTCTTCAGGATCGTCTTCCACTTACTGCTCGTCAGGTGGTGGAAGCAGTTCATCTTCGCCCGGACACGGTAGGTCGTCTGAGAATACAGAGCACAATCGAGGTGAGCCGCATATGCTAGTGCGCGTTCTTCGTGTCTGCAGGAAAAAACAGTGTACTAATGCGGAATTCAGAGAGAGACAATTGATTAAGGCTCCAAATATTTCACTTTCTTCAAAATGTATGCTCTTCTGTTTCCTTCGTGGGAATCTGAAGAAACACACTTATGTAGTATAATACAGAGACATGAATTATTCATTACCTCGTGGTCTTGGCTATCATACTAGTACTGGCAAGGCTATGCTATGTCCTTAATTGATCGCAAAAGTCTAGTCCTCTCCTCTCCTCTCCTCAACCTCATTATTTTGGGCTCTAAATTGAAGAAGTTAATGGAGGCGAATGTCTCTGCTTGCGTCGCCCAAGAAGAAGATGCGGATGCTGTGGACCAGTCAACAACAATGGCAACAGATGCTCGTGATGGAACAGCGGTACTAGATGAAACTCTTGCTCCCTGCTCTTCAGAAGAAGTGCCAAAAGTGGAGGTAAAGACTCGTCTACCCCTTGCCAGAAGAGCTCCCTCGTCCGGAGTGCCAAAAGGGCAAGATCATGCGGGAGTAGCGCTCTCGTGCGGAGTGCCAAAACTGCCAAAAGTGGAGGATGACCCACCTCTCTTTTGTCCAGAGATCGTAACTCCAGTGACCGTAGAGAGTTGGCAAGAGGGTGGTGTCGGGGTAGAAGGGAATCTTATGCGCGTTTCGCTACAACGGATTCTGGAGCAGCACAATATCACGGATAACAAATTATGGTACACCACGATGGAGCTAGAACTATTAAATACGAGTAACCAACAGCTAGTACTAAAGTTGTTAGTATACAACAGAATTTGTAGTCGATTTTCATGTAGTGGATGTAAACTGCAGGTGTCCTTCTACAAGCTCGCTCTAATGCAGGAGAAATCAACACCGAGGTCCTTCTTTTACTTCGTCAGAACGAAAGCGAGAGAATCCGCAGGGGGAGGAGACGTGTCCGTGTAAGTCGAGGAACGAGGCATCTGAAGTCGGAACGAGACTCACTGGTTGAAGAACAATAACTATGTATCTATGCGAAAGTAATAAGAATAGCAGAGAAGAGATTTGCCTTATTGTTGAAGAGTAAGGAACTTTGTATCCACTGGTGGAGGAAGTAATCTTTTCATGCACCATATCTCGAGAGAAACCTTTACCACCCATGATATCAACAGAGAAACTTTTCCGACTGTTCTTTCAACGCGATATAATTGAAGATATTGATTATACTCTTGAAAGCTTCGTGCCCTGTGCTAGACATCCCTTCGTTGCAGTCACGACTCTGGGAGATATCTTGCATGTCTCCGGGTCACGACTTTGGGAAGCGCTGAAAACATTGCAACGACTAGTATTCCACTATGATGTGGGATTGATTCTACAAGAGAGTAGAGTCACCGAGTGTTGTCAGTTTTGTCAAGTTCAACGAGGATCAACTCTTACGCGGTTTTGCTGCTGTGTGTCTGAGGAGAAAGCATGCGGAAAGAGAGCAACGTGATTGGGGTGGTCACTTGTTGTGATTGTCTTTCAAGAGTCACTACTGGTCGGTGTTAGAAGTAGGCACTACTGGTCGGTCTTTGAAGTAGACACTACTGGTGGATCTGGGGAGTTCTTGCACTGGATCTGAGAAGTTCTTGTACTGGATCTTGCTGGTCGTGCTGGATCTTAGATCTAGGTCTAGCGCTGAGATCCGCAAGAAATTTTGAAAAATTTTAAGTAGCTGTAGCTTGTTTTAGTAATTTTGACTACGTTTGAGTAGATTGCGTTAGATAGTAATGTAGAGTTGTAAGTTTTAGTAGATTGCTTTATTAATAGTTACTGTTTGAATTTGAGTCGTGAGTATGTATCCTGGGTAGTTCTGAGTAATTGTTTTTATTGACTTATAGCGAGCTTCAAGTGGTCTATTAACACCATTTAAAACACTCAAGTGATAAACTTCTCTGGACTTCTGCACTCAAGGAAAGATGAAGGACTTTATTTTCTCTGTGATGACCTGAAGGCAGACGGCTGCCACTGTTGACCGCGGAGCAGGAGCAGAGTACTGTGCTTGTCGAATGGACGAGAATCGAACTGAAAATAGGGAAAGTCAGAGCCATACGGTCTAACTTCTGCTTGGCAGTTGGCTCTGATCGGCTAACGCACGTTCGCAAGTTCTACGAGTAGGAGGCGACGCCAGCAACACGTTTTGCGACTAGCAGGTGACGCCAGCAACAGCACGCTTTGCGACTAGCAGGCGACGGGAGAAACTGCAGTACACAAGTTCCTAGCAGGTGGCATTAGCAACTGCAGGCCAACGAAGATCGGCTTGAATCAAGAATATGAGCGAAGTATCTCCTGCTGCGCAAGCGGACCAGAGCGGCACAGCTGCAGTTAAGGGCGTCGATAGTAGTTACCTGATTTACATTTTTTTCTAATTTCTCTGTGCGTGGGTGTCATGTTTCCATTACATGCATCATGTGAAAAGAAGGACAGGAATCTAGTAGAGACGCATCATGATAATGGTGATGATAATGATGATGATGAAAAGGAGACAGCTTTGGACTGCTTGGGAACATTGGTAAAATGAGACTCGCTCTAAATCGAAGTGCAGGGTTGAAGCAGCTACCATGGAGAGCGTGCGCTTCCCATGTTTGAGGCTTATTGTGACTGCTGTTCTCCGACTGCTGTGGAGTAGCTGGCTCCCAATTACAACACATAATCTACAACTTGATGGACTTCCTTGCTTTATTCCAAACGACCCATCTAATTTATCAAGTCAATCGTCTACAGCATACAATTAGCCTACTTATTGTTCTGATTCTCTCAGACGAATCATGTAAGCAAATCAACCTACAGATCGCTTTCTCGTCTACAACTATTCTGGCACTTATCTCACGCCTGACTCGTTAATAATCTACACATCCTGAGCCTCAAGAAGCTCAAGGTCAAGAGCCCATATTTGTAGATAATACGAACACAAGAGACTCAGGGAAGTCGTGGCTCCAATCCGAACCGACTAACGTCATCAATACGAAGACAAACTGGAGGCCCTCTAAGAATACGCCCGAACGCATCAGGCAAGGCTGTGGTCGCTCTAGATATACCACGGGACTACGAGTGCTGCCCACGGGAAGTCTGCAACAGCTCTCTTAAGGCTCCGCGTAACCTCCTCAAGTGCATACTTATAATATAGGACGCGTCTCTGTCTCACTCACGCTTTCCGGTATACTGGGGTGACTTTGGATGTGTCCTGTCTATGTAATTTCTGAACCAACATAGTAGTACAAGTCAGAGTAGATGTAGCCTACATGTTGGAGACAATGGAAGGTCTAAGCACACGCACGGCAAGGATGGAGCAGCGTGGGATGTATACTTAAGGCGGGCTTCATTTTAGTCGTTGATCTCCATCGTACTTATGCGATGCCATTTATTTTTCGTCGGTAGTATGTAAGCCCCTTTTTAGTCATATTTTAGACAAAGGCTGTTTGGCTCTTTGATCCTTAACTCAATTGATGCAGGAGCGAGCCTGAGGCATCGTATGATCCTATAATTAGATCCTATTAAATGATATTCTAAGTATGGCAGCACTACATCGCGAACGTCGCTTACGAACGTAGATTTAGAAGTTTCTGATAAGTGATTGGCTGGCCCTCGTAAAAGTTGAAGTTTCTACTACTTACTTGCTTGCTCTGTCTTAGGAGTTTCTCCTGATCTCTCTCTCTGTTTTGCTCTTAATAAGAACCCAACAGGAGAGAATTTCTAGCTTGTTCTTCTTGTTCTATTCTCCACTTGATCTCAGAAGCCTCTAATATTTGTCAACAAACTCTTCTGGCTGGTACGGGAACACTTCAATGGGAATTGCAAAGAGGTGGACTTTGTCGAAGTCGGCACTTCTTATTTCCATACGTTAGCACAGTGCTGCTACAGTGGAGACTTAAGGCTACACCTACAACAACTTGATGCCCCCCTTAGATCTATCGCGATCCTATTAGCCACTTACCTTTGAATCATAGAGACAACTTACTTCAAGCACAGGGTCGGCTAAGGAGTACAGTTGTACGTCATTTAAGTTTATGGATAAAGAGGGCGTGCTGGTGGTTGGGCTCAGGGGTGCGACGCGCGATGCCTCTAACAGACGCGGAGAGTTTCAAAACTTAAGGATTCCATAAATTCTTCTAACTCATCTCAGAAGAGAGCACTCTTGACACGTTTTCAAGTACTTTAAAATGACTAATAACCGTTACCGTTTTCTGTCGCGATGCCAGTGTGAAAATGGTCCAGGATGCCCTTCAGGATGAATGTCTATGGTGGAAGGTCTAAAACAGATATAAAAACAACGACGCGAACATCTACGGTTACGGCCACCACAGGACGAAAGAGCTTAGTCGAGATATCAGAAAGAGCTTAGTCTAAATATCAGAAAGAGCTCAGACAAGTAATTTACTTAGAATGTTGTCTATGTAGACGAGGTAGTGTAGAATGTTGTTGATGTGCGTAGTACCATGGAGTGTTGTTGACATGCGTAGTACTATTGACGCCATCCGCGTCGTTGATAGTGATGTTTCATCCGTATTGTTGTAGGTCTAGTCGAGTGTTGTCATAGAGGGTCACAAAAGTCGGGATGCTATTGGTGAAGGAAAAAAGCCTTCGTCTACCTGTGACGTTGTGACTACAGCGCGACCCATCTCCTTTTCCTTTTTCTGGCTTTTGTTTCTTCTTTTTCTAGCTAGGTGCCCCACCACAAATATGGATGTCTGTTCCTTTACGTTTTGTTTGAAAACTAATTTCTTGCTTTTCCTCTCTTTTTCTAATGTCTTTTTTGCAAATTTTTAGGGTACCCGTCAGCAACCGGAATCAGCATTGACGCATGTGAAGACAACTTGGCTGAGCTGCCAGTCCACCCACGCTTGACGTTACGAACGCTTTGAAGTGTCTACTTATTTATAACCTTGTTCGAAGGGTATTAGACTCCTACCTACTTATTGTCTTTGTCTCTACACCAGCAAGGTCTATGAGCAGGAAAGCCAGAAGCAACGAGGACGCATAAGTGCGTGCGTTTTGTTTTCATCAGGATATATTGCTCAAGTCAATGCTTTACACTCTTTGGATAACATTTCGATTTTCATCTCTGCTGTTGAAGACAGACGCGCGTCTATTACTTGTGCGTATTGTCTCTACTCTCTAATCATGAAGATGCAAGCAATCGTGAGCGGCGTGGCGCCACAGGAGGACGAGGCGAGAACAATCAAAGACCTAGCGGAACGGGAGCTCAAGTCATGGGTTTTAGAACTTATGCCTAAGCAGCGTACTTGACGTCTCTGAGCTTGAAAATAGGGGCTGCTGCTATCTTCTTTCATCGCATGTACATTCTTACAAAAGCGCACATGTTGAGACAGGTCTGCTGTTGATAATAAGTTACCTGATTTTTTGTCGTTCGAACCAGGAGCAGCAGCAGAATGCGGAACATCGATCGGCTTACTTTCATTATCTTCATGCGTGTTACACTTAGACACTTACTTACTTATGCGTGTTACTGTTACACTTACTGCCCTCATCTCTTACTACCCTCATCTCCTAAATTTCTAAGCAATACTGGAAGACAGACTCAGAGCGTCCTTGGCGCCCACATAGCCCGGGCGTTGAGAATAACTTGCGCCTGGTATGGCCAGAGGACATGAGCGCCCCAAAATTTCGAAAGTGGCTTGCAGGCAGGTACGCATGCGACGCAGTCAGTGCCGTTATGTGTAGAATAATTTGACCGCTAACCTAAGCTAATCTACCCTAGCCTATGAATAACTCCTAACCTAATCTAACTACCTAACCGAAACGATGCATCGAATAAAAACCTCATAAGTTTAGAATAGCCCTCAGTTTATACTAGCCTCTCTTCATTATACATGGGAGCACGTAAAAGGCTACTCTTACATGCCATTGGATGTCAGATACTTTACTTGCTAGAGAGAAGGGCACCACAGGTGCCGCATGGGTGCTAGGTCGAGATGATCTATACCACAGATGATCTATGCCGCAGATGAGATCTAGATCTGGTGTGGTATTTGTAATTTCAAAAAGTGAGACAGAGGCAAAAAATTCAATGGACGAGATCAAGGGAATGGACAGGATCACTATCATACACAAAGGTGGTCGTTTGATCAAGAGGGTTGTGCTCCACAAGGATTATATCACAAGTGGCCAGCTTCACATGGCATAGTACAGGTATAGCACTACGTACAATAATTGCAGACCTCTTTTTGTTCTATACTGAACAAGATGAGCATGATAATCGTTCGTGCCCATTAATAATTGTATTATTTATTTGCGGGCGTTTGCATTGCGTTTGTTCATTATGAAGGAGAGAAGCGACTGTATTACGGCGCCAGAAGTTACGGATGAGGTAGAGGAGACGGACGAAGTTCGTGCATGGCTCGAAGCGGATGCTGCGGCAAAGAAAAGAGAAGAAGAAAAAGAGTTTTAGGGCATCTGTTTAGTCTAATGTTCAGTCACCGTCTAGAAACTCCACATCTTAGGGTATCGGACTGGTTTACGTCTGTTGTGCCTGATCTCTTCACGTAACTCAAACAAAGTTCTCACTCTCCCTCTTATTCTCAAGCAGACAGTCACTCTGGCAGTTATTATCTCGCGCTTGACTCGTTCTTCGGGCATTTTATTTTTTCTTGAAGTTGAGCTGGTCTGTTCTTTACCTTCACAGCGATAACAGCAACAATCAAATCGTTGCTATGCTTTGTTTTTGCTATGCTTTGTTTTTGCCATCAGCGTGGTACTTTTCTAAGACGAAAATGTAGACGGTTCCGCAAAAGAACCACGCTCAGCGGGGAAGAGATACTTCTACTCCGTCAAAGGCGCCAAGGATTACGGAACAAATGCTCTAGCTCAACAGAGCGACTACTTGCTTCTTCTAGACTTTCTTTTTGAATATAGCACCCACCACTCGTCTTCAATTTCAAAACGTTATAATTCAACATATCGTGACTGGAGATACCTCCGGCAATAGCTTCGTGAGTTGCCATAGACCTCTGCGAGTCCTCTTAATGGAGGGTCGGTGATTAAGAGTTATCTCAATAGGCTACTAGTTCTAGTTCTAGCATCTTAGAAAGTAAAAGCATCTTCTTCTTCATAGAAATGAGTAGTGGATGGAGACTCTCGTTATCTAATACAATTTGCGCAACGCAAGGAAGGATCCGAAACCTTGCGGCATCCACAGCAAGGCGTACTGTGCTACTTGTACCTGGGTCGGAGAGCGCGCGGCCAGCTGCTGTTCGCTCGATGAGCCTACCGAATATCTACTCGAAATACTCCAGAGTAATTTATGTAACAACTAGCCTCTTTTTAGCATAGGAAATGCTCCAGAGTAACTTGCGTAACAACTTCTAGCTTCTTTTTAGCCGAGACCTAGTCCTAGTTACATTTGAGCCAGTTCGAAGTACTTGAAGAAACTGGCACTATAGAAAGGAGGCCTAGTGGCCCTGGTGTACTTAGGTAGGCGAAGTAGTTAGAACAGTTCCCTTGTACTGGGGTAGATGAAGCAGATGGATCATTATTACTGATTATGATTTTGATTATCGTTTTGAATGTCATAATTACTGATCATCCTGCAGGTAGATGCAATATGTCTATCAAGGGTGCACAGAATAGAATAGCATCATGATTGTGGGACATGATTATGGAACTGCATGATAATTAGGTAGAAGAAAGCCGCTCCGTTTCTAACGCAGAACGCACTGGATTTGTTGCAGAGGCGGGCGGTGGAGACGCGATCTTTGAGTAGCATCCTCACAGAACACGGAATCACGCGCACCGATCTGCTGAAACTGGACTTAGAATTAAGAAACTGGACTTAGAATTAAGAAGCTGGACTTAGTTTGAACTTCTATCAAGGGCACTAGGCTAAAGGTGTTCTTGTTACCGTTTGTTTTGTAACTTCTCTCAAGCACACAGTTTTCGTCAAAGTCTTTGTTAGCACCTCTAAAAGACGGGTCGGACTGCGCAGTGCTGAGAGGGTACATGGTGGAGCATTTTGATCTTATGAGGAAAGTAGAGCTGCTCCTACCACTGTTCAATATTTGGAAGCAGAAGGTTGGGGTCGTTGAACAACATTTACACACTGTAGGTCTATGCGCTTGCTCTTCTGTCATGTAGGTCTCTCTTAAAAATCAATCAATCAATCATTCAGTCTCTCTTACTATTCTCCTGGTACTAGTAGGTGGTCGTCATCATCAAATTTCTCTTAGCGAGTTATCCTCAGCTGAAGACGAGCAAGGTCTTGTTCGTGTTAGTCGTCCTCTAAGGATCGTTTTGGGTTACTTGGATTGCCGCGCATAATTGTGTTCGAAATGCATCCTGATCGGTGGGCAGAAGCAGAGGAAATTTACGGGGCTCTGACTTTCATTCCTGACTTTCTCTCTCTCCTTGGACAACTTTAATGCGTCGCCTTTGCCTCACTTAAAACTTAATAATGCTACACACTCCAGTATGCCTCACCCGTGGCATATAGATTAAGACCTCGTCGAGGCTACATGGCATGACACTGCATGACACGACTGATACTGCACGAAAAGCGTTGGCTTATTCAGTTATCAAGCCAATCGCCAGAGTGGGTTCCAGAGTGGGTTCCAAGGTCCTCGTAGGCTGCATCTTCCCTGGTTCTCTTTCACTTCTTGAGTGGGATGCAGTCATGCTTTGGCAACTTCCAAAATTTGCATTCTAAGAGATACTGAAACAGCTCGAGCAGGTGTACGGATACGAGATCGTCGATAAGATTCCTTGGTGGAAAAAAGCAGTCCTCAAAGGGGTGGCGAAGTCGGTTTGTGACGTTTTTACGGCTCCTTCATCTCTACCAACATCATTCGATGTCCTCGTAGGTTGCGCTTTATGTTTGTTCATGAATAGGCTATTCGTGCTTTTTCAACTGGAAGGTACACGAAGGCTAATTTAAGACCTCTTTACTACTCGCAATAGTAGGGCACAGAGGTACCATGACATGACAGTGCGGCCTGATCTAATCCTTCCGTCAAGCTTCCGGATGCTCTAGTACGGTGGCAGAAACGCCTGTGGAACGATGTGCGCTCAGTTTTGGAGCGAGAACGTGGTCTCTAAAAGGCAGCTGAGGACTCTTCAAAGGATTGCAGTGCCTTCGTGTCTTCGACTTGAATTTAACAAAATGTTTTACGGACTTTTCTTTCACGACCGTCAGCTAGCAAAGTTCAACATATGAGTGTGACTCTAGGCGACTTACTATATTTCGCCGTCCTCTACGTCGATGCAGCTGTGTGCACTAGCACAAGACGTTATATATCACAACTTTCTGATATCGCGCTACTTTTGGAGGTCCTACAAACTAGGCACGTGACTCGACCGAGTGGATAAGTAACTCCATAGCATGACTTGCTCTTGCAAGAGCAAGGTTGTCATTGTTTTTACACACGACCGAGTATATCGATCCATGATTATCTCCGTAGAGGTAATCTTCTCACGTCCCCAGCCTGGGTGTCGGTATCCCAATCCCTAGAACACCTACTTATATCTCATATCCTTCTACCCCATAATATCTCACAACTATTTCTTGGACAACTACGCTACTAGTATGTACTTCTGTCATATGCATCAAGAGCGCAGTAGTTCGATTTCCATCATGAAGCTGTCACTTTCTGAAAAGTTTCAAGCTTAATAACCCCGTGTCTCCACAAGCGATTATTGTGTCTTTGATCCTGCATACTCCCCAACTTTTTCCTCCCAGCGCTATACTGAAATATCAAGAACAGACTCCTAATCCTAATCCTAACAGACAAACTTTTCGTTTTCCCACAGGTGCTTAATGCGCAGGGCTGAGGCAGGAGCCCATCTGAATCTGAATCTGAGCACGAAATTGAAAACCAGTCCCATTCGTTGCAGTCACGACTTTGCGGGAGAGGAGCTATTCGAACTTGTTATCCTTGGCTACGGGGGATTGCCTTCACGGCCTAGCGAGATGATCTTTCGGAAAGTTGAAGTTCCTTTTTCTTCCTGTTCTGACTATATTGATGCGAGGACCTTGATCTTGATCCTGTTATCTTGAAAGATCATGAGAATGATCCTTCAAGAAGAATTGCTATAGATCATACCCTCACCACAGGATCATGAGATCGATTGAACATCTGTTACCACTGATCCAGATTATACATAGTACTCACAGATTTTTTCCCTAGATCGGTCTGCTCCACCACAAACTATAGTACTCTACTCACAGATCAGACTTATCTTCAGGCAAAAGTTCTATCGGCGGGAATTTTTTTTTGATTGTTTGTTTGAGAAGATATAAATTTGGTATTCCTCACTCTTGGCGGGAAGTCGTATTTGTTCTAGTGGATTTCTCCGAATAAACATCATAATTAAAGATGCTATACCCCGTGAATGGGTACATCAATCAAGCAATAACGATTTTCTGCGAATAAGCATCGAAATAATCCGCTTGTTGAGATACTGATGATGTTTCGAGAAGAGTTGATACTGGTGTTGTACTTGTAGGAAATGTACTAGTAGCAATGTCGATGAAACAAGTGTATGTTCCCCCTTCAGAAAAATGTTTCATTGTCTTCATGTAAGCGGCCTCCCGCAGGTGGCTTCGTCTGTTCTTTCTGACGAACAGATTGGACAACTACTTCTGCGACTGGGCGGCCAAAAGCAGAAACTACAAGGTCCTCCGATAATACGGAGAAGCGGCAGGCAACATCAGCAAGTTGGCGGAGAGGACATCAAGCATGTTGTACACGAGAGTGTGGTAGAGCCGCATACTGAGCAGAACGAGCAGAAAGAGCGAAGAGCCCAAGACGAGGAGGCGGAAGACACCAGCTGCAGGGTTACAACAATCAGAGGGACCACATCATCTGGCTCTTTGTTCACTTCTTCTTCGGCTCCGGATCCTCAAGAACGAGGTGTTACAAGTGAAGTAAGATCGTCTGCTTGTGCCTCTCAACCTCAAGAAGAAGATCAAACTTCTAGCAGAACTGCTCCTTGCTCCTGGCAAGATTTGTTCGAATTGCGTGTGGTGCGGGATAGGACTTGTGAGACGACTGCTTGCAGCAAGGGGTACGCCTTTCTCACCTTCCACTCTTCTACGAGGGAAGAAGTCGAGGATTTTCGAGAGAGGATAAACGTGAACTCTTCGTGGTCTACGTCTTCCTCCTCAACCAAACACATAGTAGAATCGTCTGTCGGGGAACAAAATAAATCAATCTCTTCGTCTACATATTCCTGCTCGCAACTACTAGACATCAAGTCAACTTCTACATCGAGTCCCTTGTTTAGCAAGGATTTGACTTTGACAGCTCAATGGTCCGAGCCTCGTACAAGTGAGAAGAGGAAAGAGAAACGTAAGAAAGCTGAGGCGGAGCAGTACCTACCCGATTTGCGTGTTGGGCGGAAGAAGTACCCCTCCAAGGCGAAGCACGCAGATAGTGTTACATGCTCTGATAGATCGAGGTATGTGATGGACAAAAAAGGGTTCATGAAAATTACGAAAAACACTGCCGCGATCTAGTCAGATATTTAGCCTGAGTAGCTGTACTTGTAGCCCCAACAGTTCTGCTATGTGCCCCTCCAGAACAAGAGCGACCTAAGAAAGAAAGTTTCACACTCAAGGAAGTCAAAACCTATCCTCAAACATGTCAATTTCCTATTCCCATGGTGAATCGAAGGACAACACTCCAAGACACATACGGAAGTCACACTCGCAACAATAAACGCACTTCGTTGATGTTGCTTGGCTGCAAGCCACACCTGTGTTCAAATCTCTTTTATCTGCTCGGAAGTTGGTAAAACAATAACAAACGAAAATTTGCGAAAGGCAAAAGGCCTTGTTCTCGAATCGTACGATGTCAAGGAGTGCTGTGGTGGCCTATGCATCTTCAACAAATATGGATACTTGTGAAACATCTCATTTCCAATGCACATGTAGATGTAGAAGAAGTTACCACAGCAAACTACTAAAAAGAAGCACTCATATCTGAATTTTTTGTTTTTTTCCTGTAGAAGCCGGTCGAACTTACGTTATTATCATTCTACAAAGTCAGGCAAGAAAATGGCCTCTTACTCGGGTCCTGGCCAGGACATGAGTTTCCTGGACAGTGGTGCGGGCAACAGTAACATAGAGAGGGATCATGGAAACGAGGATGCTGAAGCACAGAAACTCGATGCCGACGACGCTGAAGGCGCGGCACTGCAGCAGAAGAATGAAAAAAAGGAGAAGATTAAGGCCGGATCGTAACTTCGATTGAGTGCTTGTAAAAAATTGCATAGTGCTAGTAAAAGCATAGTAAGTGATTTGGTAGATCACACATGGGACACATGACATGGCATGTAGTAAAAGCATAGTCTGCTAGTCGTAGATGAAGAAGAATATCTGTGGACTTGGAACTGTTAGGTGAGGGACACAACTGGAACTGTAACAGGTGAGGGACACAACTGGAGCTGTTCGATGAATATCCAAGAATACTAGATGAAAGACAGAACCAGACGTACTACCCCTTCCCCTTGGGACAACCCCATGCTCTAAGAGAAGAAAGACCAACATCCCGAAGTTAACAAAAAGCCGATTGCTAGATCCGCAGGTGGGAATATGGTCCATTCGGCCAGAGACTGAGAATCTGAAGCTCAAAGGCCGTGGACATGAATAGTATGGCTGCAGCAAGATAATTCTTCATAATCTTCTTCTGTCATCATTAAAAAATTTTCATTTTGTCGTGTCATTTATGTGTCCTCGAAAGAAAGGTTGTTTGATTACCTTGTCTTTCTCATTTTCATGGCAGCTTTCTTTAGAGTCTAAGGGAACCGTGATCGTTCTTGATTTATGGAAGCTGTAATCATCTTTTACTGCTCCCCACCCATAGTTTGTTATTGTCGTTCTTTTAATCATCTTTTACTGCTCCCCAAAACACCCATTGTTATTGTTATTGTCGTTCGTTATAATATGTTTTCCACCCACCCATAGTTATAATTGTTTTTCATCCGACGACCCCTACTTTCATTTTTGCGAGGACCTGGATGCGATTCTGGGTTATTTTCGGGATTTCGCAAAGAGATGTCATCAAATTATGGATCTCCTGTAATTTTTTCTTCCTGCTGCATCGATTCTACCTTGCTCTTTTTTGCTCTGTGGATCCATCCATATTTATCTGCTTCAAAACGTTTCATTAGCAGGATAAAAAAGAGGAAGAAAGAGTACAAACTTCCATACAAGGATTACATCTAGACGATTTTATCAGGCATGCGGAGAATATTCTGCTCAAAAAATCGGTGGATGAAAGCGACGCCACGGGAAAGAGAATGGAGCCGCCACCAAAGGTACTGCTTTTCTGCTTGTCCTGATGGAACTAGCTTGTTGGGCTTGGGCTTTTCCACTGTCGACCCGTAAAAAACCCTAATATTTAGAGGTAGGCAACAAGTGGTGTTGTACTACTTCTGTTTTCATCGTTTGAAGATTATCATTCTTGTTGAAATCTATTCTTTATCTCTCTCTCTCCTTCATCCTTTAACCGATCTGGCACTTATCTCACGCTTAATCCGTTATTTTTCTTTCCCATGACAAGAAATCTCATTCTCAGGCTTTGGGTTTGAACCTTCGATGCCAGTACAAACATCGCGACTGGAGTGCGCCTGAGTTTTATTTAAAGGGTGGCATGTCAGGTGGATTACCGGAGAACGAAGTCGCGCAGATCCTTGCAGCTAGCAAACTTAAGGATGTAGATTTTGGTCATTCATTTGAATTTGGATTTGTTTCATGGAAGGTTTACATTTAGAAAGATCATACTATAGGTAATAGCTGCTATCTGCCTACGACACAACTCTGTAATAAATTTCTTATGTTTCCGTCTTCATCTTTCCGTTTCCTGTAATCGAATCTGAACAATAAAAACACCTTAGACCACCTCTAATAGCCGAGGGCGGATCGAATATGCGAAACCGGAAGGCGAAACGAATAATGGTATTCATTTGGTAACTCACTTCTTGAGAACAAGAACCAGTCATGATGTGATCGACTTATATCAAACTTCTGGTATTATCTTGTTGTTTCACAAGGTTTAGGACTAGGAGAACAAGCTTCCCCAACATCCTCTTCTTCATTTACAATTATATCCCACATTCCATCTCCATTTCCAGCCACATCTTCGACTACGTCGCGAGACATCGAGAAGGTAATGGAAGATGATCCGATGCTATGGGGTGCAGGTGAAGAGGAGGGTGAGAGGGCAAGACAAAATGCAGCGGAGGAAGCGGCAAAAGCTGCTCAGAAGGAAGCACTCCAGAAAGCCATGGCCGCGAGACGAGCAAACGCTGCTTTGCAGCAAGGTGCACAACAGGAGAACTCAGGAATTATGGCTAGTTGTTTTCGTTCTTGTGGGTTGTTTACTATGTTGTAAGTAATCCTGTATGTTGAAGTAGTATGTCACAAGTCGCGAAATCCCGTTGAGAACTCCTGACAGAGAACCCGTTTACGAGCTCTCTCAGTTAAGAACACAATCGCGAAGAGACAAAGTGCTAAGATACCACTCAAGTGAAGGTCGTCAGGACGATTATGAATTTTTGCTTGTGAAGATCCACTTCCTTGCCGTCTAATGCCCCCACCGGTAATGGTGCCAATGCAGCATCAGCATCTTCGTCCGAGCTGACGGAAGAGCAGAGAGCTTGCATAGCCGCAAAGCGAGCAAAGTTTTTGGAGGCTCGACGTTTAAAACAGATGGAGCAACAGAAGAAAGGTGCCTCATCGTCCTCTACGACCGCAGCTTCTTCGTCGACAAGCAGCAATAATGTTGCGGGAGGACCAGAAGTTCCGCAATTAACTGACGAGCAACGCCAACGGATTGAGGAGAACAGGGCTAAGGCTGCAGCAATGCGAGCTGAGAAACGACGAAGGATCGAACAAGAGAGACAGCTATGAGTTGGAAACCATACTATTGACCTTCGATGAAATGATATTGATATTGTTGAAAAAAAGAATAGATATTGGTGAAAAAAGGTTGAAAGGCCTCAAAGACGTTAGTCAGGACGTAAAACGAGGTATCATGTTCATGGCATGACATCCATCAGCACATGTTCAGTTTTGAGATTCATCTCTTAATGTGATCTTCATAAGGCATTGCAAAACTGTTTCCTCAAACTCAGAGGAAAAAAACTCGAGAATCTGTTGAGAATGTCGTGCGTGCAGAAGATTTTGTATCAATAGTTGAGAGACGTCTACTCAATATCAATAACGTGTCCTGCTTCTGAGAAGGACCTTCTCCTTGCCTCGCCGTGCATGAAAAAAGAGACGAGCATGCATCCAGAATGTTTTCAACGCACGTTTTCGTAATCACCCCAACGATCTGTGTATGAGGGAAAGATTCTGTCAAGAGACTTTAAGGTACTTACGAACTTTACGAGTCTGTATTGAGGGACTCACACGGAAATCATTATCTGTTGAAGACCACGTACACGACGTTGATGGGTCACTTCCCCAAGCATGGACGATTAGTCATCAAACTTGATTTCATCAAACTTGACTACACGTCTGAAGATGCAGTATTTTACTGTCCAAGCAATTCCTTTTTCAAACATTCAATTCTTCTTTTTTTTGGTTTAGACTGGATTATTATGCCATTGATCTCAAGTTGATTTATGTTTACCCCAAGCGCCCCATTATAGATCGAATCAATTGAATAAGAACGACTGACTTGTTGTTCGAAATCATCATAATCACTTTGCTCACCTTTATTCGAGTCGTTGAAAATTAGATTAATGTCTTCTCCGAAATTCTACCACTAGCTACTTTTCATCTTCTAAGCTTTGTGAATTCCTCACTAATCTTCACTACTACTTCTTTATTGTAAAAAAAGGGAGAAAAATTATGCTTCATAACTGTGACTGTGACGAGGAATCGAAGTTGTATACTTACTAGAAAAATGGAGCAGGGTCGTGTTGTTCATGAGCGTTCTCTGGATGCTGGTGCAGGAGGCGGCGGCAGGGAGGACGAGCGGGACGACCCAGAGAGCACCGGTGCACCTGCAGTGGAGCAAGATTTCGTCCTTTCTGAGGTTGACGAGGACATTAACGTCGAGCTGGCATCAAACGACGAGGTTGCTACAAGTGCGATTGCCAGCGATGAGAAAGAAGAGAAAAGCGCTGACGGAGGAGCTTTAGTTAATGGAGGGGCAAAGGACAGCACGATAGAGGAGCAGAAGCCTGACGATAGTACCTCTACTAAGGTCGAGAGTGCTAGGGCCACTGACCGCGTGCAAGAACGAGCGGACGTCGACGCCGCAGGTGAGGTCACTGAACAGGGCCGTAATAGTGTTGATGCTGTTCCAGAAACAAATGATCAAAATGATGACCCAACAACGCTTGTCGTGCCCGCGACTGGCGGGACGGCTGCAGCGCCATCTGTCAACTCGAACACCGAACCTGCTACGTCCGGCGCAGCTACTAACCCCACCATCCAGGGGCATGCTGTGACAGCACCAGCACCAGATGTACAAGGTTATTCCAGTGGCCTACATTTGTTGGGGCAACATCAACAGGGAACCGGAGAAACACCCGTTTCTCGGCAGGACGAGGAAGATGAGATTACATATTCGTGGTCGCGTGAAGAGAACCGGTTTGTGGCTCGGTCAAAAAGACCTACGACTCCGCAACCAGTAAAAACGTCCTCTATATCCTCTATTTTGGGAGAGGGCGTCGAAGATGGCGAGGAGACTGGGGCTAGCAAAGAGTTGGCAAGACCTGCGACGGCGCCAGCTGTACCATCAACGCATGTCCTGAATGATCATTTTTTTCCTTCAAGTGGAAGCACCGGCGATGGCTCGAACACTTTTCAGGTACCACACAGTAATGTCATATGCGTATTTGTCAAGATGTAGTCGTGTTGTGCGATTATAATGTTAGGTCACTAAGTAATATAATGGCTCTAGTATAATGTGAATGTATTATGACTAGGAATTCTATCGAAGGTATACTAGTTTATACTTGTTGGACAACAGGTAGCAACGGAGCCACAAGTTGAGATAATCGAGGGGACACCCGAGACGAGGCCCGACAACCATAGCGTTGATCCCGTCGTCCCACTGGGTGAGGGATCTACCGACGCACCCCCAGCACCAGAGGGACCTGCTTACGAAGACACGACTGTAGTGGAGCAAACAGGGGACGTCGCAGCCCAAGTCGAGGAGCCTGAGAGCAAAACGAAGCTACGACAAGCTGAGAGCTCATTGACGACGGCACCTGCTGTCGTTGTTTCTGGACAGAGTTCAACCAATCTAAAAACGTCGACAACTGTCCTTGTAGGAGATACAACCGAGGAAGCGTCTGTCAGAGGACGTGAGTTGTCTCTGGCGAGTCCTACTGGACTCAAAAACGGTCGTGTGGCAACACCGATGGCACCTCCAAATAAAGAAGTTCTTGGAGGAGGGATGCCGCGCACACACGTCAGTCGTAGTTCCTCTCCGCGCGGCCGACGTGGCTCTTCTCCGACGACGAGGACTACAGCTGGTGGAAGTCCTGTGAATGCTAATAATGCGAAGACCCCGAAAGAAGAAGTGACGTTGCCTTGGCTGCCTCCAGCTCCACGCGCAAGCATCATCGATGTGCAGACGCGCCACACTTTAGCTGCCTCTTTGTCCGCGCCCTTTCTGAGTCCGCGGGACCGGCAAGAGCGGCGTCGGAAGTACAGCACTGCCCAAACGTTGGTCGCAAGCAAGGAGTACCATGAGAAAAAAGCCGCACAAATGGCGAGACTCGGTGTTCAGTTGGAAGAGATGAATCACCTGAGAGACACCGAGCAGGAGGCCTTGCTTTCGGCGCGGCGTGAAAGTGAGCTGAGACTGCGGCCGCGATGGACGGTGAATGCCGTTGCGCCACGCATGGTTGCTCACCCGGGAACCAGTGGTGGCGTACTTGCGGGTACCCTGGCTGACGGTTCCAAGCACGTGCTCAATCGGGGAGGTGGCTACGCGCCAACTGCGGAAAAACCACAGCTAGAAAGGGAACGAAAAAACGCAGCTGAGTATGCGAAGTTGTACTCTTTGCCGCAGACACCACGAGGTGGAAACGGAGCGCTGGCAAGTCCGCGTGCTGGAACTGTGGTGGCAAGTCCGCGTGCTGGAACTGTGGTGGCAAGTCCGCGTGCTGGAACTGTGGTGGCAAGTCCGCGTGCTGGAGCCGTCGGGAGTCCACGAGGGATGCCGCAAACTCCGAGAGGAACGTCTCAAACTCCGAGGAGAGGTGTTTCAACGTCGAGAGAGCGGCAAGAGCAATCTTCGGGACAACTGCCATCTCAAAGAGCTGCTCATCTACCAGATGAACAACGAGAAGATTCCGCGAAGACTGCTGACACGTCGCCTTCTGGTAAAGGTACTTCTGATGCGCAGTCTATTACAAGAACTACAGTTATGACGACGTCGTCTGATGCCCCTTCATCTTCACCTTTGGTTAGAAGAAGACTTCGAACCCCAAGGAGGCCAGTAGATACGATTGATATCCGACCACCCGAGCCATGGGATAAGCGGAAGTTAGCAGGCGTGTCTCCAAAGAGCGCTTCTGATTATGGCCCTCGTCATGATGAATTTAATACCAGTACTAGAAGTAGCTAGATTTTGTGTTCCCTTTCTCGTAGCAAAACCTTAGACTTGATGTTCCCTTTATGTTTATGATGATCAATTTGTTCTTAAAGAGTCTGATGACTGACGATTTAATGTGCTGAGTTACAGGAGCTTGATAGAAGAGTTCTAGAAACATCGACTCTCTGTTTCTAACTCAAGCGTCGCGTGCTACGGGAGCAGGAGCTGGATAAGGCGAGGGAGGCAGCAGCTTTTACACGTAAAGTCGCTGCCTCTAAGTTAGAGAACGACTCCGCGAATCCTAGGGTCGAGAAACCCCAAACTCCACGGCGCATGTTGGTTGTAGCAGGCTTAGAATGGGACCCGCAACGGCCCGATGCAGAGGGCGTGATAAAGCTGGAAATGGTGCCACAGCCACCTAAAGAACCGAAACCAGCTGCGACGAAAGCTGCGAATACGTGAATGTTTCGTCGGAGCGGGAGATGTATGGGTGAAGAATCGATCCGAACGGATGGAAAGATCGAAGTACCCTTGCTGTCTGTGTAGGGTAGGTAGAGCTTGTGGTTCATGATGTCGTCGGTTGATGTCTTTAGTTTGAGATGTTCTAGTCTTTGCGAAGAACCATCCAAAATTCGATCAATAGATTATATATAAGAGATATTGACAGTAGTTCTACAACGACTCCTTGCATGTATAGCTATAGATTTATTCTCATCGGTAAAAAAGGATTATGAATGTTGCTGAGCATTGCACTTGCGCGAGAGCTTTCTTTCTAAAGCATTGGTTTGAACTGAATGCACAATTATTGAAGCAGTAGACGTGAAGATAGAGCTAAAGAACAAACACCTCCTGGAAGCAGATTGATGCATCTATCTGCTTGCTGCATGGTTGAAAGTTGGATTGGCTTCCAGCACACAGATGGGCTCTGTGACTGTGTCATTGACAGTGATTGTGTCTTTGCCCGCGATCAGTTGCCACTTCGGACACAGAAGCGGAGGTCTACTTCAGTCGGTCGTCATCATCGTGTACAAGTAGCACGAGTCAGCGAGAAGAGTCGTCTGTCTTTGTGTTTCATCGTCGTCAATGAGTTTTCGTTTATCCGCCAATAAAAGACATCGGGTGTTTCGGTTCGTTTATATCCGCCAATAAAAAACATCGGGTGTTTCGGATTGTCTTCGGTTTTTAGGGCGATAGAAATGCTTCTTTCAAGATTGAGGTACTACGTCTTGCATGTTCAACTTTTCGAGACTGATCGAGCGAATCAAAGGATTAGGAAAGACAATCTCGACTACGCAAAATTGAGGAAAACTCGGACAACTCCGGCAAATATTTGAAAAGTATTCGTAAATAGGGCTCGTTTATCGTGACGGAAAGAGATCTTCGTCCTCAAATCTACTGCAAAAACAGCAATAATTCCGGACAGAACTGTGATTAGTCTATCGAGTATTATCTGAGCCGTGAGGACGGGAGTATTATCTGAGCCGTGGTGGGGAGGGGCTCGATTGCTCAACATGAATTGATAAAGTAATTTCAGTGAGTGTCAACAATTTGCTGACACTGAAAACTGGTCCCTGAAGATTTACAATATCTACTTCATTCGTGACCAAGTGAAAATTTGCACCACTTCATCAATGATCAACATGTTTACCTCGTAAGTGCTTTACAAAGAGACAGCCCAGCAAAATGAGTTCGCGAAGCGGGGGGTCCGCTCGTGGTGGGATCGACAAGACGGTCGGAAGCACGATCGACGGGTCTGCTGCACCAGCACCGACGCCTCCTGGTTCTGGAAAAGGGAGTGCTACGAAAAGTTCAGCGCTCATGCTACCTGGCACCGAGGAGATGGAGGTGCAGGACTGGTTAGAACTTTGGGGAATCGGCTATGGACAATGGAAGGTATCCCATTGCGCTAACGGGATATGGGCTGCAGACGGTGCAGAACTACTTCTTCTTTTATGGGGTTACAGTCAACGTGAACGTACTAGTACTTGTTGCATTTTTTAGATGGAGATTTAGATACTTGCATATTTACTTCTGCTCCAAACTACTTGCTAAATAAGATGTAGAATGAATGATTAAGATTATGCTGTTATTAAGATTATGTCTATCATCTTTCCCGGAGAAGCTCCTACAGGTGACATGTCTCTATGGTGACTTTAATACTAAAACTGCATATTTTTACATGCATCCTCTCCTCGTCCTCTGTCTCGTCTAATTCCGGGTTCCCTAGTTCGAGCAGTCACCGAAGAATGGAATTTTTCGGCTTTTGAGCGGGGCGCGATTGTAGGCGTCGTTTTTATCGGCGTCTTTTTTGGAAATCTCCTAAGTGGAACACTTGGAGATGCGATTGGTACTAGAAAAATTTTTTCTATCCCAATGAAGATCGACGAGATGGGGTCGAAAAGAATACCGGTACCAGAGCCAGACACTTTCGTTTAACGTAGGTGGAGACCAGACTGCTTTAAGGTGGTCGTTTCTAGAATAGGAGACCGACTTGGAGGACTTCCTATTCTTGTGCATGATTGATGTGATTATGGATATTGATCATATTCATAGAACACCAAGTGAGGACTTCAGCTTCACATATCAATCTGCAAAATTTTGTATCTCGGTCATTCGTCCACGTCCACTTCCACCCAATCTTCCACAGGTCTGAGGACTTCAGCTTCACATATCAATCTGCAAAATTTTGTATCTCGGTCATTCGTCCACGTCCACTTCCACCCAATCTTCCACAGGTCTGAGGACTTCAGCTTCACATATCAATCTGCAAAATTTTGTATCTCGGTCATTCGTCCACGTCCACTTCCACCCAATCTTCCACAGGTCGTCGCAGCGTGACCCTTTTATCCTACATCCTTTTAAGGCTGGCGATCTATCAATATCATGCTTCTACGAGCTAGATACTACAATAATTGATGTATCATGCGTTACTCTGCATATAAGCAGAATATGTTCTTACTCTTTGTTTCTATTCTCAACAACGTCTTAGAATCAATACCGTTCTTAGCTACTTGCCCAAATTGGTGGAGAACTCTTCATTTTCTAATTTTCGTGGTCATATTTTCGATCCTGTCCGTGGCATCCTGGGACTTCACGTCCTTGAGTGTAGTGCGTTTTGGGGTTGGTGTGGCATTCGGCGTCGGACAACCAGCGGGACTCGCTTTAGCGAATGAAACTTAAGACTGGCTCTTTCACTATTTTTGGTGTCGACCTTAATATTCTCAACAATAAGAATCACGTTCGTTCTTTGTGGGTACTGTGGGTACTTAAGATTATACAGTAGAGTGGTACCTGTATCTGAAAGAAAGGTAAGATTATACAGTACAGAGTGGTATCTGTATCTGAAAGAAAGTTTGTCGATGCCGTCAGTCTCTGATGTGCATGTGTACCAATCTTGATAATATTTTTGTTCACATTCACAAGACCCTTCTTGGATCTTCCTTGCAAGTAGCTACCTACGGTGTAAGCAGGACCTTCTAAGCTTATTCCCCAGCACATTTCCGGCTTATCGCCTCGTCGCTTGCAGGAACGCTTTATTTTGTATTGGGGGAAATGTTTGCGGTGCTGTTGATCTGCTATGATGATGTCGATATGAAGGATCTTGATTGGAGGTAATACAACGAAATACTTTTTGTTCTTTGAGAGTTTGATTTTGATTCTGAGTTGATTTAAGACTTTCTTTAAGAGTTGTCTTAGTTTCTTTTTGTAAGATCTCGATCGGAGCAGGACCTGAGGTGGTAATATTTTATCTCTCTGAGGACAAGGACAACTTACATGTTGTTTAATGTAATCACAAACGTGATAGATTCTTGTAAGGCAGAACGGACGTACTTACAAAATACCTATCGTAAATTACCGTTAAATCAAAGGTATTCATGAATTAATCTTGGAAAACGCGACGCTGATTGTCTTAATGAAAACTTCTCAAACATTATTCTCACAGGTGGTTAATCGTAATGGGTTCGATCCCTAGCATGATGTTCGGAATTTACGGAATGTTCGTACTCCACGAGTCTCCGGCTTGGTTGTACTCGCAAGAGAAGATCCAGGAGGCTATAGAAGTTCTGGAGTGGGTTCGTGGTGAAAATTTCCGGTCACGAGCGACAAAGTGCGGATGCTTCTTCGGCCGGGGGGAAGGTGTGGCTCTTATAGAGGAGAAGTTTGGCTTTTACCCAGACGACTTTGCGCCACAAGACGTGAAAACACCAGAAGATTAAGGCCACTTAGATCGATCAGGATAAAACATAGATTGATGATTGAAGGACAAATGCCTTACAAACCTTTGAAACCACTACGTAGCTTACCACACTTTTTTGCTCGGTCTAAGTCTTCTGCCACCTTTGAAACATCTACATCACCTCTCGTTGCGCACACTCATATTTACACTCCTTCATTCATTCACTCAGTCTCAGTGTTTGACGGCTCCTCCGTAAGCACAAGACCAACTAGTACAACTAGGTGTAAGATTTTTTGTCTAGCGACTTGACGTAGAAAGAGGACGTCTATTACGGCTTGTCTTGCTTCTTCTAATGCAAACTAGATCCAAGATCTGTGTGGCGGCAACCCATACGTCTGCGACCACCGTCCCCGAGCCGAAAAGTAGCGATGGACGTCGTAGGCCAGGTTACATCAGTAAGAGGACGAACGGCATCCAAGGATCAGCAGCCCGACACAGGTGTAATCGGCACAGGACCGAATGCAGCAACTTCTATAGACTTATGCAGCTTGGTATGAGTACAACGTTCTAATGAGTCATCATCATAATCTCAAGGAGCTTAGCAACAAGGACAACAGGGACAGGGACTCACGCTGTGAGCTTATTTTAGTCCCAAAGTTTCTTTTTTCTTTCAATGTTGGAGAATTTATTTAGAATTTTTCAAACCACTGCTTAACGTGCTACTCCCACATCGACTCTTCGATCGAGAAGTTATCTTCTTGGAATAGAGAAAGTCGTCTTGTTCTGTAGAGAAATCATCTCAACAACGATACAAATAAGTACATAGATCCAACCAAATGACTCTTAGAGGGAATAATTCCCTTCTAGTGATTTTCCTTGGAGGGAATCATCATTCCTTAGATGGACTGTCCATAACACGACTGGATGGAATAGTTTACTAGTATAAGTGCTATACCTCTACTTCTACTAGCTCTACTAATAGACGGTGCTATACCTCTACTTCTACTAGCTCTACTAATAGACGGTGCTATACCTCTACTTCTACTAGCTCTACTAATAGACGGTGCTATACCTCTACTTCTACTAGCTCTACTAATAGACGGTGCTATACTTCTACTTCTACTAGCTCTACTAATAGACGGAGCAGATGATCCATCATCGAGAAGTCTCGTTGTCAAAAAACAGGACGCTGCAACTAGCTTGACGCCGCGTCCTTTCTCCGCGCGCGAGGCCTCTTCGGAGACGTGGACAAATCGAGTAGGGCAAGTCTTTGGTCCTCCCTTCCTGCTGACAACGTTCTTCCTTTGCTGGAGCTGCTTCACCTGTAACATTAAGGGTAGGAGGTTTAAGGTGGTGCTTTTCTTAATACCGCTTTTTATGCCTCTCTCATCCTGCTAAGGGAGATCATCCTAAGGGAGAGAGAATGCTTTTCTTACCGCTTTTTATGCCTCTCCTAACCCTAAGGGAGATGAGAAAGCAAGGCATAATTAAAAAGCGGGGTAAGTCCCCCGCGAGCACCAAAAAGCTACCTCTAATAACAACGTCTTCTACGGAGGAATGTACGCTTTTCCACAAGTCCTGGCGGACATGGGGGACACTTTGACAATTCGCCCAGCATATTCCTTTTAAGGCTTAGGGTTCCCTTAACGGCCCATCTTTCTAGCTATGTATCGTCCCTCAAGCTCAACCCTTTTACGGAGTGGGGATGCACCAGTAGCTTCTTTCGCAGCGTCAACGGCCTCATCCCAATGCAAGGGGACTGCTGGGGCATGTCGTTGAGGCATTTCCTTCCACAGGTCTTTTTGAGGGCTTCCTTCTCCATCATCTGCAGACGACGAGGAGTGGTCGTTGATGAACAACTTGGGAGAGCTCTAATCCTTACTTCTCGCCTGCGCGTGGGAGATAGTGGGTGGCCTGATAGCTTTCTACGTTGGCCAGAGTTTTTATCGAAAGCCGGCTATTGCGATATGGCTAGTCGGCGGGACACTTTCGGTATCGCTCTTCCTGCTGGCCTTGCCTAACAGCAAACCAAAGCCAGAGTTATGGAATTGTAAGAAGTCATTTCGACGTCATGTAGAAAAAGAACGCCCCTGGTGGAGTGATTCGTTCTACTGTGTGTGATAGGTACTTTGTTACTTTTTGTGGTACGTGTTTTTCTGGATCTTTTCTACTCTGATATGGATAGGAGATATTCTACTCGGATTTTTTCTTCTTGTAGCGTTGGTTCTTGCTCTTCACGGCTTAGTACGTTACTGTACGCTTCTTGGAAGAAATTTCCTCGGGGCCTGGTCTCAACGCTGGTTTGGAAAACCAGATTGGAGACACATGACATGACATCTACTTCCGTAAATTAATATCTAACGTACCAAATCACAGTGGTGAGCGAGCAGGCATCTTCGTCACTTTTACGGAGTGGGGATGCACCAATAGCTTCTTTCGCAGCGTCAACAGCGAGTCCGGATGAAGAGGAAGATATGGATTTTGACGATGCTTCACGTTCATCATATCAGCAGGGGAGAAATAGTACTGCGTCGAGTACCTCTTCTTCAAGAGAAACGAGCAGACGTGGAGAGAAACATAGTTTTAGAAATGGTCCTCGTAGTCCGGTAAACGCCGAAGATGTTGATGCGCAAGAACATGAATTAACAGCTGCTTACTTGTCGAATTTCGTGATCTTTAGTACGAAGCTGGGTCCCGCTCTCAAGGTAGTAACTCCTGTGAAGACCACGTCACACGCAAGAACATCAAGCACGTTGAAGATAAAGGTAGAGAGTCCGGCGGGTGGGAGCTCATTCGAGGCAGAGGATAGGAGGGGGAACAACAGAACAGACGTTGAAGCAGATGAATCTGTTGAGGAGCAGGCAAATTCAGACTCGGACATCGCAGATAGTAGTATCCCTAGTAGTGGTGCTGGTGAAAAAACGGAAAAGAGATCGACTATGCTTCTCCGCGATTCAGAGGGCACAGTGGTGGACGAGGGCGAGCCACATGACGAGAAGAGGCACGATCATGATCATTCTGCAGTAATAACTGTAAGGAGGAGGAAGACGAAACAGCAGACGCATCTTCAGGGAGAAGATGATAATACAGAAGGGAACCTACTAGATGAAGTAGATGCGGACCATGATGAAGTAGAAGAGGACTCGGTGGATTCTCAGGAGCAGAGTAGGATACATCGGCATAATGTGAGGAAGAATGAAGTGGATCAACAAGAAGAAGAGCAGGATGATGAGCCCAGTTTCCTAGAACAGGGGTCTCACGTCAGAAGAGCCGAACCAAGGCCGCGTAGCTCACTTTCAGCTCGAGCTTCTAGTTACGTTACGACTCTTCCTACCGCTCAACCGATAAGCTTTGTGGAAGTCGGCGCAGCATCAGCCGTGACTAGTGGAAGTAGCTCCCGCTACTCGAATGGCGGAAGTAGCGGCAGTAGTGCTAGAGACGACACAACAAGAAGAAAGAGGAAAAGAAAGGAAATGGAGCAATCTTTGCTGCAGAGTGGTTCAACATCCTTTAGAGATCACCTTTTAGAAATCTGTATGGAACTTGGGCTTTTCGGTCAGAAGTTCATGGTCACGCTTGGCTTCGTCATGGTGTACCTGTTTGTGATCGAAAGTTATGGCTGATAGTAAATCGTGAAAAACTGAAGACGAATCATCTTCCTTATCGGATAATATCCGTAGTGACACAAAGAAGCTGTAAATGTAAAAGATCAAAATGAGTTCTACTAAGAAGCTGTATATGAGTAGTGACACAAAGAAGCTGTAAATGAGTTCTACTAAGTTCTTTGAAGATAATAGATGAGTTCATCTTCGACATACGTTTCTGTATATACCTCTAAGAAAACTACCCAACCCACATTCGTGCAACGGGGACAGCAGTTTGCCTGTCGTGTGGAAGAATAGGGTCGATAACTGCACCAACGATATACGAAAAAATGACAGAGGCTTCGGGAGGACCAGTGCTTTTCTTCATTTATCTGGTCTTTCTCTTATGACTTTTGGTATTGTTCCTAGGTATAGTAATTCTAGGGAAGTGAGCAACTGATCAAACCTAAGATAGCAGACGTTTTCTATTTCAGGCGAAAGCTTCTCCTATGTTTTCTACTTATGAGCCGTCGACTAATATGCCCGTGGGGCTTGGGCTCTAGCTTTTCTGCGGCGATGGCCGTTGTGCTTCATCGTTTGCGTAGTCGTAGCGCCTGGCCGTTGTGCTTCAGGCTTTCCGCGGGGTGATTGAGTGGAACTATAGCGGGAAACTGTAGACCCAGGCCCCAAAAAAAGTGAGATGCGTTCCCAGATTGAATGAATCACTTACAACAGAATCACTTACGCATGACATACGCTACAAGCAGGTTTCTTCTAACTCTTCTGGCGATGAACATGATGTTCCTGCTGTTTATGCCCTTGATCGAAACCGGGGGATTGCAGTTGAGCGACGACGCGTACAGTACCGACAAGGCGAGCATTAAGAACCCCATAATGTTGGTCGTCTTTCTATTTGCCTTATCTCACGCTTACTGGCACGTTATTGAAGCATCTTGATTCTTCGATGAACGAGAATAGTTGTGCTCTAGTACCTCTACTGGGGACACCATGATAGATGATGATCTACTTGGTAGAGATGCACATACTTTAGTAGAGATACTATATTGTATTGTATTGTATTGAGTAAGCATCGTGAGGAAACACTATGACGCCGCGCGGTAGTCTGCACTGAATTCTGTGCGAGATTAATTCTTTTGTATTGCATTGGTTGTTACCCAGAACCAGACTAAATCCTGCTTCTAAGAAAGGACTATGGGACGAGCTCACTGGTGGTTCAGCTTCAGGTCCTGCTGAGAAGGCAGAGTCTCTTCCAGAAGACTCAACAGGGGTTAAGGCTCAGACGCTGGCAACATTATTGATACTTGCATACAAAGCCACCTTGTTGTTGATGTTGATGTTTACAAAAGACGTGAAGGTGAAGCGTCTGTATAATTGTACCTCTGTGTAACTAAGTTTTGCTTCTAGCTTGGCCAGGTAGGGTCAAACTTGAAGTACATGACCATGACCACGAATCGACTTCTACCATTCACCAATCTTACTTCTACTTTCACCAAGGACTACTTTTACCAAGTAGAAACAACTACGTGGACCATACAGACAATTCGGTTTAGTATTCTTCGCACAACTTGAACACGAGGAATTTAGCGATGGAATAAGCGCTCTTACTAACTGAGGACCAAGGAGCTCATTCTCTCTCATGAATCCTCTATCTTTCTCAATATAATCTTCTAAAACTGGCGTCGACGGTAGTGGGGCGTCGGGCAGAAGTGCCAGATCATTGGATCACCACTATAATTTGCGACCAGGGGACACCAGTGGAGGTCGAGAAGAAGCGAATTTTGCAAATGCATTGGACGATGCGCAAAAGATCGAAAAATGAAGTAGACGCATTGCCTTCGAAAAATGAACTCTTTCTTCGATTTTGATGGTTTTGGTTTGGTGTGAGAAAGAAAATAGAAGTCCAGAACAACTGCGTTTTCGTTCTTTCCTACTGCAGACCTTCGTTACCATTTTTGCGTCGTTGATGGCCGTGCGTGACATATTTTTATGTCTACTGCTCTTCACCGACTTCACATTTTGCTATGATTTTTTTTTTGGTAATACTAGACTACCACAGCTAGATGAAGACATTGAGATAACAGAAGCTGCTTCTCCACAAAGAAAGCCAATTCCTTGAGTTGTGGTCACTCAACTACTCAACAAGATCGAGGAGATTGGCCGCAAGATAAATGAGTCTTTTTGCTACAACTTTCCTATGGAACGAATCGAACTTTTCGTGGTCCGATAAAAGGAGATACCATCAACCTAGTATCGTGTTCACGCTGATGTTTCTCCTGCAGGACGAGGCCGTACGACTTTTGCAAGCTGCTCCTCCTTGAATCATCTTTTTGTTGAGCTTGAGAGGACACTTCTTTGCCAACAATTTTCCAAAGAAATGGTCCTCCATGAAAACTGATCTTAAAAAGGTCTGTTGTAGTCCTGTACATTATTGAATTTCGAAGATCCTATGCATCGAAGATCCTATTCCTATGGCAGATCCCAACGATCCTACAAGTACTGAGGTTGATCTCAGGTAACTGCGGAGAAGATCTAAGACTAATGCTAGATCCAGTTGTAGTACTAGATCCAATAGTCAGATCCAATAGTCCGAACAAGGAGTAGATCAGATCCATCTTCAGAGGGAAGCTCGATCTCTTGATCTATGATCACACGAAGGCGCACTTCTGTTGAGCTGTTGAGCTATCCTATGGGCTATGGCTGTGCCTGTCGCGATAACATTAACATGATCGTTTTGCTTGCTTTATTTTGATGAATAGTAAAACCAGATTACTATCACGATAAAAACAAGTGTTGATCTTGATTCTAACCGATAAATCGCTCTTTTGAATTTGCAGAGGTCCATGGAGCAGATTGAGATACGTAACCTTTAGAGGTAGCTAGTTAGTCTTAGTTCTGCGTGAAACTTTGGAGGCATTTTTGGAATCTTGGGCCACGACTTCACTGAGTCCTAGTTCTGCGTGAAACTTTGGAGGCATTTTTAGAATCTTGGGCCACGACTTCACTGACCAGTAAGTAACAAGTATCATGTTGGAAGTAGAAGTACAATCAGCACTATGATGGCACTGACATAAACTGAAGACTTACTTGGTGCAGAGCGAAGATCCCTGTGCAGGCGGTGATACTAGGCGGAAGAAACAAGCCGCAACAAGATGGAGAAGTACGAAAAGGCTTTGTTGAAGAAGCTGCGGCAAGTGCAGGTCCTCGAACAGGAGCGGAAGAGCGGAAAGAAAGTTCTAGAGACCGCGCAATTAGATAAAATCTCGCGAAAGGGGGAAATTTTACAGCAGTTGCGATCCGAATGTGGGTACGACGAAAAGAAGATAGCAGGTTTAGACGAGATGAGGCAGAAGACGAAGGAGGATGATGTCGATCAAGGTGAAAAACCGAAAAAGCGGGGTCGCCACGACGAGAGTGGAGTCCCATCGTCTTCAAGTAGCATTCCTACTGTCCACGCGAAAGAATCAGATGCGACTAAAAAGCGCCGCTTATCCCTGAACACGACAACACAAATAGCGACAGCTTCGGTTTCGTCTTCCTCTTCGTCTAGTGCTAGGAAAAATCACCATGATGCTGGGCTTTCTTTACAAACCCAGCTAGAGTCAGCGTGGACTATGCCTGAGATCCTACGTCTCGCCGCCGACAAAAGTATGCAAATGAATGCCAGTGTGGCAGCACATGTGCTACATAAGTTGGCTCAGGCATTACCAACGACTACGCCGGGTAAAACGACATCGACAATGGAAGCTGGTAGTTTCCTGGATGGGAAAACAAGTGCGACTTTTGTGAAAGCCTTCCAGCGCATAGGGGATCAATCTAAATACATGAGAGGCAAGCAATTATGCAAAGCTCTCTATGCCCTGGGGAAAATCGCTGAGTCTCAGGTTTTTTCTCCATCGCATCAAGAGCTCCAGGATGTTTCCAATTCCGCACTACAAGTAGAACAAGTACAAGCTCCTGGTAGTACCAATCATGCGGGTTCAGGGAAGAACAATATGAAAAATGCCATAGCACAACTGGCGGAGCGTATCTGCAATGAGGGAATTAAGCCAGCATTGCAAGGAGCTGGATTCACAGCCACAGGGAAAAAAGGTGGGAACAAAGGTTCCGGAAAGGGCAGTAAGCCTAATACAGCTAGGACTTTTGATTTCCGAGCACTGGCGACGATTCTCTGGGCTCTGGCGAAACTTCGTGATTCTTCCTTTAGCGTGCCTTCAACGGAACAGAAAGCGGATTCGTCCGCTTCCTCCGGCAATACAACAACCGCTACCTCCTTGTCGAGCCTGCTTCTACCAGCCTTCATGCGTGGCCTATCGGCGTCGAACAACTGTAAAAGTATGTCGCCTACTACTGATCCACATTCATACTGTACTACTTCCAGTTCCACATCCACCACAACCGATGTAGCGATGGGTGTATGGGCTTTGGCCAAGCTGCAGTGGAGTTGGACACCGGAAGATAGGGAAACTTTGAAGTGTCAAGTTGTGGGAACCCTGAAATCTCCGACTGTGAAAGGGAAGGAAGTAAGTATGCTCGCATGGGCAAGTGCGATACTGTTTGCGGACCAGGTGAAGCCAACTTGTTCCGAGGGCCTTGTTGGTCTTGGTGATGTCCTCTCGGGCGAACCCGAACTACTAGTACTAGAAGAGCAACTTTTAATCGCTGGTGCATTAGCAATGCCTGCTTTGGATGGACAGGGAGTTGCGAATGTCGTTTGGGCCGTTGGGAAGCTTTTTGACGCAGCTGAAGTGTCGGCAGCAGAGAAGTCCTCGTTCTCAGATAATGTTAACGGTGGAAAACACACATTTGAGGAACGGATTGTCGCATCTGGCGTGTGGAAAGAGTTCCACGAAGCAGTACGGATGAGGATAAAAAGTCTACTGCCACTTGGACTTGAAGAAGAAGATTTGCAGGGAGGACATCAAGCACAGCCTGGTAGGGCAGGTAAATATGAACCGGGACAACTACAGTCCTTCAGCGCCCAGGGATTAGCTCAGACAGCGTTGGGCCTGGCACGATTACACAGAATCTTCATGGCATCTTCTATGGAAAGGATCTCTTATTCGTCTTCCTTAAACAAGGAACATCGACAACATGTTGATGATCATCTTCTCCCTGAGTTGTTGGACTTCGTGAAGCCTGCGCTTAGCGGACGAGTCAAGGACGCGAGAATAAGCGATGTGGGCGATATAGCGCGTGCGCTAGCCATGGCAGCAGCATTCGACAGTCAGCAGAGGAGCTTGCATGTGAAGAAGCCTTCGAACGACGCGGATGCCCAAAACCGATACGAAAAAACGTGCAACCTGAAGACCAAAGTCGTCAGCTGGCTTGCAGATGCTTGTATCAGCAAGTGCAATGCTAATGCGGCACTAGATGCAGATGCTTGTATCAGCAAGTGCAATGCTAATGCGGCACTAGATGCAGTTTCTGATCCAATAACGTGGCAACTACTTGGGCACCTTGAATTCTTATCTCGCGAATTCTCGACTAGCGAGCTGGCCAATGTACTCAGTTCTGAAGGTGCAAAATGTACCATCGCGAACGTGCATTCCGAACGGAGCGTCAAATGTGAGTCTGCTGTGGCAGCACTAGTGAAATGCAGGGGGGAGTATCGTTACAATTCTTCTGAGAACAAGGCCAATAAAAATTCTTCTAGTACTAGCTGGACGAAGATGATGAGAACTTTCTTACTAGTCGACGACCATGAAGGAGTAATGCGGAAGCATGTGTTTGCCCCTGACGGAGCTGCAGAAGTGAAAATCTTAGAGTGGTCAAGGTTTTCTCGTCACGATAACGCGGAAGTGGCCCAAGTTTTTCCACCCTTGGACGGTAGTGATCATACGGATAGCTCTAGCGAAATCGTCGTTGATGAAGTGCTTATTCGCATCCCGACCATTGGCAAGGAGGCTGCTGCTCTAGCTGTGAAAATGTGTGTTGGCTCTCTAAAAGAGGGGAAAAATTCAGCGACTCTCTGGTTAACTGGTCACATAGAGGAAGGGATCCTAGGTCTTTTGCCACTTCTGCGGCAAACTTTCGAAGAGGTGGATATTTTATCAACTAGTACGGTAACTGCTGAAGGAAGAAATAACATTCCTTCGACAGTAAGAGTGATCCGTTGTAACACTATTAAGCAGCAAATCCCTTGGTTGCCGCCATCCTCTTCTACAACGCCAACTAAAGAGCAGGGGACTTCTACAACTAGCTGCAGCCGCGTGGACAGCACTTCTCCGCAGCAGGTTCTCACAAATGTGATTCTGAAAAATTCTGAAACGACGCAAAAGTTGGACTATGGGATGTTTCGGACCAAGGACAAGAAGGACAACCAGCTGTCTAGTAAAGGCCACTTTCGGTGGAGCGCATACCCTGGCATGTTTGCTGGTGGACGATTGACGGAAATGACAAAGTACTTTCTGGAAAAGATCGATCTTCCTTCACTTGTAACAAGTTCAGATGAAAACGATCCAAATACTAATCAAAAGAGTGCTGGGAGTGGCACTTCGAAAAGACTACGTGTCTTGGATTTGTGTTGTGGTAGTGGTAGCGTGGGAGCCGCTGTCTTGGTGGCTTATGCAGATGCATTGCGAAGAGGAGATTCTGGGTGTGGCGTGGCAGTACCGACAGCAACAAGTACAAGTGAATCATCAACTCCCAAGAACTACAGGTCTTTACTACTCCATTCAGCTGACGCGGACACACTTGCGGTGAAAGCATGTCGCAAGAATCTACGGAGACTGGTTGGTAAATTCGAGCTTTCAGAGGAAGCTTCTACTTGCGTTGAATTGGACTTCTTCCTGAGTGATGGACTTCGCGGAGTGTCGTGTAAAGAATCTTCCCCTAGTACAACTAGGACTAAGCGCTACGACCTGATCCTATCGAATCCTCCAGTTCATAACGGTGTGCAGACGGACTTTTCTGTCGTTGCGCATGTCGTTTTGGAGGGGCGGCGATGGCTACGCAAAGGGGGTCGACTGTTGCTCGTGTTACAGGAGTACATCCCGTTACGGTCGATTGTCAGTAATTTCCAACACGACCTGGATAGTTCTTACTCAGTCACAAACGTTGTTTGTGACGGAAAATATGCTGTATGGGACCTTCTCAGAATATGAACATACAAGAACTTCATGTCTTACCACTCCCTTTTCCCTATGATTCTTCCCTGCCCCGCAAAGCGACGGAATGCTGGTGCTCGGATGTCAATAACGAAAAATGCGACCTTCATGCGCATATCCATATCACAGACCACAGCTTCATCTGGTCTGTGGTACTCCTATGATTTGGAGGTCTTCTACACTTTTTTTTGATGCGTGAAGATCACTGGGTCATTGTATCTTCCTCATACTCGGACACTTTGTAGATCAGTTTTATGAAGCGACTCAAGAAGAGCAGTAAAAACTGACAGACATAAGGAGGGATCAGAAATTAGAAAACCGACGATCCGTCGATCACGCGAAGTTATGCTTATGCATTTAGAAAATGCGATTGCGAGTTTCATCGTGATGCTGTAAAAAACAAGATGCTAATCATACCTGATATTCCACTTTGTCAGTAGACTTCCTACACTCTTCGGGTAAAATTGAAATTGTTATGTTTGAATTCCCGGTCTTTCCTTTCGCAGCTGGTTTATGTACTGAGGTGAAGTAATTCATGACATCACGATAGCCATGAAAGGTGGAGGGCATATTTTCAGTTACTATGTGTACGAAGATATGATTCTTTGATTCCTCTTGTATCAAACAAAAATAAACAAAATGTCTGCCTCAAACACAGAATATGAAAACAGAAAAGTGTCCTCCTCCAGCACGACGAATATCGATGACGATGATTTCTTTTTTGAAGTTCGGATGGGGAAGCGCAGTCGACAGCGTACAGTTACGCTGGGCTATGGACGAAATGGATTGCAGATTTCGTGTAACGAGAAGCGGTTGGTAGTTACAGAATGGGACGATGATGGTAATGTGCTACCACGTTTTTGTCGATACGAAAACGTAAATTTCGACTCAAGAAGAAGAAGTAGTGTCAAACTTACAACTGGTGTTAGAACTTCATCATCATCGGTGCTGCCTGGAGCTAGTGATGAGCGTTCATCTGCAGCAACTACTGTAGTAAAAGCAGAACCCTCGTCAGCAATTTCTCGCAGCTGGTTGTTCAAATTAGTCAGAGACGGCCCAGATTCGGAGGGATATTCCATGGACGCTTCCGCTTTTCCTCATGGCATCTTGATTGCTAAAACCGAAGACGATGGTGGCTTGGACCCAAGAGACCGACTTTTTGTCTATAGCGACGACAACGCTTGCGGCATTCGTGGCTGTTTCGACGCAGAGTCGGGGCTGCTCCTAGTCGGAGACTATGTCGAAAGGACGAAAGCCTCAAGAACATTGTTGGTCGACGTAATCCCTGATGGAGAAGGTTTTTTTCAAGCCCTGTTGGCTCTTGGACGACAACATGGTGGAGGTGCAACAACATCATTGCGAAAATCTTCAAAAGCGGCATTCGATACCCTGATGAGTCAGTGGAAACAGCGCAGAATTGCGAGTTGGAAAACGGTTTTTTGCTCTTTTGAGAGAGTTGTGGGTCCTTCTTCTGAAAGGGACCTAAATAAATGGCAGAGCAATATTCGCGAAGACGTTTCGACTGACAAGATACTGAGCCATGCCGGACTTGCATTGACGCCAGACGTCTTTGAATCACGAAATGTCTTCGTGAAAAAATCCGAATATATTGCGCGATGTCTCGCGAGGACCGAAATGAAAAGTGCTGCAACTACTACAGCCGAAGAACCCGAAGAAAAGAAAGCCGCAACTAGTACGAGCGTTGATGTACCCTCAACTGCCAGCACCTGCTCTACTTCTGAGAACGCAAATTGCAAGCGGAGAAGAATAGACGAAAGTACACATCAGCCTTTTTGCTCAGACTCCTCTAAGTCTGCGCATCAAGATCAAATCCAAGATCGAGATCGACTAAAAAAGGAAGAAGACGTTCCCCTAGAAGATCCTGGTGAAGGATTGTTTGCCAAGCGTCCCTTTGCGAAAGGAGAATTGATCGCCTTTTACAACGGTGTGCGCATGACCCAAGCAGCCTGTGATGCACGCGAATGGCACATGAACGCTAATTGCGTTACACTCTGGAAAGACGAGAAGATATCTGCAGACAAAGCTGCGGAAGAAACGTCAAGAAGTCGGACGACAACTACGGCAAGTGGATTTTCACCTAAAAATGCTGGCGGAGAAGATGAAGATCGAGCGTCTAGATCTAGTACAGCTACAGAGGATGAAAAGAGCGAACAAGAAGGTCAAGAAGGAGGAGGTGTCGTAATTGACATTCCATCGCGTGACGCTCGGTTGAGTGCCTACTGCGGAAGCGTGGGCCACAAGGCGAATCACTCCAGAGTGTTGGTGAACGCGGCTTATGGGCCCTATCTGGCACATCCTCGATTTGGAGATATCGTTTGCATCAGGGCATTACGGCACATCGAAGCCGGAGGAGAAGTTTTCTGCGACTATGGATACAACTTGGATGATGCAGGAGATGAAGCCTCTGCGTCTGATGTGGGTGAAAATAACGGCGAAACCTTCATCCTCCCCAACGAAACCTCCTCCACTAACAGCCCTCCTCTTGTTGATCCAGCGAATTCCAACCGAAGCGACGGTGTCCCCGCTTGGTTCAGAAATGACCACTGATATCCTTGAGGACCACCTTCTGAAAGAACGCTTCTTTTTCCAACACAACTATCAAGTTTTACCCCACACTGATTATCAAGTTTTCATGATGAATACCTCACAACTTGTCGTCCACGAAGTTTTTCTATGTTGAGAAGAGGATAGTTTGAGAAAAAAGGTTTCCTAAAAGACTAGTAGAAACTTCGGTGTGTGATGCGTTGTGTGAGGCAAGTAATGCATCATCTGTGCAAGACTGAGAGTAGAATCTGTCGTAGTGAAGCAGCGTTGCTTTTGGTCAGAGTTGGACAAATGTGAAATAGAATACATTCTATTCCTCGTAAATGGTCTGTTGTTAATATTCGCAACTGGTGCGTCTGTTTTGAGTATAGATTTCCAAGAGTGCTTAAACTTGCCTCAAGAATGGATCATAATTTTTGTAAGAAAGAATTCTACGACCTGACAGAGTTGAAGATACAGGTCAAATTGATCTTGCAGCGAATGTTTGGTAGAAGCTCATCTTGCGGCTAGGCCTAGGGTCTGTCTTTAGACAGACAAGAAATAATGGATCTTTTGCACGTGATCCCCGCAGCGAACTGTTCTTGAATGGTTGTGAGTTGTAGTAGCGTAGCTTTTTTACATAGGTTCGTTGACGACCCCCTACCACCTACTAACAGAGCTAATGCTGCGAGTGTTGATTGATTTTATAACAAGCTAGTTCTGAACTAGCACAATAATAGAGATGAAGAAAAAGTTTTTATTGTAGGTCTCTATCTAGCCTAGAGTTTGCGTTAGAAAGTTAGCCTCTTAGTAGCATGATCATAGTAATGATTGGCGGTGACGGTCTTCTTGCAAAATAGAAAGGTTTAAGATAGCGCACAACATGATAAGAGTCAAATGTTTTTGATACTAGTCTGTGGAGAAAATCACTACTAATATCTGGATAAGAACAATGTCTAGTCCAGGACATCAAGGACACCAGCTTCTAGCGATGCCGCCCACCTCTGGCGTGCTGTTGCCGCTAGCTCCTGGCACGCTGGTGAAAGTCGTTGGTCGGATGCCAACAAGCAACACCTTTGGGTTTTCATTGATGGGCCATGTCGTTGAAGATGCGGCGTTCATTCAGAGTCCTGGACGTCCTGCTAACATCAATGACGATGTGTCCAGGACGTCTTCATCAACGGGTGTCGTGCCTAATGGAGTTGTTGGGGCTGGTACAACTACTAGTGGAGAGGTACAACTACCTTCAGCTTCACCGTCCTCACCTCCAGTTGTACCTTCACCGTCCTCACCTCCACCGCTATCCGAGCGCTATATTTCTGTGCAGCTTGATCGCATGCCAGTACTCACAAGAATCCGCGCTCAAAATGTAGTCGTTATTACTGAGGCAGAAAGGGATACGCTTTTACGAGAACTGGAACGAGGAGTTCTTCAACAGGTGGCTTCATCTTCTGGAGAGCAGGTAGTGGATCTTGTAGTTGTCAACACGAACCACGAGATGGACGGCGCTGTCAACGGGAACGAGGTCGCCGCACATAGAAATCGTCAAGACTCCGGCAACGGAAACGGTATTGAACGCGGGTTTGATAGATCTTTGAGGTCTATGAGTTCCCGTAGTCGTAGTTCGGGACAAGGAGGACAGCAGGATATTACCAACACGGCCATTTTTGGTCCCAGTAGCTCACCCGCTGCGCCTGTTTCTGTTTCGGGACACGACGGGAGGTTCTCACCTCCCGGTCGAGGAGGTTTTAGACACCACAGTGCCCGAACAGGACATCATCACCGTAACCTTCCTAGTTCATATCCTGCAGGTGGAGGAGTTCGAGTTCACAGTGGCCTCACCAGAGGACCGCGTTTTGCTCACGCGGATATCGGTCAATTACGTAGTGAGCTGCGTGCTCGCCTTGAGTATGGGCGAACAAGATGGAACGATCGCGCTTTGGACCTAGTCGTTAACGAGAGTGCAGTGCCGATATTCCAACATGCGGATTTGTCTCGTGAAGAAGCTTCTAGAGAGGCAGGAGAAGCTATACTAGACGAACCCTTGATGCGTCGTTTGGTGTCTGCACCTGCGATACCGCTTATAGGTTCCAGACTAAGAGGACCACGAGTAGAGGAGAGAAGTGGAGGTAGAGGTGATCATCATCGAGGAACAAGGACACCACCAACGGCAACGATAATGGTTCATCCCCCAGGCGTTGCCAGTAGGATGGGACCAGCTTCGGCACCGATTCACGGTATCACACCCGGTGCGCCAATGTGGTATGACTCTCCTGCTCCTCCAAGAAGCACAAGTGCAGCTGGAGCGATGCCCTTATTAAGCCCTACCGCCAGCGTCAGAAGTAGTACAACTGGTATTCATCAAGGTACAACTGCAACTGCGCTAAGCCCTACCGCCAGCGTCAGAAGTACATCCACGGGGGAGAGTGAATTGTTGTTACCTTCTCCTCCAGGGCCAACTCCAGGTGCAGCTAGTACAGGAGAAGTCCCTCGTGTGCGACTATTTTTACCAATGCCAGCTACGCCAGGAGGTCGAGTCGAGGGAGTCGACGAACCCACAAGCCAAGACTCGTTCGTGAACGATGATATCATTGCTGACATGCTACGTGGCCAATGGTCGACTAACGAGATTCCTTCACGACCGTCGACTGCACAGACAACAACTGCACATCCCCAAGACGAACTAAGACAACAAGAAGCGGAAAACCAACTAGAACAGGGAGCGCCTGCTGCTGCTGCTGCTGCTTCTTCTGCTGGTTTCTCTGCAGTTCGTGTTGACGTTTCTTCTCCCTCATCCGGACCCACTTATATTTTTGGTTCTGACTGTGATAGGATGGGTCGAATCCTGCGGCACAAAGTGTATTACAACGGGCGCGCATTTGAGCGGTTTGATGACGGGGAACGAGTACCGAGGCATGCTCATGGAGGTGGCAACTTCCCAGCTGCCAAAGTAGAAAACACCACGGCGGATCGGTGTCAGATTTGCCTCGAACGAAAGATGCCTTCTCGATCTTCAAAATCCAATATTCCTCAGAGTCAGAAGAAAGTCGATGAAGAAACGATATTAGCGAACAATGGTAATCATCATGGTATGTCAACAACGTCTGTAACAGGTGCGTCGAGCAATAGTTCCGTAGTTCTTGAAGCAGATGAAAATGAAACTGAAATTCCGGCGCTAGTTTCCTTTCCCTCAGTGGTCTATATCGCCGGCTCGTCAAGAGAGGAGGCGGCTGCGAATGAGGAGCCGGCATCGAAACGTAGTCGAACCAACTCTCAAACGCAGTCGACGAATGGACATGAAGAGGTAGAGGGTGTCTCGACGTTGAATGGACATCAGCTTAAGGGTTGAAAGTTGACCTTTCTGCAAGGATATCTATGACCTGTTTCACCTTGTCGATGGTTAATGCGGACCATTTGAGGTGTGATGATGATGATGATGATGAAGTAGGAATGTCATGATGAAGTAGGAATGTCATAGATATGCTACCTAGATCGGTCAACTTGCAACCCCTAAGCAAAACGAAGAGATATTAGACATTGTTACGACGAACAATGGAGATGGACGACACCCAACAAGGGAAGATGTTGAGGGTCGTCGTAGTGGGAGCATCGCTGAGGGTAGTCGTAGTGGGAGCATTAGTTTTAAGGCTGTAGCTAATGCATCTTTGACTGCATCCTTGAAACGTATGAGGGAGGAGTATTCTAAGGGAATGCCCCCCCATGCCCATACTTTTCAAGGATGCACTTGAAAGATGAACTTCGGACAGTTCTAATACTTGTTGGCTCCCTTCGTGTTCCCGGAGAAGGAGGAGCACAGAGCGAGATTTATCGCCCAATCATGGTGGGAATGCAACGACTTCTGAACAAGTTGAAAAACAAGCAGGAGGGACAGCACTGAAGAAACTCTACTACATTGACGAATTATGCTACCTGAATGGACACTGCGACGGCGCTTTTTGTGAAAACTGCCTTGCTGACTTCATTCGTGAGCGATTTGAAACCGCTACTTACATTTATGATAGTTTTCTACAAATAAGTAGGTTTATATCAAATATCAATTTCAGTTTCTGATTAACAGGTATAGCTCGTCTCCACCCCATAACAACTCCATGAATGTTGTTTATCAGCTATTCGCTTTTTCCCTTCTACTTGTTCTACAAGTGGTTTAAGGACAGGGTTAGTTTATCTACGCATTGTTCAGGGTCTATTTATGTACGCTTTCAAGTTACTTTATCTACGCAGAGTTTTTACTAACTGCTTCAAAGCTGATTCCTCTCGTCTATCTGATATTGATCAACGCTTATTCCGGTCGATAATCAACGCTTATTCATTCCTCTCCAGTACTTCATTTCATTTCCCTGTAGCACTCTCAACATCTTCTAATCTCCGCTGCCATTGATCAAGTGTCCTGCGTGTTTCGGTCGCGTCCGTGGCGCGTCTCTCGAACTCTGGTATAAAGAGGCACAGCAGAGGTTGGTGGAAAATGCTGAGACACTGATGATGATGCGATGCATAGAGTGCGATGAGAGTCGTACCCTTTACGAGGGCAACGATTTAGTGGAAAGCAGCGACGACTACTTGCTCGACATGCTTGATTGGTGCTTACCCGAAATCGAGGAGGAGGAGGACGCAGGGGAAAATATGGCGCAAGACGAAGAGGTACTAGGCGATGCTAGTACCAGAAGTCGTCGTGCGACGGACAACGTACCTCCAGATGAAGGGAACACGAATCAAGAAGAAGAACAGCCTCTCCCAAAACTGGTCGTGACGAAACAAGAGAGTGCAGTACAAATTCGGGAAAAGTTAAAACAAGACCTCATTTCCACGTGGATCGCGTTCTCGAATGGTTTAATCACTCCCAGTGACTTTTTGGATGAGATCGAGAATGCGATTCTAGCTGCAGTTCACAAGGGAGGGGAGCGGGGACAGGAAGCACTAGGGCGAGATTTGATGCAACGAATGGACGCGCTGACCGTACCACGCTACTTGACTTCCCTCCAACTGGTTGAGCGCATCAAGTGCTTCGAACGCAAAGCCGTAACGCAACTAGCCATATTTAGAAAGTATCCAAAGATTTACACACTCTGTTGCGGTGCGGATCACTGTTTTAAGTGCAAAGTGGGGCATTGGCACCAAGGCATGACCTGTGACGAAATGCAACAGCGTGAACTGGATACCGAAGCGCAATTTTGTCCTGAATGTGGCATACCGACGATCAAAACAGACGGCTGCAACGAGATGATATGCGTCTGTGGCGCGTACTGGCACTGGGAGGGAGAAGAGACATGACCTGAAGATTCGTCTAATCGAGACCTTTGGCGCGTACTGGCAGCTGGCGACAATCATTTTCTACCCGGCGAATACTTACACAATGAACAACGAGTTTTTGTTTTCTTACTCGTTCAGAATATGAGTAACCCATTTCGATTTCCACGAACACAATCTAAGTCATAAGAAACCTTATATATATACCTCAACATAACCGTACCGTGACACCTCCAACATGTCTTTTTTTACTCCGGCGTTTGTGGCTTAAATCCCATATCCTACATCAGCAGTCGTCCTCGTCGTGTAAAAATTACTAATGACTTAATACTCCTTCCCCTTTCAAAGCGTCTCCTGAGGACAATTTTTGCATAATGGAATGATCTCGGAATATTGATCCCACACTTGTTGTTTCGTGTCTACCTACAACAACGAACCACATATCTTTTTACTCCACGCAAACCTCTACTCACGCGAGGAATTACAACCGGAGGATCCTCTGAGTAGTGCCATTGTCTATGGATGTGATGCCTTGCTGGAGAGATTTCATAAACTGTAAATCAATCTAAAACTCGACTCTATCTTTGCATTCGAGCTCAGTGCAGCGGCATCAGAATTGAGGGCGAAGAAACTCTCTGACTCTGTTCTCTATTAGACAGATAAAACAAGTACACGGCTTAAGAACCAAAGATTCCAACTGGACAAGTGAACCTTGCGCATGTTTGTGTGAACGTGGCAACTTCATTGACTGCAACAGTGAAAAAGAGAAGTCCTCACTTCTAAATTTGAGATTGAGATTGTACCAGTTCCTCTACTAGGTGCCTGCTTGCTTGTAGTAACGTTCTTGAGTGCCAGACTTCATGACTTTTTTTCGCATTTATTGTTAACAAAACAACTACAACATGCGTCCTGCTTCCCCGTCGTTTCACTCGACCCGTTGCATTAAGTGCAATGCGCCGCTGGAGCTTGTCAACGACTTGCCAGGAGAACGTACTCAGCGGCGCGAAGAGGATTTCGAATTGATACTCGGTACGTCTTCGAGCAACAGTGCCCTAGGAGGTCACACGCAAGAGGGCGGCTCGTCTTCGTCAACCTTCCAAGGGCTCAATCAAGCTCCTTCAGCCGCTCCAGCGAGTAAGGAGGAGATAATCGTGCGGATAGAGCGCATTCTGGCACTCGCGACGGGAGAGGAAACACTTTGTTCAGCTGTAGTTATGATTGGACACCATGGACAGACACATCAGAGTCAGTGGAAAAGAACAAATTATAGTGGTTTGGTTTGGGAAAGATGAAATTTTTGAAAATTTATTACCGGTAGGTACTACTTGTATGTGCTACTTCTAAGTTCTAGTCCGTCGTGACAGAGTACTCATCAAGGGAGTAGTCATCTAACACATAAAAAGAGCTACTTCTTCTACCTAGTAGTCATAATACTAATATCTCTTTCGTCAGCTTCTTCTAATCATAGCAGCACTTCTGGTCAACAGTCTACTTCAGGCTCTGCTGATTCTGCTCGTGCTGGTGGTGTTTGCGACGTATGCGTTTCGAAAGTAATCAGCGAGGGGCGACGCCAGCTTCAAGAGGTGAAAGAATCACGAAGGATGGTTGAGCTCGCTTTAAAGCAACTCGAGGAAGAAGAGGAATCAGCTGCAAGTGGCAGTACAGTTAAGGCTACCGCTGAAGCATATTTATCCATATCCTTAGTCGTGTCATATCCTTGCCCTCTTTTTCAAGGGGAAAATGGGCGCAGGGATATGCTCAAGGATCTTTTGTGGTAGTTCTAATACAGAGAATCAAACTGACCCTTCTTCGGGGGCTTTGGACAGAGGATCACCTTCCTCGCGAAGTTCAACAAGAACGAGTCGTGACGAGGAGCATATTTTACGTGTTCTCGGCGAGCAGGAGAAAGCCGCGAAGCAGGAAGTAACTCGGCTGAAGACAGAAGAAGACGCCTTGCTCCGTGAGCTGGAGCACGTGGACGCCGAGTTGGATCAATTGAGGGAGGAAGAAAATTCCTTACACGCGGGTCCATTGGCGAGCTACCAATTAGACCTTCTGGACCACGAGGATGAGAAGGGCAAGGGGTTCGCTTTAGTACGCTACACCAAGGACCAATTGGAAAAATTGAAGAGGGCGAGCGTGCTCAATGATGTCTTTCATATTACCTGTGACGGTCCGTTCGGCTGCATCAATACGTTTCGATTAGGCAAGCTGCCGGATGTCGAGGTCTCGTGGGACGAAATAAATGCCGCATGGGGGCATACATGTTTGCTGTTGGACGTGCTAGCGAAGAAACTCCGAATTCCACCGGAGACATTCAGCTACAAACTTTTCCCGCGTGGAAACTCGTCGTCGTTGGTGGAGTACTTCAACTTTAAATTGATATCACATACATTTTTGGTTCATCGTTGCAATTAAGTACTATGACTTTGACTTGACGTCAGTAGAATGTGAAGATGAGCGGTGATGAATATCATCTTGCAGGAACGCGACTGGTGTTACGCTTGAGCTGTACGGAGGAGAGGGCTCGTTTGCACGCTTCTATTCCGGCAGGCGGTTTGATCAAGCGATGTGTGGCTTCTTATTGACGGTGAGACAGCTGGCAGAGTGGCTGCATCGAAGAGACGCGAGTGTCCGGCTTCCTTTCAGAATCGAGGAGGGGAAGATCGGCGGGTTCAAGATAACGCTGCAATTCAACGAAGCAGAAAGGTGGACAAAAGCGTTGAAATTCCTGTTGATAAACCTGAAATGGATAGTCGCGTTTTTGGAAAGCCATGAAGCGGGGTCATAGGGGTTGAAATACGGGTACTATTCTTGATGTTTGTCCTTTCCACCTTTTCTTGTCTGTAAAGATGGATACTAGAGACTCAGCAGGTGATGAACTGCTGTAGTTGCTTGACGAGGTCCATGTACATTTCTGAATTCATGCTGATGTCACGATCTATCCGAACCGTCTAGCGTACTGGAGAACCTGTTCTTCTTAAAGAGAGACCACAGACCACGACCACATCCCGCTTTCGTAGATCCCTCTTGTCAAGAAGTTCTTCTTGTTTCGCAGATACCTCTTGCCAAGGAATTCAAAGAGTACCCGACAAGAGCAAGATGAAGATTGATCCAAGATTCCAATCTCTTGTGTGGTCTTCAACGCTGATGTCAATAGTTCTGAGATGCTTATCAACTGGATGAAGATCAGCATTAAGTACTAGAATTTGACGTCCGCGTAAAACACAACCGAACGGCAAAGATCCATTTGGGTCCATTTTCGAAGATCTGTGATCATGTGCACTGCTGTATTCTGAGGATCTCTTCTCTCGTATTAGATGAATCATCATCTTCCTTTACTAGATACATGCGTGGTTAGGGTTACTTTTTCCTAATACAACAAACAACTATCGTAAATGCACCAGGAGGACCAAGACTTCTAGTAAATGAAGAAGCAAAAGACTATTTCTATTTCATCAGGTCGTTGACTCTCTCGCTCTCTCTCTCTCTCTCTCTCTTGTTAACAAGGCAACTACTAAAAATAGTAGTAGAAGTAGAAGAAAAGGAAAAAAATGTTGAAGCGTGCCTTAGCTCACCAGGGTTTGTCCCGAGGAGGGGAGAGCGACTCGGATTCGGAGGATCTCAATCCTAGACAGCGACGTCGCATGGAGTCCAAGTTTATTCCTGGTGCAGCGGTTGCAGCTCTCACCACAGGCGGTAAGAAAAAGAAGAGACAGCACCAGAAAGAACAAAGGGATGCCGATGAAGACAGCGACGATGAAAGCGATGATGAAGGACGCGATGTTATAGTAGGAGGAGCTTCCGCTACGAGCACGAAATTTGACGAAGAGGATTCTGAGTCCGAAGAAGATGCAGCTGGAGACTCGTCTCGTCTGTTACTAGGTAATGAAAATGAAGATGGAGAAGATGATAGTGAAGACGATAGTTAAGGGTACACCTTTAAGTTGCTTTTCTTACCGCTTTTTATTCCTCTCTCCCTTAGGATGAGAAAGGCATAACAAGCGGGGGAACCCGCGAGCACCAAAAACCTCTAAGGTAGTGAAGACGATAGTGAAATAGACGGTGAAGATGAGTCAGGTAGTTCCGATTGCGATGACACTCCCCTTTGGCCTGCTGCTTGTGATGTTGACACTAGTGCACCACCTGCTATCAAAGAGAAAAAGCAGATGCAATTTCGTTGTGAGCTGTGTCCAGACAAGCGGTTGAAATGCCAAGCGGAACTCGATGTTCATCTGAAGTCGAAGGGCCATTTGAAGGTGGCTGGGGAGCTTGCGAGAGCCAGCAAAATGGGCTTGAAGGCTTACCAAGCAGAGTGCACTACGAAAAACGAAGCAAAAGAGCGTGCGGAGGATCAACGTGCGGCAGGTGAGCTGACTGATGCGGCGAAGAAACGAGCAGAGAAGAAAGCGGCCTTCCTGCAGAAGCGGAAAGACTTTCGAGAGAAGAAAGCGGAGCGAAAGGCATCAAAACAGGCGAAGCAGGACGAGCAGAAGAAGGTTATCAAGAACATCAAGGGTGAAAAATCAACACCAGGTGAAAAAACTGATGGCAAGAAGAAGAAAGGTACCTCCGGTGCTTCATTGACTGCAGTGAAGACTTCGAGTGCTAAGGAGAAGAAGAAGGGCCAGAAAAAAGAGGATATAGATACTCCGGTCAAGTCTAAAAAACAGCAGAAAATTGAAGCGAAAAAGGTGAAATTTGCAGAGAAAAAAGCACGTAGGCTAGAACGCAAGCAGGCACGCAGCCAGGATGCGAAAGATGAAAAAGACGAATAGAAATTGAGTGGACGAGGGTTCATCGAAGTCACACTTTGATATGTTTGGATCGCTGTTTTTTCTGAGTCGAGCAACCTTCCCATGCCGCTCCCCTTCTTCCTCACGTCATTGCATTGACACCCTGAATGAAAATGGTATGGGAGGCAAGACCCCCGATTGTTGTATCAACTTTGCATTGAAGACTAATCGTGAAAGCTACTGAAACATCCGCCTAAGTACTTAGGCGGGAAAAAACAGTAAAGGCGAATGGCGCACCAGCCGCTTGTTCTCGACCGGCATGTATTCTAAAACTCAAAATATTAATATCTTCTATCGCTTTATTGAACAACAACAGTTCGATCAAAAGAAACCTATTTTATACTACAAACAATTGACTGAGAATATGAAGACAGAAATCTTATGGCAGAAGCAGATCTTCAGAATCAAAATGCAATACGGACTATAGTGCTTTGAAGTTCTACCATATAAGTACATAGCTTTTGAGGAAGATGTCCGTAGGCAAGGTCACTACTGCAGCAACACAAAAAGATTACAGATCGTGAAATGTGGAAGAGGAACAAGAAATTCAAATTGTAACAAAGCTCATGATTATATTGAGATAATGCGGCCAGAATGGCCGTCGCGAGTTGGAAGAAGAACGTTTTGAATCGCGACAATAAACGTGCGTGTGGCACCAGTATGATGAATACTAACTTACTTTATGTTCATTCCACGCTGTTGACAGGACGGGTTGAAGTTTTGAGGTGATTTTTTGAAAGTGCTATTAGAATTAGTTCAAGTGTAAAGAGGTACCATAGTGAAGTAGGACTAAGTTTGATGTACCAGGACATTGTCAACACATTGATACCTGTCAAGTCGACACGTTTTTCTATGTGGTTCTGACATATCATTATAAACAATTCCTCGCTACTTTCTTATACTGAACAAGATACGAGAATATATCGCGAAGCGAGTATCAAGTAATATTACCATCTTTGATTTCTACAACTCTGCTGCCCTACAAAAACGAGAGCGCTTGCTTTTGTCCAAAGACCATAAACTGATTGCCCAACATAGACATAGGAATTTCTTCTGAGGAAACACATTGTGCAGCAGAAGGATCTCTCAAAATATCTAGATCTGCGGCCTAGTACTTACATACTCATATTCATATCATAGGAACAGTTTCACCTGAAACGCCTTGGTGCTTCTTTTTGTTTCAGGTTTGATTGTTGAGCAGGCCGCTTTCATTCGGATAGCTAGATTTTGGTCGAGGTTCTTTTGAAACTACATAACAGAAATATGTTTTTTTTTGAGGAGTACAAGTACAACATGTAGCGAACTACTACTATCAATCATCTGAACTTGTAATGATCGTATGATATTTTTTGAGATGACTTGAAGAACTGGGCGAAGCCGAAGGACGAGAGAGTTATATTTTCATTCTTTCTGATTTTGTGTGGTAATGGTTTCTGTATCATAAAAATCCTTATCGTGAGGACAACCTCAAGAGGTCGAAAACCCCAAGTACTATGTTCTTTAGGTTCCTTAATGTCTTGATCCAGTAGATCGCTTTCCTCTGTCTTCGAGGTTTCCTGATAAGATGGTAGGAAGCGTGCTCCAAGTGTCGGAAGTACTCTGTAGTGCTTGCTTTGGACCCCGTTTTGCAGTGCTTGGTGCAGTGGACGACCAGTAAGACAACTCTTGAAGGGAATCGCTTACTGCCTTCTTCATCTTTACGATTGCTGAATCACGTTGTGCTAGTGTCTTTTCTACTTGGTAGAAAATGCAAGGCGGCGGTAATTTTCGGGCTCCGCGGAGGCGGGGAAGAACAGGGAAGAAGGTGGATGCTACCAAACGAACCAAGCGACGCAACCACCGGATTCTGAACCGGAAGCTTAGGGAGAAAGAAAGTACTACTCGATTTTCATTTTGTTCTTAATTACTAGGAGTAGAATAAGAATGAGAGTGTTGTGAAGACAATGATGGTGGAAACATCTGAAGAATGAATTTTAAATGTGGATTCTCGTGTAAGTACTAACTCGCTGACAATATCAAGAAATTTTTATTTAGATTTCCACACCCTGTCTCTACTTCAGATCGTGGTAGCGACGAGGAAGATACCGCTTCGGATGAAAGTGAGGGTCATGCTCAAGGAAGTTCTCAGACAGATGTCCACAGACAACGTGGCTTGCGCCAAGACGATCGCCAGGCAGAGGGTCAGTTTTCCATTTTTCACGACATGAATCATTACCTAGGACATGATCAGCACTTGACGATATTGCAGGAGGACTCCGGAGCAGGGGCGGGCCAAGCAGCACCACCTTGTTCGCCTTGTGATCTCCACAGTCGACCGTTTCGTGGGAGCCTCTTTTTTCGGCCTCTACAGGGGATCGTAGAGAAGGAAGACGAAGCGAACAATTCTGGTGTACAACGATTAACGCCGCCTTCCACCATAGCAACGCCTTCTTCAACGACTAGAACTACAACAGCAGGACGAGTTGCGGTAGAATCTTCAACCTCAACAGGGTCGAGAATCTCGTCAGTAGGAGTTGCTGCACTTACCACCTCTGTTGATACTACTTCTACTAGAGTAAGTTCTTCTACTCTAGTGGATACGGACGATGCTTCCCACCAAAAAATGCTTTCTAGTATTGGTCAAACGAGTACCATGGCGGATACTGGACTTCGGCTCGCAGCTTTTGTCAAGGAGGCTGCGAAGCGGGCACTTGCTAGGTCATCATCGAGTGGCATTACGACCGCATTAGGTGACGAAGGTGAAGGAGAGGAACTCTCTTCCCCTGAAATAGTCGTGAAGTTGCCGTTTTTAGGAGGAGCAGCAGAGGGAACAATAAAGAACAGCAGCAATATGAAGCAGCAATATCATGAGTTTAACTCCCAGCTTAACTGTCCCAGCAGGATGGACTTGGACAAACCTCCACCACGTCCACTGTTTGATAGTACCTCTTCTACGAAAGGAAGTGGTACAACTATTCCTAGATCGAAACCCGTAGCGACATTACCCTTCCCGACGACACACAACGACAAATCAACCACTCATCCTTCAAAAATAGTATCCTCGTCTTCATCTTCATCATCTACTAGTAAAAGTAATCTTCCTGGTACAAGAGAATCAATTTCATCTACTGTCACGAAGAGTCTGAAAGAAAGGGCAACGGCATCTACTTTCTGTTCATCGAATATGGGCAGCACGACGCGCAACAGCGCACTCGAGACAACATGGCAGAACCGTAAGCGTGAGTTGCGTCGTGCGAGTATGCTGAAAATGAAGGAACGCTTGAATGAGCGGGCGCAACCCCGATCGAAGATGCCGACACCCTTGAATTCACCAGAGAGGTCGTGCATACAGGCACCTGCACTGCGGAAACCACGCGCGCCATTCGCTTTTGCGGAGGATCTAGTTTTGGCAGCTTCACGTTCACAACAAGGTGGAAATAGAAGCAGCGTAGCTGGAGGTATTCATGATGCAACCGGGGAAGAGTACAAGGAGATGAAAGGGGAAAATCTGCCCGAGGACGACTTTGTTTTTGTCGAGGAGCCTCCACCGTTCTCCCTCGGAAGTGTCGGCGAGTCATCCCTAAGTGCAAAACGAGACGTTAGCCGCGGCGAAGAGGAGACTACCACTTCTGCAGCTAGAATTAGTGCGGTAAAAAACATAGAGAAAAAAAATGCCAGCACCGCGGGCGTGCCCTCATCACAGCGAGCAAATAAACCACGGCCAAGAAAGAAGGAAATTCACTATTTTCCGAAAATGAAGAACGATTCAGGCTCAGTTGCGTCGCGAACGCTGCTCTCAGTATTGAGCGAGACGCGGGAGCGAGGCGACTCTGGTGCATTACAGTTGAAGATCCAGCAGCAACTTCATGCACGCATGAGACGGAAGACTTCTACGTCGTCCATCAAAGTAAACCTGCGAGACCAACACCAAGTAGCGAGCAGTGGTCCAACCTCCGGAGTAGTAGCGGCAGCATCTCCTGTAGTCGGCAACCCTAGTTCTAGCGATAGGGAGTCGTCTAATGCTCTAACATCTCCTGTCAGCAACCCTAGTTCTAGCGATGGAGAGTCGTCTAATGCTCTTTTAGCTTTGGAGTCTAAAAATTCCGATATTGATGAATCTGAGGAGGTTATGGAGAAAACGACAAGCCTGGGAAAAATGGCGGCAGTCGATTTAGCTGACAAAAGCCGTGGTGCTTTCCAAGGTGCAGCGCAAAATGGCAGTTTCTCCTTGGACCACGACCAGGGCAGGCGCGTACTAGGTTCAAAAGTAGATGTTGGCGGTTCACCGCCAGCTGCAATTGAAGATTCTTCTTCAGAGGAGGAAGAAGACGCAGTCGGTTCACAACTTAGTGCGGCGACGTCGTCACTTCTTCACGAGCATCAAGAGCATCATCTTCTTCGTCCCCCTTGTTCAGGACGAGCCCCGCGCACCATTTTCAACCGAGCTTACGTGAAGGAACAGCGAGCTGAGCATGTAGCGAGGCACGAGCGCGCTGCTGCGCTTCTCCGGGAGAAGCAAGAGTGGCGACAAAATCTAAGGGGAAAGCTTAGAGCGAACGCGATCCTGGAGGAAGAAACTTCGGACTTCTGCTCGGAGAAAGAGGAACTGGGTGAGAAGAAACCATCTGGAGCATCTTCGTGGGGCAGTACTGCAGTGAGTATAGTACAGCAGCCGCAAGATGAACAGTCCTCGGGCTGCCATTCATCTGCAGCTGAACGACATCAGGATGGAGGAGTGTGGTCGTCGTCGGAGACAGAACTGGAGATCGGCAGGTTGCCATCAGTCGATGAGGAAGTTAGTACATCGCCGGTTTTGAGGCCCCAGCCGCGACGAGGTAGAAAGCCGTTTTTGACGCTGAGTCGTGATGATATTGCCAGAGGACGGCGGAGGAGCAAGCGTGGCGGCGGAAGGATGAGCCTGCAACCACGTCCCATGGAAGATCAGCATCAATTGACATTTAGTACAGCAAGTGTATGTGAGGACTTTACCGATCATCAAAGTGTTCCTCGGTCTAGCTCCCCACGTCGGGTGAACACGCCAGCTCTGTCACGACATACTTCGAATGCGCCCTGTCCGCCTGAGGTTTCGTCGCCTTCTTTTCATAGCGAAGACGCGCAGGCAGATGTGGCTGTATCTGATGGAACGAAAGTTCTACTGCAGAATCATGTAGTGGCGGCAGGGGAAAAGAACAAGATTGAGCATAGCGCACAATGCGATGCTGCTGATAGTGGTAATAGAGGTAGAGGAGAGCAGTCAATAAGTGCCAAACACACGACTGGAACGGCAACAACTGGAGAAAAACCTACGGCAGCTCCAGCTTCGTCCACGAGTTTTAATACTAGAGCGTCGGTGCACCACGTCGGAGCATCGCATGTTTCTGCAGCTACAACTAGGGTAGTAGCTCAACAAACTCATTCATCGCATCGTCCAGAAAACGTCCAGAGTCTCCAGCGAAATAGAAACCAGTCCTCTGAAGGATGGGAAGATCGGCCTCCCCTGTACGTATCAATGTATGACAAACATCGGAGCGCAATCACTTGGTTCCCCGCTGAGTCGGATATGGGTCGCAAAATATTGAAACGAGGCCACAAGTCCTCCTCATTGATACGAGACTCCATGGCAGACTTCTCATCCACTGGAGGATCTGGAGGTGGACAACGTCGGAGAGGAGGGGTAGCTGCAGATGCTGTGAGCGAGTCCAGCATGGGAAACGCGGTGAGCGGCACAAACCAGCTTCAGGTTAACGCACCTGGAGAGGGACGTAACAAGAGGAAGGCGAGGCGAGAACGAAACAGTAACAGACAAGCGGCTCTCTCACCCACAAGGGCTTCTTCACGTGGTGGAGGGAACGACTTCTGTGATCTGACTTTTTCCTTTGATTCTAGTGCCTTGAGCTCTTTCTTAGGAGCAACAGGAGGTGGAGGTGGAGGCTCAAGCTCATCGTCTTCGTATCTCAATATCACCAATGGGTCTTGCACGACGACTTTCATTCCGGCTCCTGGATACAACAAGAGTAATACGCTTGGGACATCGACGGGTGGCACGACCACTTCTGGGACTACTAATTCGAACTTCAGCAATGCTACTGGTAAGCGGAATCGCCGTAACCCGAATCCGCAGAAGAAGAAACCTCTGGAGCCACAGGAGCGCGACGTTCTTCGTGCGCAGCTAGCGGAGAAGCGCTGTGACGGCTTGCTGAAGAAAATAGAAGAACAAAAAAAGGCTGGAGAGCGATTGGATATGTTTCGAATATCCGACTCGATTCGAAGGATTTGTGAGTCCGCCCAACTGAAGAGTGAGACGGAACGCAAACTGATGAAGAGGATTCAGCCAATGCTAGAAACAATTGTTGCGCCAAGTCCTGCAATCGACGAAATGCAAGACGGGATCTTGGCAACTACGTCTCCTGCCTACTACAATTCGCATCTTCAGCTTCAGCATCGGTCTGCTGGGCCTATGAATTCACACCCGCAGGTTGCGGTAACTACTGTTGAGCCTTGTTCCTTACCGCGGGTTGCAACAACTTCAGTCGACGTGTCCGATCTAGTAACACAAGAAGAGGGAAGTAACACTAGCAGGAGCCGCTCATCTACTAATTTGGGTTCAACATCTGTTTCTGTTTTGGGACCTGGTGCAGGGGATGTGTTGGGAGTTGCAGAAGAAGGGGAAGCTCAACTACAATTGGTTGTTAGCGAGTGCGACTCAATGCTGTCGGAGTCGGCGGGTGCGAACGAGGGCGGGCGCTCAAGCGGTGCGGCAGTACTGTCATCGGGGGACGAGAAGATATCTTCCAACAAGATGATATCGGGAGGTGCGTCTAGTACGACCCAAAGACGCACCTCCCGTAGAAGTGATGCTGTCATCTCAACATCCTCAACATCCCGGAGAAGTGATGGCCGTGAACGTGCTCAAGTAAAGCCTAGTGGTTGTGATCTCAGGCCATCTTCGAGCAACACCTCTCAGCAGGAGTTTTCTGGGCAGCAAGACGTCGTTCGACCGGAATTAGGCGGGGCCAGAGTAGACCTACGTGCTGACGCGATCGCAACAGAGTCCGTACCGGGCGTGCAGCCTTTTGCTGTTGAGTTAGAGAGAGCGCTAGGGAACTTGCTGGAACAGAAAGCTGAGAACTGGCGAACCTGGGGAGTAGACTTGGATGCAAAAGCAGCTGAAGACCTTGAAGAAGCAGAACAGGAGCGACCAGCGTTTGTTGCGGGCAAAGCAACGACGTCCGCCGATGAAGGCGAAGTCCCGTTGAACCAAGTAGATGTTGTCGAGGCAGAGGTCCAAGGAGCTCAAGAAGGTTCTACTTCATCCTTGGAAAGGGAACGAGCAGTAGCAGCTGCCTCCAGTACAAGAAAGATTAACAAGGACGATGACGCCGTTGTGTATGATCCAGTTTGCATTAACATTGAGCTTGAGGAGCAGTGTTTTACGTGCAAGAACGATCATTCTACGGCTGCGGCGTCAGTTGTGTGCAGTGATTCTCCCGCCGGCGCGCTCACGGCCACTCGGTTGGGTGAGTCGGAATCTACGTGCACCATTAGGAATGATAGGTCGCCATTCGCAGCAAGGGGCGGGATTCTTGCAGAGCAACTCCTCGCTTCAGTAGCTGTTCGGCCCGCTGTTGGAGATGGTAACGAGGACAGAACAACTAGTAGTCCTATCAAGACTGGAGGTCAATGGGAATCTTCTTCAGGCGTCGCGCAGACTTCTTCTTCGAGTATTACGCGAGAAACGTCACCGCTGAATGCGGTTGCTGACGCGGCACTTGAGGGGAGTAAAGATGGGGAAATTACGCTGTTCTTCGATGCGGATGGAAGCTCTCCCTCGATCAGCCGCGAATCGAGTACATTGACCGCGCGGCAGTTCGACGACGCAGAGCAAGGAGAGATCGTCCTGGCAGGGGCAGACGAGCTGGAGGATGCGGTCGGTTCTTCTAATGTCGTACAGGACGGCCAAACGGCCTCATCCGCGCTGGTTGAGGGCACTAGCGAAACCACCAGTACTGGCGTTGTGCTTCCCTCCCCTGGAGGTCTATCGACTGGTGCGCCAAGCGGAACGTTCTCATACCTCTCCGCAGCTTTGCGTGCGGGGGGCAGCGAGCAGCTACCGAGCAAGAACCGCAATGCTGCGGCAGGTTTTTTAGCGACGACAAAAGAGCAGGGAACCTCAAGAGGTGGAGCAGGAAAGGAGGGTGCGAGTAATAGGTATAATGACCATGCCCTTAGTGGGCATGGCAAAGGAATCACTCGTGACCAGAAGTGCGCGTATCAGCGGCATGTTGAGGCAGCTTACTATTCGAAGGGCAAAGGAAAGAGCTCGCCTCGGCAGTCGAAGGGCGGTGCCGGTTATCCTTACAATCAGACCGGTGGTGGCGCTTCATCGTCTGGTGGTTCATCGTGTGGGACCAGCTACGCACATCACAGCAGCCTAGGGGCCAAAGATGAATCGTCAAATCATCCAAGCGGGCCTTGGGGAGGCTCTTCGAGTAACTCGGCGCTGCGATCGTCAGCGGGACCGGGAGGCGCGTTATCCTCCAACAATGCGGCTTCGAACGGTATGAGTTCTTCTAGCTCTACAGCGGAAGATATCGGGGCTGTAGATTGTGAGAGCAGTGTCGACATAACTCAGCGAGGGGGTCGTTCTGATCATGAAGAGCGGCTGGGTGGCGGGATGCCCGGCGCATGCGATGGTCACGATAATAGCTGGTGCTCGCCAAAGAAACATTTTAAAGTGAGTCACTTAGCCACACGCTACCACCCAGGAGGAAACAAGCGTGGTGGTAGATGGGGATCGCAGCTGCAGCAGCAGCAAGGTATTGGAAACACGAGCAACACTTCAAGCTTCACGACAAGCACAACAGGATCGTCTTCCTGCAGCCAAATGAATGCCGCAAATACACTAGTCGTGACAAGAGAACGAGGCATGTCTCCTCCATCGTCGAGCAGCAGCAGCTCGATTGAGGGGACAGAGACTGGTGCTGGTGCTGGAAGTTGTGGACCTACTCCGTCTTCTCCCTTACAAGGTGAAGATTCTTGTACTATATCCTCTCCTGGTGCAGCTGCGCCGTGGTCCCCGCCCTCTCTGATGCGGGCTACCGCTACCACGCCACCACCACCCGAGGCGCCACACTGCTCGCCACGCACGCCTCCGGTGTTGACCACGTCGTCCGCGCCTGCTGTGGATTCCGAGACGGAAGAAGATTGGTTAGTCTTGCCGGATGAGGAATACAGCAGTCCTTCTGAAGACGAGGAGATCGATTCGGGGACTGACGACTCGGAGAGCGAAGCCGCTTCCATTCAGCACATTATGCACCGACATTTGATGGGACTGGATGGTAGCAATGATGTTGAGGAGGCGCTAGTGGACGATGCTCGCAGTGGAGGACGCTCACCTCGGAGCAGTGGTCTGGGTGGAGGTTCCGGCACGCCGTTAAGCGGGAGTCCTGTGAGAAGTCGCTATTTGCCAGAGTGGATGAGCCGTGCAGCATTGACCCTGAATATCCGGCCGCCACCGTTGCCGTATGCGAGCCGCTCGCGAGCATCGAGCAATGCGAGCTGTGGCAGCGTCGCGAGCACAGGGACAGCACGTTCTACCACGTCGGTTCAGGTGTTTTCACCGGCTACTGCACCCGCGGCGTGGGGCACCAACCCGCATCTGCTGTACGAACTGAATGGGATGACCACGACAACCTCAAATAAAACATGTAATGCTAGTACTGGCACTGCTGGTAGTCAACAACAGAGTCCTGCTTGTGGTTGTAACCCAATGCCAGGTGGTGCTGAAGGCTCTTGTGCTGGAGTAAACAATACAAGCTCTTTTTCATCCACTGGAACCGGCAACAATAGAAATAGCAACGTACTCGTATCGGGAACAAGTATGAGAAGCAGAACAGGGAGTATGGCCAGCAGTAATGGAGGACGAAACAGCATGATTGCTGGCCCTACTACTTCTAGTTCAGCGTGTACTGGAAGATGTAGCACACCCGTATTGCGAAGCGTAAATATGGGAGCAAGCCTCGGAGAAGTTCAGAAAGGAATACTAAAACGGTGGCTTCCACCAAAACGCAGCAGCCAACTTCCACTTGGCGGAGTAGGACCTTCTACTTGTCCGAGTACTTCGATTTATGCGACCAATGATCCGTCTAGTGCCAGCAATGGTTCATCTAGTACTTGGAACAGTAACTTGCAACAGAACAACCAGTGGCAGCAACCGCGACACGGAGGAGCATCCATTCCGGGAACAATGAGCAGCCTCTATCAAAATCAACAGCAGGGTGCTGTGGGTAGCAATTACAGCCAACATGTAGGTACTGCTGGTACTAGTAGTGGCCGTTCGTTCCAGCAGATGACGGGGGCTTCAGGGGTTTGGTCTGGTGGTGCTCGGACATCAAGCTCAAGTTGCGCGAATCAACAGCAAGCCGGTTACGTTTCCAGTAGTCCTTTGTTAACCAGCGCTAGTAGTACGGCGATGTCCTCTAGCGGCCATCCGTATTCCAGCTGGGGACCACAACATCAGCCAGAAAAGCAGGTGTTGTATTCACGAACACAGCCCGCTAATGCGGAAATAATTGCGTCGTCGCGCACGGGGCGAGAACTGCGTGGTGAGAATCTTCCGCAAATGATGGACCCTGTTTATGGCGGGGAGTTCAGCAGGGCACCCTCAAGTCGTGCCAGCAGTGTGGACTCTGTTGCAAGTAGTGCTTCGGGCGGAGGCAAAAAGCTGCCATGGGGGAAGCTACATCTTCTCAAAAGGCCTGCAACACCAAGGACAAGCACAACCACCTTGGAGTCGCAGAACTATGATGTTGACAAAACATCACAGGAGAACACATCTTCCAGTCGAGTAAGTCCATCAAACCCAACTGCTATTCCTGAAGATGATGCTGGAGTAGATGAAAGGACCAGCTGCGGCGGCGGTAACGATGGCAATCAGTCAGATTGCAGCACCGTTTGCAGTACGGCAGAGGCGTCCGCAGATACGACCTCCGCCGAAGTGAGCCTAGACAACTCAACTGTTGAAGGCGCTGAAGCAACGACTGAAGCTGCAGGTAGTACTGAAGTAGCAACGTCGTCAACGTCGAGCAGAAGCATAGAGGAACAAGTGAGTCAGCAGTTTAGAGTTTACCTCAAGAACACAAAGAACTGTCCAACAGAACCGTCATTTGGTCCCTCCAGTTCTTCTAGAAACGCGACGAAAGTTCCAACAGCGTCCTCGTCGACGTTCGGGACGAGCGGTGCAACGGCATCTTCTGGAGGTTCCGCATTAGGGACGAGAGGACGTATTCTGGCAAAGCCCGGTGCCCCCTCACTGAAACGCAGGAGCCCAGCGGGTAGTGAAGATCGTCTTGCGAAGGTACCTGCGCCGTCAACGCCGTTGACCTGGGCACAGCGAGTTGCGGCCAGCACGGTAACGAATGGTAGTTGTGTTGTGAGTGGTGCAACTGCAAGTGCAACCACGAGTTCTCATCTGGAGGCATCGTCAAGCAGCACTTGTTCGAATGACCATGTCACGTCAGACGGACAAGCCACACTAGGGTCGTATCAACCGCAGAACGTGAATAACCTTGGAGGTCCTCGTGGTAGAAAATTTTCGTTTTCTAGTATGGCAGGTGGCGGCGCTTCCACTATCTCATCCTCATCGAATGCGAATACAGCGGCCAGCACCACCATGAAACAGGGAACAAATAGATTTCCCCCTGTGCGACGAGCGACGCTGAGGCTTCCGTCATTCCCCAACGCGACTGAGCTGGATTCTGTCTTGTGGAAAGCGCTTGAGAATGCACGTTTGAATTCTCTGAAGGGTTTGTCGACAAACTCTGCTGGAACACACGGGAATGGGAACATCAACACGGAAATTGGAGTACCAGCAAGAACTGCCAATGGGACGAACAACACGAACAACACTGTGGTCAATGGGACGATGAACAACAACAAGCGGATTAAGTTTGCATCGCATGCTCATGTGCGGTTTCATGATGACGAGTGGGCGCCGGACAAATACGTGATGGAGACCGGAGTAAACTCGAAGGACTTCGACGGGCAATCCCAGCATCGTTCGTTGCACTTCTCAGTGCCGAAACGCGTGTTGGATACTCGTGCTCTTTTCCAGCTTGCTATAAGCATGAGTGTGCAGCGGAAAGGGGGATGATAGGACTCGAGCTCGAGTTTACCGTGCAGCGCAACGGTGGATGAAAGGATCTGGAGATTGATAAATAGTCAACCTTTCCGGAGCGGTTTCGAAAGTTTGACATAGAAGAACGAAAAGTTTGAATTTGAATAAGGAACAGACACATTTCTTCTTACTTATCCTGATACCCCAAATAATTTAATGATACCGAGTTCTTAGACCTATATGGTTAGCTATTTTATCATCAATTAGAACATCAAGAAGATCAACCTGGTATAAGCGTCGTTTTTATCATTTCAGAACAATACACGAGGAACTAAGTCAATGCGTTACCACTAGCAGATTCAGGAGAACAAGCAAATGGAATATTTCAGTCGAAAATTAAGATAATCGAGCAGTGTACAACCCAAAAATCTCATGCTGCTTGACAGATCTCCGAAACCCACCTGGAGGATTAGGTTATCTCAGTTTGTTTTCCTAGTAGTTTGAATCCATTTTCACCAAGCAATCGATTTCATCAATGATGTCTACGTATACAGGCTGCAGCGATTTGTAGAAGTAGGCAATCTCAATCCGTTATTCCAGGTAGGCAATGTGGGAGAACAATATTTTTTGTGTGAGTTCTCCTATCATTCAAAGACAATCTAATCGGTTTTTTCCGGTTGCACGAAGGGAATCGAGGAGCTGATTCACGACCGTGCGACTCTTCGTTCTATCCCAATGAATGATGTAATCCTATCCCAACACGCAAAAGCCGTACACGCTAACTACGGAAGTCGTGTTGATGTAGAAGTATGGCTTGATAAATGACCGTGAGTTGCGTGTATGTAATGTGGTCATTGGGATTGTCGAAGAAGGAACAAATCGAAATGACCATAGTAAACTGAGGCCTGAGGACGATGTCATGCTCATGGATATCGAACAAATTGTAGTAGACGGTGAGTGGAAAAATGAGTGAAGAATTATCATGGTGTGTCGTGTGTTGTCCGCGTGGGGCTGTGTTTCTAAAGTTTGATGTTTTGTCAATTTTGAGTAATAAGTACAGGAATCTCAACCTTCCCAATGAATACATCCGAAAAAAGTAAATAGAGAGAAGTCGCGGTCGAGTCGCAAGCACAAGTATGATTCATCAAAGACATCTCAAGTATGATTCAAAGACGAACTACAATGAATGTACAAAGGAAAAAATGAAGAATCACCACTTTTTCGTCCACCTCCAGCATCCTTGTCACACTGTCTTTGTCGGTATCTTCCTCCAGAGTGTTTTAGCTCTTCCGCTTTTCATGTACTCGAATACTCAAAATAAGCGAGTTACTGACTGAAATAAGAGAGTCTTGACTACATTCCTCTTCTTTCAGTATCTCCCTTATTTTCAGTACTAGTTACTCGCTTGTTTCAGTTTTTCGAATACGCGAACGTGTAGGAACTAGTTGTACAACATTGAATGATTGTGATGCTGTGTTGGGACTTTAGAAGTATCAGTCTCTACGGGCACTACGGACAGTGTCATCAGAGGCCCATACATGACATGACTTTAAAAGCTATAATAAGCTTAGTTATATCAATTTGTACATGTACTTCTTCCTGGTCGTGCGACTGCGGGGGCTCAGGTGGAATCCTCTCTGGAATCTGAGATACACCAACACTAGTAACAGTTCGCTATGAAATTCTTCTCTTACAAAGAACACTAGTAACAACTCGCTATGAACGTCGGTCTTCTTTTACGAAGAAGTTCCCAACTATTGCAAGATATGTTCACAGGAATTTTTACAAACAAAAGAAAATACTACGTCTTGGAACTAGTAACAAAGGTTTCGAAGGATATCGTCGTGATAGGAGATATTTATTCAACGAATGTTGTTCCTTGTACTTGTAGTTAGCTTCATTTTCAGTACAGGCATCCTTTTTCAGCTGAGATCATGTGCAGATGACGTGAAACTCTCTTCCAAAGAATCTTCCTTTTCGTTCTTTTCCTCTGGAAAATTTCCAGCAACATAGCCACACTTCTTCCTTAACGCAGTTCTTTTCCCGGGAATCACAGGAGCTAAAGAACAAGAAGCTAGTATCATCTGAATAGATACTACTCTTCGAAGTTGTTGTTCTCCTGCTTATAGTGATGTACACTAGAACATTGTACAAGGGACTAATCTTCTATGATGATGATGATTGTACAAGAAACTACTCTTCTAACGTCGGTTGATGTACAAGGAATTACTCTTTTTACAACAACAAGGCTCGGAGGAGCATGGACAACTCGAGGCTCAAGGGAGCATGGAGAGCTCCTCTGACAATCGTGTTCACACCTGCTGGTGTTGTTGATGCGAAGGGAGCGTTGCAGCGATGCTATTGAATTTCATCATGATGATCTCTCCCACCTATTGAGTCTCTTGACCCCTGCTTCTTGTACATTACTAAGATTTCGCACTTCGCACTACCTTGAAGCCTTTGTATTTCCCACCTCCTCTTTCATCAACGTCATTCATTGGATCTTCCACCTACGTTTTGTGCGAACAGACGAATACACAGAAGATGGCTCTCATATGCATGATTTGGTATAGGTAATACAATACAACATTATACAACTATTTCTGAAGTGAAAACTCAAACTTCTCCAAGACACGAGTTTTGCTTTCAAAGAATTTCATGTCTAATTAGAAATCTTAGACTTTATTCGATGTCGATAGGGATAGTGGTAGTACTTACTATAGTAGCAATGGAGGATGTTTTCCATGCCAAAAAGTAGACCTTGATATGCCTTGGCAGGACGGCAGAGCATATGCCCACAAAAACCTTTTCCCCTTTTGCTCCATACAGTTTCAGATATAGAAGTCGGAACCCGAAGATCAGGACCACATCACCCTTGCCCCAGGTCTTCAATCATTTTCCATTGCATTTTTATGTTGTATGATCACATTGATGCTGTTGCTGTCTTGGGACGTGAGCTCCTCCCTTTTTTCTTTAGCGTGCTACTGAGAAGATCAAAATCTGATCTTCAACGTTTCAGTTTCATGTGAGATCAATTTTCCAAGACTAAATCGAAATTAGAGAAGTTCTTAGATGAGAGCACAGAAGTCACTCTGTCAGCTTGAGAAAAAAGGGAGATTTAACTTTAAGATCATATTGACGGAACTAGATCTTCATTTGTTTGGTCAGATACAGAACAAAAAAAGGGTCACTGAGATACGCAGCTAAGATCAATAAAAATGACCTTGCAGGATCTAAATTATCGGAAAATGGACGAAACCAAATCATGTAGTTTGAGTCCCTGCATCTGGAGGCACAAGTTCCAAGGCTTCTTGACACATTTGCAGAAAAAGTTTTCTTATATCCACAACAGGACGCCGAATTCGAGAGAAACAGACGACAAGTTTTTCTCAAAAAACCACTGCTACTTCTTAGAAGATAGGAGCGATAAAGCGGTAAGCCTCAAATTTGCAAGCGACGTTTGTCTGTTGTCCTCTACTTACAGTAAGTAGGATTCATTGTGTTTCTTTCAATAAAAGCAGCACGCGACTAGACTAGCCCAAAATGATTATTCCAGTACGATGTTATACGTGCGGGAAGGTCACCGGCAACCTATGGGAGAAATATTTGCAGCAACTGCAAGAAGGGAAGTCAGAGAAAGATGCGCTCACAAATTGCGGCTGCGTGCGATATTGCTGCAGACGTATAAAATTTCTACTTCTAGTTTACTCATGCCTGATATAGAATTCCCTCGCTTGATGTAATTTCACATGGATGGAATATGTAATCCAAGAAGTTTTGCCTCTCTTCCCTCAATTTTTCCACTCCTTTCAATCTTAGACCCAACAACCAACAACAGGTATCCTCTTGACGCATGTGGATTTGATTGAGAAGCTGCTGAATTACAATATCCATGAGGTGCGAGGAGAGCAACAACCTCAACTTCGATAAAGGCAGAAGATTGCATCGACATCAAGATAAAAGGATGAACTGAATACTTGATATGCCTTCATCGGCAGCTCTTAATATGGATTTTCAGGAGTGACCCTCTCCTATGAATCGATTACTGTTCCGCATTGATGCTTGTGATACAACGACTTTTTCTACGCTTAAAAAGAATGTTGTGAAGAACGACGGGAAAAAGTGGGGGACATTTACATTTACATTTACAACTACGCACAATTTCTTATCGGGAATCACCTGCAAAAGTCAGGCACGACAGTACTGCAAAATTATGTGGAGGCGACCGACAAGGAAATGGTCGTTGTTTTCTTATGGTGTTCAGAAGTTGGTCTAAAGCGAGGCTGTTCGTGATTCCGAGGAGTCAAAGATCTAAGGCGGATTTACGAGCTTCAGGCGTCTACTGAGATTGGTACGAGAAATTAGATCTTGAGTTAGTGACCCATCAGAGACCCGATCGATCAAGCAGGAGTAGCTTCTTGAGACTTTATTTTCCAGAGAGGACGCGTCGGCGACACAAACCGATTAGTTTTTACCTCAAGAATGCAGCTGAGAGAGCGAGTTGTACTTCCTGCAGGACATCGGTAGAGGCGCGTAAAGGAAAGAAGAAATAGAGGACAGTCTTGTAACTAACTAGAGATGCTACACCCCGCGAGTGGGTACATCAATCAATCAAATCAATGCCGTCCTTATGGCCACACCTTAAATAAGCAGCCGAGCAGCGTCCTAGATATCTTAGGACTGGTGGCCACACCTTAAATAAACAGCCGAGCAGCGTCCTAGAAATATACAGCCGAGCAGCGTCCTAGATAGCAATTATTTTATGACACATAAGTCCTTTTAATTAAGCCTTCACCCTAGTACTGATCCATCCATTTATTTCGCAGGACAACGAAAAAAGATTATAGGATTATTATATACAGGGAAATGAGTGAAGGAATCCTCGATTTGGTTACTCTTACAACGATACTCGTAGCTAAGTACACAAGGGAAAATCAAATACAAAGCGAAAGTAAACATAGCCTTGAGCTGTGGTAACTCCTTATACATAGACGTGTTTCATAAAGAACATTTTCTTCTTCGAAATCATTCATACTCACATACATAGATAGAGAAATCGAAGACCACAACATCATACATATTACAACTAAGTATCACACTTAAAAAAAAATATAAGAGTTCTTTCCTTATATAAAGTGATTTGTTCGTTACGGAGCAGCAAGATGGCGGCGTTAGGTTCGTTCATCCTTCGTGGTAGCACTGCTGCCAGCTTGTTGGCGACAACCACGACCTTCTGGCTTAGTGCTTTCCCTCGCACAGTCGTCGCCGAGACCAACGTCGTTCAGAAGTGGGAACAGTGCAGCGATCTCGGATACCAAACACCTTCAGCCAAGACTGGTCCTGATGACGTCAATTCTCACGCTCGCACCATCGCTGATTTGACTTTGCGCAAGCTTCAGGAACCTCAGCGTTGGGAAGATCGAGCTGTGTTGCACCCTGGCATGTTTGAGGAGGTTTTCGTCAGAGCCTTCGGAGAATCGTTGGTCTCAGTCGGCCAAGAATGGGATGAAGAACGACGTGCGAAAAAGTTTGGAGAGGGTGATACTGAAGGAACTGCTAAGATTCCTTCGTGGCACAACATTGCCGAACGCGTCGCGCCGTACGACGATACGTTGGGGCAGACGATGCACTTTATTGGCCAATACGCGCTGGTGCGCATGGCCAAGTCGTCGCTGAGCGACCTGAAAACCGTGTGGGACCATCTCTTAAGGGTTACAACCACATTGCATGCTTCACTAGCAGCTGCCCCAGCTTGTTTTCCGTCAGTAGGACGGGGGTCAGATATGATCTGAAGTATGCAATGTCGCAGCGGCCTCTAATTCTTGCGAAGTCTGTGATGAAGCAGCTGGTCGAGAAGTTTTCGGAAGTCTGGGATGGCATCGAGAATTACTTGCAGACGCTCAAGAAGGCGTTTGAAGAGGATACGTTGAAACCGTTGATCGATCACTACAGAAATGGAGGACCGTTGAAACTGGTGTCTCTTCTTTCGTCTACTTCGTCGCATTCTCAGGCTACTCAGTCTCAGCATGCTCAGGATAGTACCATCACGACGAGCACGACAACAACTGCCGAACGCGGTGAAGATGCTACAACGCATTCAGGATCTGGGAACAAGAGGAAGATGAAGTTTTCTACGTTTACCAGTGTGTCTTCAGCACAAAGAACAAACTCGATGGAAACCGCACCACAAGTAGTTCCTCTTCAGCTGAAGCAACATGAGGCCGCTCCGATTTCGATCGGAAATATGAGTGGTACATCAATCATGTTACCAGAAAATCCTGCTGAGGCTTCCTTGCAGAAATCGTTCCGCAAGCTCTTGTCTGGCGGAAAGAATGGTTACGAGATCAACGTCGATGGGGATGGAAAGCCTTTGTCGCATCATGTTAAGGCTGTACCTAATACATCTTTCGACGCATCCTTGGAACGTATGGAGGAGTATCCCAAGGGAGTACTCCCCCATACTTTTCAAGGATGCACTTGAAAGATGAATTTCGGACAGCTCTAACCATGGGAAGAAGATGATTACTGAACAGAAAGACGGCGCGTGGATAACCAGATTTGAGAAAGATGGACCACAGCATATGGAAGAAGAAGGTTCCTTCGATCCCGATGATGTGAAGATGGAGAAAGATCCTGCTATAAAGTTTTGGCACATCCCTGGAGCCGCCGGTATCATCGGCACGTGGCCGATTGTTCGACCAGGTCAGGATAACGCAGACCGAGATAAGGTCTTCGGCGAGTTTGTGACGTTTTTCAGGCAAACGGTGATCCCAGAGCATAGTTGGTACACCTTGTCCCCGAATGCTTGGTCGCATCTGCGTTGCGGCGCTGGCAGTACCATTCTCGGCTTTGAGGGTGAAATCGTCGTCACCGCCTTGCGAATGCTAGAGGCAAAACTTCCTCCTATCGTCGAAAACGCGCTTGCACAAAGTGTCAGGCTGTATTTCATGCCGAATCCCGTCGTTCGGGAATTCTTTGGCGACCTACGTAGAACGCTGATCACTTCGAAAGTCGTGGAGGTTATCAAGGCTGCATTAGAGGTGGATGAAGATACAGAATTTTGGAAGTATGTTCTCGGGTGGTCCACAGAGGATTTGCAATTGGCAAAACGTTTGTTGCTATGGGCAAAAGATTGTTGATCATAAGGTGTTCGGATGAACAAGAATTAGTAGTAGTAGGGGTAGTAGCGGATACGTATGTAGCTATACCTATAGGGTATCCTAGTAGCCGTAGTCGTCCGAAAAGCTGCTCCCTTCAGTCACTTACCTACACCTGAGTACTTTTTTGTGGTTCTCTTGTCCCTCTAACACCAGACGCAGTTCTCCAAGACTCTGAGAAGCGTAGTGGTGTGAAACAGTGTGGTCCCCTTGCAGAGGCAGTTGCGCGCTTAGAGGACTTGGGTTTGACGCCAAAGGTCGAGAAAGACGACGATGAAAGCGAAGTTGATCGTTGGGCTGAGGAAGCTTTGGCCGGTCTAAAGTTCGCGGAGAACAAGTGCCGTAAGGTGTCTCTACAAGAGGCATTGCAAGTGCTGGTTTTGGGAGTTTTCAACCTGTATGGGTTTGGACCTCAACTCGTTGTCTCGAACATGTCCGATGTGGTGAACAAGGACGACAATGAAAGTTTGGGTCAAGCTGAAGGCAGCAGTACTAGCACGAGTGTTGCTGCGAAATTCCGCATGTTGGTCGCAAGCGCGTGGAGGCCTCAACATTCTGCAAAACAACACGTAGTTCCTCAGCATTCTGCAAAACAACACGTAGTTGTTCACGAAACTACAGCGAATCTTTCTCTTTCTTCTGCTTCCTCCATTTCGAGTGGTGGAACAACCACGACGAATCAAAAGTCTCCATCTTCTAAGACTTCACCTGGAAGTAACGCTGATGAAGAACCACAACGCGATGCTTCATCCGATTCCATTAAAGGTGGTGAGAAGAAGGAGGCTGGACGCGACGCGAAGGGAGCTGATGATGAAGATGCTGATAAGATCGATCAGGCCTCTACTGAGAACAAGGATGACAAGTCAGGAGCTTCTGCGGACAAGCCCGCTGGCCCCGCGGCCGCACAAAATGACGATAAATCTGATGCGGACGATGTGAATAACGATAAACCTGCGAAGGATAAAGATGAGGGGAAGCCCACAACCGATGACACCAACAAAGCCGGAGCAGACGACAAGAATGGTGAAGACAAGGAAACAGAGGATGGCAAGAACGAAGACAAAAAAGCGGATGATAGAAAAGATGACTCTAAAAGCGACCGTGATGATGACGCTGCGCCTGAAGTTGACGATGGTACTTCGGATAGTACTGACGATGACGACAAAGTGTCTCCTTCGGATGAAAAGCGTGGCGTCGTTCTCCGAACAGTGCTCCTCGTGATCGTGGTGATGCTAACGTGCAGTTTTCTTCTTGCTCTGGTTTTATGGCAGCTTTTTTGCATGGCCATAGTCCATATTCTCTGTGAGATTGACACCAGAAGATCGAGTCTTCTAAGTGTTTAGTCCTTTTTGATTTTCAATACAAAATCATAAGTTTATAAGTACATAGAATACGCGAACCTTCTTCTTATCTACTATCGATATCGTTAGAACATGATGAACAAGAGAAACAAAACGACCTCCCCCTCCTCTTCCTCTTCTAATACTACTTGCCCTTTGCAAGAAACGTTCGAGTGGTGTGCGAGGGATCCATGCAGGCTTGTTTTTTGGTTCAAACGAGGATGAAGTTCCGAGAACAAACGATTGGTTCTTTCAGCGATCCAACAATGGTAATGTTGGTGTACCCGCTCAAGGAGGCGTACTTGCGGCCTGAGGTGTATGTCGAGAACACTAGAGAACTGAAGTTGGATGCGTACTTGCGGCTTGAGGATAGTGCGAGGATGCTGGTAGCAGATAGACCAAGGTGGAAGTGCTGACTTCAGGATCTGATGGGATGAAGTAATCATGTGATAGGTTTGTATTATAGTGCTTAATACCTCCAGTGATCAACCCAAATATATCATTATCAATGATATTAAAGTTTACGTGATGCGGCTAGTTTACGTGCTGATGAACCAGAACGATTGATGAAATATGGGAGCAATACCAAGTACGTTCATAGTAACTGGCATAGAAACATAATTGTTCAGAAATGACGACAAGAGATCAGGGACTTCCATACACAAATAGAAGACTAAATTCTGAGGTAGAAATACTCACCATGATGAAGTTTTGAAGTCAACGCTAGTTATTCTTTGTATAGTTTTTTCGACCACCAGGAAGACCTTGTTTCGCTGAAACTTTCTTGTAAAAGGTGGCAGCTACACTGAGTCACATTGAGAAATATCTGCATGCTGAATACTTCATTCTCTTTTTCATCTAGTTGTAACAAATGATGTCGGAGCGTGTTATCTGCAGGGTGACGGGTGGCAAGGACAACGGAATTCAAATGTTGAAAGGAGCAGCTCATGTAGTTTACTAGAGGGCTTCTACGCAATGCCGATGATGCTTTCATACCACAGTAGAAGAATCCTCCACACATCAAAGGATCTGAAACAAGACACGTGTCGTGAGGAGTATGAAGAACATCTGAAGATAGTGTCCAGCATAGAAATCTGCAACCCGTCTTTCTACGGATAAGTCGTGTGGACCATAACAGATAACCAGTACGATTGCATGTTTAAGAACTCCAGTGTCGTGTGCTAGTTGCCGCTACATCTCTGGGGCCTTCCTATCTTATCATGCACACCTTAAACAGGGAGTCCTAGACCTAGTGCTGTGTTCGTTGCAATCATGCCTGTAGTGTGATGCCGTGCTGTTCTGTGGTAGTGAGGAATAGATGTGAAGAAAGGGGTCTTCAACATTGTGGACGTCAAGATTTTACATTTTTCCAGTTTTTTTCACGGACGAACGAGATGCACAGAGGGCAGAGCATGAAATGATGGTTTTTGATAGGCTCCGCACTTTTCTTGTGGGCAAGTGCGCGCACGACGCGAAATGTTTTCGAAGAGCAGTACCCTAGTATGTAGAATTCAATAGGTATAGGTTCTATTGTACTTGGTAGTCTGTTTCGGTACTGCGCAGAATTAGGACTGGTGAAATATTAGAGGCGTCCGCCTTGCCAGTTCTTCTTCATCTGCAAGTAAGTCGTGCGGATGCAACATTAATGAATGTTCACGTTCTTGGAGGTGGACGCTACAAGTACATGACCACTATAATCTGTTTGCGACCAGGACGAAACGCCTGAAATGAATTTTCACAGAGCTGAGTTCTTGGGCGATGCAAGGCTCCGGCCAGTGGATGCGAGCGAGGGCTCTTTCACCTGGTGATAGTCCACGAAACTCGACTAGCGAATCGTTTGGTCCACAAGGTGGAAAGTCTTTCAACTTGCTTCAGCAGCTACGAGAGAACAAAAGACAGTACAGTATTAACTACGGGACGAGTACAACTGGCGCTTCCACCTCTACTGCAGGTCGACTTTTAGTAGACCCATCCTCGTGGATACAGCAACGAGGAGGACCGCAAGCGCCGGGTACTTCTCCGGCAACAACTACTGTCGTAACCCAGCAACGAGGAGGACCGCAAGCGCCGGGTACTTTATCTCCGGCAACAACTACTGTCATAACCCCTGGGAGAAGCGGTAGAACACTACAACAAATTACAACGCCTCTACTGTCAGCTCCTCCTGGTCCTGATCAGTTCCGCAGTTTGAGGTTAGGAAAATTAACGCCGAATTCACGAACCGGAACAAAGATGCCACAAGGTGCGACTCTGCTATCCTCGTCCTCAGTCGGCGGACTCCAGACGCCATTGCTGAAGGGCGGTTCGGCTGCGAATGAAGGAGTCCAGAAAACGGACACTCCTTCGATTTCAGTCGACCACATTGCTGATCAACACACATCGGCACAGGACGCAGCGAGGCGGATAATCGAAAGTGCTGGAGGCTTCCACAATCTCAAATCTTCAACTGGGAAGAAGTCTAGTTCTAGTAGTCTCGAAAAAGTTAGTCTAAAGGAGGTAGTGGTGGTTTCTTCTCCTAAGGCCAGTGAAGACGAGACCAACGATGGTAGCACTGCAACTTGTTCGACATCTGGAGGACAAAGTGCGTTCGTTGAAGAAAAGACAGCAGATGGTGGCATAACACTAACGTGGACACGAGGCGGTGGTGGTGGCTCGTCCTCAAGCAACAGCACAACAGCTGATACTAGGACTAAAGGCTACATACAATCTGTAGGCGCGAAAGATGCTGGAGGACTTGTTGTAGAACCGCCGAGCAAGAAGACGAGTTCGAGCACCTCTAGTAGTAGTGGCACAGCGAGGTCTCATGGTAAAAAGAAGGAACTCGAAGTACAACGAGAAGCGCATCGAGAAATAGAACTCGCGAGCCGCGGTAATTCTACTGCCTTGGGGTCAGGGTTAGGGTCCTCCAGTAGCTGTTCGTCGCGATCAAAGCCGTGTTGTGCTGAAAAGAGCAGTACTCTTAGCGCACCTCTTCTTGACAAGGACAACACCCCCTATCGGGAACCAGATTGCATGGGCACAAGCAGTTCTAGCACGACCTCCAGAAGCAACCCAGATACAACTCAGGAGGGGGTGGCTGACCAGGAGAGCATGGAAACAAGGAAGAGTTCTTCTTTTTCAACGGAAAACATGTTGACGGTAGGTCAAGGCGATGGAGGCAAAGGTGGAGGTAGAAGCGGCAGTGGGCCATCATTATGACGAGGTTTTGAAAAATGTCCTGCGTGATGTTGATTCGACTTCACTGTGACTGTCTGTAGGTACTAAATTGATGACCTAGTAAGTAGGTAAAAAATTGACGGTAGGTAATATGAGCTTGAAGGTTCCGAGTTCCCACAAAGGATGTTTAAAATAGAGCTCCTCTAAAAAAAGGCAGACACCACACCATTTGTTGTTGGAATGTGCCATGGAAGCCTTTTAGGGAGTACTTGACGAGCTCTAGCGAATATGGTGGTTGGTCACGGATTTGCTGTGCCGGGTCGTGCGTGACAGGACCGAGCAAGATTGCGTTTATACTTAAGGCATATAGTAATTCATGTTAAGAAGCATCTTTGGAAACGAGAGCAAGGAGAACACACGTCAAAGATGCGCTTGAAGATGAATTACGGTTAGGTCTAATATGCGGACGTTTAGTTTGTCCGTTTTGCCCTTGCTGTTCCATTTGAGGTTTGTGCTGCCCTGTTACATGGGTGGCTTCGGGGACTACGGAGTTGGATCATTGTCACCTTGTGAAACTTTCTTTGGTATCGACCCGCAACTTTACTACGACAGCAGCGCGATGCCGGCAACGGCAAGTGCGCCTGATACTTCTCCAGGTACTGAAAATGGAGCCAGCATGTTATCGAGTACCCTCAGCCTTCTTGTATCGAGGATACCACTAGCTCAACAAGGTTCGCCCGAGATAAGTTCTACCACAGTGGCTGCTACTTCTGCGTTATCAACAGCGGCAGAGGGAGATAGAGCGAATCATGTTGCAGTAGATTCCTTCGCCTCTTCTAGTTCCTCAAACCCTGCCACACTTCTTAGTACTCCTACAGAACAAGGTGACATCATGGCAAGGATGATGTCCTTTCTAGCATCCCTAGATGTCGAAGGATATGAAGAGGACTACACGAAGAAATTTTTCTGGAGGTTTACGGCTGTTCTTGGAGTCATCGTGCTGGTGTTCGAGATTCTCACTGCCTTCAGCAATCCCGGAATAGTGCCCAGAGCGTACTTTTGTTGCTTTTAATATTTGTACAGGATCAATATAGTTGAATGAGTGTCTTTATCTTCCGTCGTTTGAGTGTGTCTATGCGAAATATTGAGTTGCTAGTAGCTCAAGTAGGTGCATTGGCTCCACTACCAAACACGTTTTACACGCAGACCATTCTCGCTTCTCTTCTACAACGACAGTCCAGCGTCGCAGCGAACCGGCCGAGTCTTGCCCCCACGATTAATGATGATACGGACATGCGTAATCAAGCAGAAGTGGTGCCCTACATGTGAAATATGGCGGCCGCCACGGTCAAAGCACTGCGCCTATTGCGACAACTGCGTTCTGCGTTTCGATCATCATTGTATTTACCTTTGCTTAATAGAACAGTGCTAGGTATATCATCATCAGTTTTTTGCCGAGGATGAACTACTCGATCACGGTAAAGCTAAAGACTACTCACATACACAAACTGATTTTCCATTTCTTTGAACAAGAACAAAAACCTACTCAACCCCATTTTCCTCAACTAGCACTAAAAATGTCTCATCGACGCTCTAGGTACGTGGCTTGGCAATTGCATCGGCCTATTCAATTACCGGCTTTACCTAATATGCATTTACTCCACGTCTTTGCTGCTCTCCACTGTGCTCGTAACGAGTTTTCATGTCATGAAAACGACCAGCGAGGAAAAGGATTTCCTGATGTGCCTGACGAACCTTGACAGTCTCTTTCTCTACATGCTGTATCTCTTCTACCTCATCGCGTGGTGCGGCGTGGTCCTGCTTGCGATATACCACACAGGGATCTGCATCTACAATCTGACGACCTCAGAACACGTGAAGAACGTTGACAAAGTGAACCCGTTTGATCTTGGTACAACTTATTGAGATTCTTCTATGTTTGAAACTCCTTTTCACTGTCGTGAGGAAGCAGTTACTTTTTCCATAAAAAGATGACAACCATATAATAATCTTCAACTGCTGCAGCTGCATTTCTGTTTCTCGACCTCTCACTACGTACTCTACCTTGGTGTAAACTACTTGCATCTATTACAGGTTGGGAGTACAATCTGCGTCATGTGTGGTGTACGCCAGAGCGACTACTGCCAGAAAGCGAGCAGGCTGAGCTTTGTTACGAGGGGATCGGCGATGAACAGCATGAGACGGTGAGTCTCGACTAGTCCACCTTTTCTGGAACACGAACATCAGTTAGAAGTTGCGTTTGCGGGTGCTGGTGGATGTTGTTTCGATCTTTTTCCCTGTAAACCTCCCATAAGCGCTGGTGAAGGGATCTAACAACTACTCCGGTTGTTGGGTCTCCGATTTTTTTTTATTTTGATGATACTTCACTCCCGTTTCCTGTTCTTCTTTCCTATTTTTGAAAAAAACGATCACGGGTTATGAGAAAAAAAAACTGCTTCATCACTCGAAGCTAGACGCAATGAAGGACGAGAAATTCGGAAAATAAACGTGCGTTTGCGGTGTGTGTCATCATTTTTTGACCTGGACCAAGTGATCAGATGATCCAAAACCAATCTCAAAGATCTTGTTATCTAGACAACAAAAACTAAGATCATCGTTCTCCTGACGTTGATAATTCTGGAATCAGATGCATCTGCATAGAGATCCAGAGAAACAGGTCACTACGTCTATGCCTTGATCGAAGCCGGATCCAAATATCATGACAGAGGGTTCGCGAAGATCATTCCCGTCACATCAAGTTGATTTTGGTCCGGCGCTCAGAGCCCTCCGCCTCCCTCAAATTATACGCTCTTCGTCTATCACTGATTGACAGATCCTTAATTAAGCCCTCAATAATCATAACGAATTTCCTTGTGCACCAGGACCCGATGGGCTTGATGATTTCATAACCATAAGAAGCTGCGGATGCATGGATGAATGAGAAGATGCAAATTATTTAGAGATTTCAACACTTTTTATGCATACTCCCTTCATCTGATTTCACTGTTGGAACAGAGTGAACTGTCATAGATTCAAAGATGAAGAAATTATCGAAAAAGGGCAGCAAGAAGGCTTGCGGTGCGGGTATGAAGAAAGCACCCGCACCAGGTGGAAGCCAAGCGTCGTCCGCTAAGAAGAAAGCGACCACCTCCTCTACTACGAAGGGACGAAAGAGTACCAAGAAGGTCACTTCCAAGGGTAAGAAGAGCTCTACGTCAAAGGCTTCCTTTTTCGATGATGACGAAGACTCTATCGACGAGGGCGATGGTGTGTTCGACGAAGCAGATGAGCGCAAGTACGGCGAAACCATCGACACTATCTTCGAGCGCCAGGGTTTGGATAAGCGCGGGAAGAAAGTCTCCTCCGGGTCTTCTTCGTCGCAGAAGAAGAAGAAAGGAAGTGCTGGTAGCGACGACGATGATGCCTTTTTCGGTGGTAGCGATGACGATGAGGATGGTCCGACTGATTTGTTGTCACTGATGGAAAGCATGACCTCAAAGCAGGACAAGAAACAAGCGACAGCGAGTGCAAGCGAACAAGAAAAGCTTGTACGAGATGTGGAAGCAGTTACGGGAACTAGAAAGACAGGAGATGCGGCAGCCGCAACAACAAACCGACTGGCTAATGTCGATGAAAGCATGACTCATCTGATCGAGGACTCCGATCACGTCAATCTCGCCGATCTGCTTCGGCCCTTGCGAGAGGACACGACTTCCGCTTGCGCGGTAGGAGGTGCTGAAGATCTCGATTCCGCAGAAACTACGACTAAAACCACAACGACGAAAACCAGCACAGGCCAGGTCCAAAGACAGTTACAGCAGTTAGAGGAAGCTGTTGAGAAGCTCGAGAACCAAGAGCCGGTTCTCGGAGAAGTGAAACAAGCGCGAAAGGAGAGGGAGATGAACTATGAACAGACCAAGAAGGACGTGAGACGTTGGGATGCGCAAGTGAAGGCGAACAAGGATGGAAGGCAGCTCTTATTTGGCGATTACGAAGACTTGCTGGAAAACCGGAGCACGAAGAGTTTAGCTGCGGCATTTCGGTTTCAGACAGGTACTCAATTGACTCCGACGAATCAAAAAAGAGATTTGATTTCTTTCTACTACGAGTTCTCCCTAAAAATCGTAAAGTGATGTTGTAAAAGTCGGTGATCTACTACATCGACGACACAACTTGTTGTTATTGTTAATGCTTCACCAACTCCAACATCAACATAAATATCTCTCACATGATCCAACATCTTCAGCTTCCAACTCCCTTGCCGGATCGAAAGTAGATTCGTTTGAGGCTGAGATCGCTCAGGCTTTGCGTGAGACAAAGCAGGAAGTGGAGGGACAGAAGCAGGCAGAAGCTGCTATTGATCTGGATGGAACCAGTCAACAGATTCGCGAAGCGAAGCGTGCTCAGCAAATGGCACAACTGCGTGCTTTGCAAGTAAGGGAACTCACACGAGCCAAGCGGTTGAAGAAGATTAAATCGAAATCTTTTCACCGAGTCAAAAAACGCATCGATAACAAAGAACGAGAAAAGGTACAAACTTTAACTTATTCAATTTATCAATCAGTGAATTTTTTTTGAATTTTTTTTTGAAAGACAAAGACTTTCTATCCTTATTGCATGCCACTATAAAAATTTCCTCTTCAGATTCTCTCCCGTTTGGAGCAAGAGGATCCGGAACTGGCTGCGAATTTGAAGCGCGAGATGGAGGAGAAAATGGCGCAAGTTCGATCCCGTCGCGGCGCTGACGCGCGTAAGAAGTGGGCTCGGATGGCCAATCGCTTTGGCGGTAAGGAAATGCAGTCCGTGATATCCACACAAGCTCAGAAAGCCGAAGACGACAAGCGAGCTTTGCAGAGGGCTTTAAAGGCCAAGGAAGGTCGTATTGGACGTGGAGGAAATGGGGATGATAGTGATAGCGATTTGGACTTGAGCGATGAGGAATTGGACCCCTTGGAGAAAGCGGAGATGTTAGCGAAAAAGGAGTTACACGCAACGAAGAATCCGTTGGAGGAAACAGGTAGTGGCAGTAAAGGATTATTTGGCATGAAATTTATGCAGGAAGCAATGGCCAAGAAACGCGAAGGTGCCGCGAAACAAGCAGAGGATTTGTTACAAGAGATAGGCAGTTGGAGGAAAAAGGCTGGAATGAAAAAAGGTTCTGACGACGAAGGTCAATCTGGCGATGAGGATGCTGAAGAGACAAGAAATAGAAGAGACGACGATGATACTAGTGATGAAGGTAGCGATTCCGAAGGTTCAGTGGACAACGAGGACCACGCGAAGCCTGCCTTTAGCAAGGAGGACATCGAGGCAGCGGAGAAAGCACTTGGAAGCGGTGCGGTAGAAGACGACCTTGTCCCTGAACAGGAGGAGATGAAGGATTCAGTAATAGTTGGAGCGTCAGCAGCAACTTCGTCTTCTTCGTCACCTCAAGGCGACGAGGGCGCAATATCTCGGAAAAGAAAGGCTGCTGATCAAGAAGAGCAGCCAGGCTTGTCAAATACCGCGCAAGCATCTTCAATAAAATCAACAAAGAGAAAAAAGAAGGAGAATAAGAGCAAGACCACTACTAGCTCTGGTGTTGTTGCGCCATACCTCAGACCCCAACAGAAGTCCAATGAGGGAACTGATAGCGAATTCGACGGGAATGATAGTGAGGATTCCGAAAACGCAGATTCTTCGGATGATGAGGGAGACCAGCATGACCCTTTCGCTGCTGTCGATGCAGCAGATGAGAGTAATGCAGAGCTGATTCGGAGCTCCTTCGCCGCTTTCAGCGGGGATGCTCAGGCAGACTTTGATGCTGAAATCAATGATGGATTGCAGAAAAAGCAAGACAAGATCGACGCAGAGGCCAACAAGATGACAGGTTGGGGATCCTGGGCTGGTCTTGGGGTGGAACCAAGAAGAAAACCAAAGGAACAACACAACGCGAACAAGAATCAGAGCGAGTTTAAGCCAAAGCAAGTCACCACGACTCTGTTCCAGCAATCAAAACGCCCATCAGCTTCTTCAACACCAGGAGCTGTTCCGTCTCCAGTCTCCTCTGCCAAGGTGACTCTGCTCGACGACGGTGCACCCGCTGCGGCTTGGCGAGAGAAATATCAAGTCCAAAATGTTCCGTATCCGTTCCAGTCAAGAGAGCAGTACGAAACTGCGATGGGGCGACCCATGGGCCAGGAGTGGAATACGGGAGCCATGCACAAGCGCAAGATTCAGCCACAAGTTGTCACACGACTCGGCGCAGTGGTACAACCCTTGCAATTTATCAAACACGCCTCGACGGCAGAGGAACGGGACGTCATGCTCGACGGGTGGAAGAAGAATCACAAGCCAAAGAAACCAAAGGCGAGGTTCTGAGACGCTGAATTTTGGGACGTCGCTCCACCATTTGCTTACGTTGATATTCATTTCTTTGCGTATTATTGTTGCAATACTTGATACGCGCAGGTCCTAGATGAATGATCTCTTCTCACCCCCACACTGACACCACAACCATGAAATATGCATCAAACAACTGTTTTCAATAGCGCTTTGGCGAAGAACACAACTTCCAATGTAGTTCCCGATAGACTGCTATCTAACACAGCACCATGAAAATTTGGTATTTGTTTACCGTTGGTTTTCCACCGCAGTTCTGTTGTACTTGTACTTTTTTCAGAAGAGATGCTCGGTGAAAAATGTCACATGACTGTAAATAATGGAACATCGATTAATACCGCTGTAGCACGGTAAAGAAAGAAGAATTTGAATGGATAAGAAAGTGATATTCTGAAAAGCCATGATCTTGGATTGGAGACTGCTTGGAGACTGGGAAAAATGAGTGTAGGAAGAAACGATCCGACTTTGTGAGACTAGAGCAGAATGAGAATCAATCCGGAAGAAAAACTCTGACTCAAATTAACAGCCACAAGAACTTCTCTACAATGAAAAAATATTCGAATAGATGAGTGAAGAATGTCAGAGACTCGAGGCGCATATCAAAGGCTAGAGTAACTTATGTGTAGATTACAGATGAACCAGAAAAAGTCGTGCGTGGAAATTGAAAACTTTTGATGTTTTGACTTCACAACTTGTCGTCTAGGCTTGCTTGTTTCATTTGTCAAGAAGTAATCCGATGTCGATACCCCCACAACATCAACATTCAATAATCAACTCGGAGTCTTGCTTTCAAGTGCTTCAACTTCAACATGTCTCCTAACTCCTACCAAGAAGAAGATGAAGAAGTTTCAACTTTCTACCACTAAGTCAGGGTTGATGAATGAATAACCTTGATTCGTGTTGTTGTCATCTTTCCGTGTCCGTCATTCTAGGTAAGCTACTAGAAGATGGGCGACGATCCTCTCTCGCTCTTAAGGGCAGCGAAGCCTCCTCCCCCTAAGGCAGCAGCAGCGGAAGCACCGAAGCGCGCACCCCTTTTCTCCGATAGCTTGTTCGACCTTGATGATGTGCTTGGAGGCAGCGCCGGAACAGCCGCGCCTTCCGTTGCCGCACCTGCTTCTTCCGCTGGCGGCACGAAGCAGGGAACAAACTTCGGAAACAATAACTCAAACTCGTTGTTTGGAAATGTAGCGCCCAGTGCTGCGGGAGCGGGTGCGACGAATGGTGGTTTTAATCCTGCTGCGCGCGATCCGTTGTTCGATTTTGACGCGGGTTTTGTTGGCTCAACAGGTCCTGAGACAAGTGGCAGTCAGTCTAGTAAAGAGGCCTCGTCCACCGCCGCAAGTAGAGCACCATTATTCGGTGGACTTGTGCCAGCTACTAGCAGTACACCTAGCGGACCTAGTTCAGCGGCAAAAGGGAGCTTATTTGGTGGACCTACTAGTACTACAGGTGCCAACACTAACATTGCACCACTAGTATCTGCGAACAGTGGAGGTCCGCCTATGTTGGGCGATGATGCTTTTGGTCGTGGTGGCGCGACAGCGACTGGTGGTTTCGGCTCTTTGTTTGACCTCGGTCCTGGCATAACAGCTACAGCCTCTACAACTTCTACACGACCCGCAAGCACTAGCAGTACCAACCTCCAACGGCAGCCTCCTGGAGCTCCTCATCTAGGTGGACGTCTTCCTCTTCCACAGGCTGCACCTTCTTCCTCCAACATGAACAATAATAAACCAGAGGACCCCGTTCGTCCGTTGCCCCCACCACCAATAGATACGAGTAACGACCTTGATGCCTTTTCCTTTCTCGATCCGAGTCCAAGAGACGGGATTTTAGGAGCGTGGGGATCAGCTGGACAAGGAACACAAGCTGGACAAGCATCAAGTGGAGGCGTGTTAGGAGCCGGTCGAGGAAGTGCGGGTGGGGCAAATCCGCTTTTTTCTGCAGCCGCAGCGCCATTGCCAAGTGCGTCATTCGCTGGACCAGCTGCGGCTGCGGGCTCTGCCGGCAGCGCAACGACTGCAGCAATGGCGAACAATTATGCTCCGGATTGAAGGTGCTAGTGGTAGTGCTTAGCTTTAGCTCTAGTTCTGAATCTTTTTCTTAGTTCTTCTCTGCTCTAATGCAATAGTAGAAGTGGAGGTGTTGCGGGATTAGCGGCAAGTGGGAAGAAACACAAATACAGCAGTGGCATGCTTGGCGGCTTGAGCTCTCTCGCTTCGTCGGTAATGAAGCAAGGCGAGAAAATGCTACAACAGTTAAGGTTGGTACTAACCATATAAATAATAGAAATTTTGAGAAATTGTAGGAAATTCTTCACTGCTGCCCCCTCATCAACGACATTATTTAAATAAAAGATGAGAAGTAGTTGCTCTTCTCACGAATCTAATCCCTGCAGCGTCCGCCAGTGCCCCTGAGAACGAATTTGGTGGTGGTTTCACGGCCGCAGGTTCGGGAAGTACTTTCGATGCTGCTGCCACCGGTGAAAGCATAAACAACGTCCTTAACAGCGCCAGTGCGGCTTACAATAGCTATGTCAACACGTCTGGCAGTGGATCGCCACCAGCGCAATTGGTAGGAGGTGGTGCTGCTGATAACGGCTTCTTTGGGGTACCTCTTGGCGGAAGTCCTGATGCTGGTGGGGTAACGAAGATAGACCCTGCAATGGCGATGAGTGGAACACTGGAAATCCTCTCACCGGAAGGTGCAGAACTGCCCTCTGTGTATTCTTTCTGGGAACCTGGTTCTAGTCGACGTAATACTGGATTTGGAGACAACACTTCTACCGTGTCCTTGGCGTCGTCGATGGCAGAGGTGCTGACCGATGCTTTTCCACTGGATAAGATGCTTCCAGGAGAGAGCGTCCTTTTTGAGGTTCCCAGGGCAGGAGCATTGCCCCAGATGAATCGCGTCCCAGAAAACTGCGTGCGACTCGTCATACCCAATGTATTCCCGCGTAGCTGCGTCTGCAAGAAGCTGACAGTGTCGAATTATCGGATGTTTTTCCAGCTTTCTGTGGATCGAGACTTGGTTTTCTCAGGTTTGAGTCCCGAACGACAAATGGAACTTCTCGACGGGCTAGATGGACAGGGACGAGGAAGCAGTCCATCCACGATGGGCCAGAGCAACTTCCGCGACTCCCGGTCGCGGGAGGCGCTCTCAAGCGTAGCATCTTCAGAAGAATTTCTAGACTTTAAAGATGGCGCTCTCTCATCGGCGAGTAGCGCCGTGACGGAGAATTCGATCCCGCAGGAGCAAGGGGGGCCGACCGACGAAGCCGGTGATCGCGCGTTGAGCCACCACTTGAAGAGCTCAACTGACGCGAAAAATGCTGATGGAACGACACTGAAGCGACCGCTCGCGAATGCTGGAGCTACTTCATCCTCAACGAAAGGCGCCAAAGCTAGTGCTTCCAGCGCCCTCTATCCGCCTTACTCGTTGGCTGCCTGGCTAAAAGACTCCGACTTTTTGTGCGTCCCATGGGGCAGTGTGCTGTCGATCAAGCAGTACGATCAGAGCGGGTACAGAGAACTCTTGAAGGAATTAGGCCTAAGCTTTGGGGGTGGCAGTGGAGGGGCTACTATCGCGGCAGCAACAAGCAACTACGCCTACGGATCGAGAAGCCAGCTCAGCGGAGACTGCTGGAAAGTCGTCACCAAAGATTATGAACGGATGTTGAATTATTCTTTCTTGATGTACTAGTCGCTGAGAAGTTGATGAAGTAGTTTTTATTTCCGTACTGATTATGATGTATGAGCATGAAGTTTAAGATCAATATTTTAGTCGATCTCTCAACGGGTCATAGACATAGTCATCTTCATCTAACTCTCCCTGCGTGTGTTTTATCTTGAAGATGTGCCACCGAATTTCGGGACCCAGTTGCAGGAGGCCTTTCGCAAATTTGCCAATGCAGCTTACGGACCTGGCAGCCTCTTCGCTTTTGCCCACAAGAATGGTGAACTGGCGAATACATCATCAGCCGAACCAACCGGGTCTTCCTCCGGTGTAGTGGGTGAAGGAGGAGGTGATACACCTGGCGCTGCGGCGAATCTAACAGGGGGTTTTGACTTGCTGAATGGAAGCGGCAGTGTCCAGTGCTCGAGCGGTTCAAGTGGATCTATTATGGCTTCGGATATTAGTACCCGATGTGAAAGTGATCAATGTCAGGGGCTTTTTGGAGTCCTTATACAGGTAGATACCAGGGATTTCAAACGCGGTTTTTTCAAATTCGAGGAATTCTCTAATACCAATCCTAGTACAACAGCCGACGCAGGGAATGCTGTTAGAGATGGGTGGTTACTCTATGATCCTTTTGCGGAGTATTCGAGGCAAGGCATAGACATGGACACGGAAATGACGGCTAAATCTCCGAGTCCTTGGCGATTAAGTCTGGCGAACAAAAGCTACCAGCTTTGTGAGAGCTACCCGCAATGGCTAGTGGTTCCGAAACGGGTGACGGACGCCGTTCTGCACAACGTTGGGAGCTATCGTAGTTGTTCCTTATATCAATGGTTTTTCTTTTTCATATGACATGCACACTAGTAGTATGGTTATGTTCTGTGGTGGACGAGATCTCGATTATGCTTGCAAGAGCCACCCCATTTCATGACTCCCCTCTCAGGCAAAAAGCATCGCATTCCTGACAACAATTGTTTTTCATATGACATGCACACCAAAGTGAAAATCTACTATGTACTGATAAGTTAAACGTCGCAGTACAACTACTAGTAAATGGTTATGTTCTACCTCATCGAAATCTACTATATCAAGTTCTTCACCGCAGGAGTACAACTACTAAACTAGTATTATTAGTTCAATACCCCACGAATGGGCACACGACGACGAAATGTTCTTGTTGTTGTTCTACTACCTCATAGTACATTCAAATGGAAATCTTAGGCAAAAAGCATCGCATTCCTGCCCTTTCCTGGTGTGGTGGACGAGAGATCGATTATGCTTGCGTCTTTCGCTCATCGCAACCTTGTGACGGCCTATTCGGGAATCAGAGTGACGCTGATGAGTACTTGTTGAAATCCATCGCTTCACGTGGAGGAGAGATGCAGCAGCCTCTTTTCGTCCTGGATCTGCGAACGCATAAATTTAAGACAAGTAGACTCATGAGGAAAGCTGGTTCTGGTAGTCGGTAGTTGGTCGCCTAATCCAAATTGAAACTCAAAAACGTGGGGTAAAATAAAATGTGGGGTAAAACGGTACCTCGTCTACAGTAACCTCGAGAATGTGGGGTAAAACGGTACCTCGTCTACAGTAAACACCAGATATATTCTGGCGATGATAGACAGATACAACAACATAGAAGATACACTTCACTTTAGACCCTTAGCACGACTATCATCGTCATAATCCCTTCCCTTCATCCACGACGAGTACCTCTGACCCGCTCACAATTAGAATTATCCCTGCAAAGATATCCAACAATATTAAGTGCCGCGTTCGTTCTAACAAATCTGCCCTAGGAAACAAGGCCGGTGGTGGTGGGTATGAAGATTATCCTTTCTGCCAATTAGAATTCGCAGGAATACCGAATATACATGCGGTGCGTGGCTCCTTTGAAGGCATGGAAAAAGCTGTGGCGAGGATTGCTTACAATCAATCCGGAAACTGGTTCGCTGAAGTAGGGAACAGCCTGTGGTTCGAAAATCTCTCGCTCGTGTTGCAGTTATGCCGCGATGATAATCATAATCAAATTTGGAAATACAATACATTACAATTCATCTCGCACAGTTTTCAGTGCAGACTGCCGCGCGGCGTCATAGTTTAGTAGCGCGAAAAGGACCCAGCTGCAGTTCCTCTTCGTAAGCTACTGGCTAGCTGTTTGGTCAACACACAGCGATATTCTACTAGCTTGCAACAAACACCACTCATCTTCTAACATCCGCCGCAGCCAACGTAGCTTGGAAACTTCGACAAAAACGGGCTTGCCTAGTCCATTGTTCGGACGGCTGGGATCGGACAGCGCAAAACACCACGTTAGCCATGCTTGCGCTAGACCCCTACTACAGAACACTTGAAGGTAACAACTTTCTTTTCACCATCTCATGCCACTTTTGCTTTACCTTGATTTTGAAGAAGTTGTTGCTCAGAAACTGAAGTGATGAACTTTGTACCTGCTGAGAAACCTGTTGGTGCACCAGTGATTATTCCCTGTAGTTTTCCTCGTCATCATCATCGTCATCGCTAGGTTTCTGCGTGTTAATCCAGAAAGAGTGGGTTTCCTTCGGGCATCAGTTCAAAACGCGACTGGCCACATCGATGAAGGCTGGTGGCGAGTACTCACCTGTTTTCTTCCAGTGGCTTGATGCGGTTTACCAAGTGGCGGTTTGCCAATATCCTTATGAACCAATGTTCTCTAAGACAAAAATCAAGATTATACAATGAATTCAAATTATCCATCGTCTTCCACGACTACTACTCAGACTCCAGCCTTTGCTTCCATCTTCTAGACTCTGAGGCCGTATGCCTCGGCTTATAATAAGAATAATTATTTTATTAGTTGATCAGTGTAGCGGTTAGAAGGCAGAGAACTGGTTCTCTGTGACTCATCTCAAATTGATTAGTTTCCCAATAACATTCAATGGCACTTATCTCACGCTTCATCCGTTATTAATAAGTAGATACATCTAGTACAACTGAAGTAAATAAGCAGGAGCCGGTTAGAAGTTTTCATCTGTATCCATCCCTAGGCTTATCCCTCTTTCAAACAATATTAATACACCTACAGCTAGAACGCTCCTCTTTGTCCTCTTTGTTCTAATTCTCTGATGCCTTTGAATTCAACGAGCGCTTGTTGTTGGACTTGGGCAGCTTCGTTGTGGATAATCGGTTTGGAACGTTTCTCGCGGACAATGAGCGCGAAAGCGTCACTTGCTACGCGACGCGGACCGAATCCGTATGGAGTTATATTTTGCGCCGCCGCGATCTCTACGCAAAATGCGGAGGAGGAGACACCAAGAGAAGGAGCTCGTTCTTGCCCATCGTCTTCTCCCAGGCAAGACTAAATTATGATTTTTGATCTACTTCACTGAGGTTGAAGATGATTTGTGATTAAGAGACTGACAACCATAGCACCGAAGTTGGAGCGCCGACACGAAAGTCATTTTTGATCTACTGCACTGAAGTTGTACATTTTGTGATTAAGAGACTGACAACCATAGCACCGAAGTTGGAGCGCCGACACGAAAGTCATTTTTGATCTACTTCACTGAAGTTGTGCATTTTTTGATTAACAGACTGACAACCATAGCACCGAAGTTGGAGCGCCGACACGAAAGTGAAAGACTATTGATGCTGAAACTATTACTACTCATAGATACATCTACTGGGGAACAGCTTTTAATTACTAACAGACTGACGAGCTTCTCCTACCTTCCTCTTGGTGTTACTATCCACCGAAGAGATTCTTCGTATCCGCCGAAGAGCTTCTTCGTATCCACCGAAGAGCTTCTTCATCCATTTATCTATTGCTCTAATGAAAATTGTGGCATGGCTTTTGGTTCCGCTACCATCCGCACTTGTGGGCCGTTACGTAAGGCGAGCTCCTGCGTTGGCAGGTGGTCATCTTTTGTCGCACGAGAGCCAGTACTTACACAGGAGAATCACTAGTCGTGGTTATCCTACAACTTCGCATGAGCGGGTGGGTACAGATTTTTTAGGTTACATACACATTAAACACGAGCATTTAGGCACTGTGCAGATTTTTTTAGGTTACTTACATACACTAAGAACGCGACCATTCAGGCACTGTTGTTTCTCTTGAATCTTCACGTGTTTTCAAGAAGAGTTCATTTCTCGAGCGCGCATGATCATGCGATTTCAGCCTTAAGAAAACCCGTCCAAAACCAAATGTAGCAGCTAGTATCGGAGACGAAAAGTACAGCGTCCTTGTGCCTGCCTATAAGAGTACGCACATAATTCACAACTTGCAATGAAGTTTCCTCATATTCTTGTTCGATGCAGAAGCACTTGTCAAGAAAACTGTCTTCGTACACGTTTTCCATTTTCGGTTATTCGATGTCGACTTTCGAAGCATTCCTCATCTAATTCGGAAAGAAGTAGGAGGAAAAAAGTAGGAGGAGGTTGTGCTTCACTGGGTGGCCTCTTAGGTAGATTCGAATAGCTACACAAGAGGCGCCATGATATGACATAAAATGAGATGTCGAAGTCGAAGAATGTCGACGAGGTGAAGATCGGTCGTGCTTTCCTCTCGAACTGGAGTGTTGATCGGTGAATATTGAAGCTCTGATCAGTGAATAGTACCATGGTGTCTTCGATGAACAATCGGTATGCTGCATGACCTGTATCTATATGACGAATCGCTTTTGTCCCGCTACCTTTTATAAGAATCCTCCTGCATTACCATAAGTAAGTCCCGACGTAGAAGTCTGGTAATGAATATGTACTTAATGAATAGTCTAAGTGACGCAGAAGCGCCCTGATTGGTATTCTTATCCATGGATCGATTCGTGTATACTCAAATTTTTTTCATCACAAGTAAGTTACTTTCTTCCTGTTTTTGAAATGAACTAAGACCGTCTGATCATCAAACGCAAAAAGTAGGAATATGATCGTACGAAGAGATGATTGAGGAACATAACAGAACAACGTCAAAGCTGTTAGTAACTTCTGTAATCTAGTTCTAGATCTGCTGATTCTATGTATAATCTTACAACGGACTGTTGTAACTGCAACGACATTAGTGGATTGAACTATTCTTTGATAGGCTGAAGAACACGCACCAGAACAATACTAAAATTAAAAAATGTTGATCAAAGTAGAGAAGGAAGGTTGCCGCGGTGTCGGTGAACCAGCTGAACGATCGCTGTTTGAGACCGACGAAGAGGCCCTCCTGGTCGGCTTTGAGGAGGGGTTTGATCCACTTCTTGGTTATGAGGGGAGTGGCTGTGGTGTGTCGACGTCAAGCTATAAAGATGATGACTACAACGAGTTGTACAACAAGACAAGGGACCACAAAAATAACAGCATCAACAACTTCTGCGTCTTCAACCTGAGCATGAAGATGCGTCGTCCTGCTTACAACTTTTTTGACATGGAGAACCAACGTCATGAAATGAAGAAAGTGCAAGTAGCAGCTGAAGATCCTGAAAACCCAGAAGAGGTACAACTATTGCCATCATCATCATCTTCAGCCAGCACATCTACTATTAAGGTTGTAGCTAATGCATCTTGGACTGCATCGTTGAAGCGTATGGCAGAGTATATCAGGGCGATACTCTGCCATACTTTTCAAGGATGCAGCTGGGAGATGAATTGCGGAGAGCGCTAATACTACTTGCAAGTGCAACAGCATAATCCGCATGAAGCGCCTTTTGGACTGTTTCATTCGTCCAAGAAAAAGAGAACTCCGTGACCATGCATCATCTTCACCACCTACATTAGTGGAACATGTGCACTTTCTCCATTCAGACTTGGAAGCTGCGTCGTGCTCAGATGAAACAGCCAGCTGCTCAAATTATGCGAACTGCTACTGTAGTAGGTAATAACAATAGAACGAATAACAATAATCCTTAGCATACTTACATACTTCACAAGTCCTGTATTCTTTTACAGCGCTTCGAATCATATTGAAAATTATACTGAAGTTGGCTGAGCAGGATGTTTATTCTGGTAGAGGCAGTGGTAGCTAGAGCACTGACTTATTTTTTTCATACTTCCGTCGCCGAGGGATCTGCGTCTGCATCCAGAAGCTGTTGTGAGCAGAAGGGAACCGAATCACGCCGCATTCATCGGCGAGCAATCTTTGGTCATTGGCTTCTTGATATGGATCTTGTTTTTTCTCCCTTAGAATAGGTCAGACCATCGACGGGCGCTGCTCCTTTTCCACTTGATAAAAGTGAATATAATTCAAACAGCATACGTAGTTACTTGTAAAAGTGTATCAAAACACGAAATCGAGTTGATTAATGTCGGGCCCTTTTTAGGAAGCCTGGCATTAGAAGTCCCATCGACAGTTTCGGAGTACTGATCTGGGCATCCTACCATACCGGTTACTTATGAAAGTGTATAGCGCAACATCAAGCGCAAAGGTAGGCGGGTCATCCAAACCCTGGGTCAATGCTGGAGAGCCGGCACTTACTCAGTTAAAAGGGTGTATCTTTAGCTATGATGGTCTACGACATGATGGTCTTCTAGTACGCCCTGCTCTATAGGAGAAAAAACAACATCTTCTATACTGGATGTTGCAGTCATTTCGCTACTGCTTTGCGGATTTGTTGGCCCCGTCTTCCTCATCTGGAACATTCTCGGTGGTGGGTCAAGATCTACAATATTATGGCACACTAAAAGTTTCACTGAATTCATCCTCGTCTTCTTTTGTCCACTCGCTTTACCTTTATTTTTTCAGTTATAGGCTGATTGAAGATGAGCGAACTGCAGCAGGAGTGTTCTCCGGTAGGTACTACAGTTTCCTTATGGTGAAGTCCATGGGGTTAGGTCCATTCTACCGGTCCATTCGAGTTCTAAAAAACAGGAAGGCGAAGATGCAAGGAGCTTTCTTCGATAATGCTTTTCTCGAGAAGATGAGCAGAAGTTATGACTTCTATTTTCTTCTTCTTCTTGCTCGTCTTCCAAGTAGAATCTAGCACTTGTTAAATAAGGGATGGTAGTATGTAATAGTCATAATCCCCCCGTTTATGTACTTGTTAAATATGGGTGGGCGATAATGTACTACAACTTGAACTTGCTAAGTAGATAAGACATAGACAGAGTAGTCTATTGAAACAGATTCTGAAGAAGTGCAATAAAGGATAGAACTGAAGTACTAGTAGTGCAACACCTCTAGAAGAAAGCGGCAATCTGCACTGTGTTGAAGGTTAATTGCACTGTGAAAGTTAATAGAATAGAGCGAAATTCTGTGCGAGGTTAATTGTACTGTTGTATTGTATAACTGCTAAACAACGTCCATTGCATACTCATGTATAGTATTGCATCATCATCGTCATCGTCGTCACCTTCTTAGGGGATAATAGACGCGTAGCAGTAGTCTATTAAACGAACCCTACGTACATTCCTCTAGTGTTCTTGGGATTCGTAGAATATCAATATTCAGGTCTCACTCACAAGTAAAAAATACTAAAGCAGGAAGGTGGTGGCCTTTGGTAACTAGAATTTATTCACTCTCTGCAAAAGTAGCATTTGTTTTGTTACAGGACTCCGCGCCACCTCCTTCTAGGCCAATTCGTTCACACATTCACTCGTTCATTCATTCACTCACTCACTCAAAAATAATGCGGGGTCGTCACTGGTATCTGCAGTTCCAATTTTATTTTTTTTCATCGTTCTTTTTTTTATAATACTTTAGATTGCACCACCAGCACGTTGAATTACCACGATGAAGGCTAAGGTACAGGCATAACCTGTGGAAAGCCAGCCAGATCCTATCCTATCCTAGACTTGTCGATGTAAAGATAACTTTATCAGTTTTGTCTTTGCAACTGCCTTGGAACAAGATCATACTAAGATGCACCTTAAAACTATAGTATCACATTTGTTTTTTTTTCTCTTCCCTGGTCAGGAATGCTCCACCGCAAAATTTATCAGTTTCGTCTAAGCTTCCATCAGTTTCGTCTACCTGGTGGGAAGTAACGATGGCAAACCTGCTTCCTCACCCACGTACGGAAGAAGACGCTCCATTCAATTACCGGCACATGCTGCATCCGCTGGGGCAGGTCGAGATCCACCTATTATGGGTGTGGGAAATCCATCTTTTGCAAAGTTTCTTCACCTTGTTCAAGGGGCACCGCCCCGACCCTTCCTTATCATAATAACCAGAGGACTCCACGGCTCAGGGGATTGAAAGCCGACTCCTCTAAGGGATTGACATTCACAAAATGGACCCAAGATGAGTTGTCATAGTCGTGACCGCTCACCTCTCCGAGGCGAGCTAATTCCTATCCGATCCTATTCTATCTTGTCCTATCCTATCCTATCCTATCGCGAGATGGATTCCTGCAACGTCTAAACCCAAAAGTCCACCGGGAGGCTCTGCTACCTCGGGCAAACAAGTAGCCGGGGAGTCCGACGTACTTTTAGTTTTATTTGCTTTGTGATGAACTTATTACAGAGCAGTTTATAGCACGCATGGCGCAAATGGAGTCGCATGGAGTGCATGGAGCGCAGACCTCTAAGGGACGCAAGAAGCGGCCCCTTTAGCTCCATGCAGCTCCATGCGATCCATGCACTCCATGCCGTGCGAGCTGGCAAACCTTATATATTATCCTGTTCTTAGAAATATCATCTTACAAGCCACAGTCTAGTCGTCCATTCATCATCATCACCTCCATCATTGGTATCATCATCGTCATTATTTTGAGCTTAGTGAATCAAAGGCGCAAGTGAACGCCTTCACTTTATTCTTTCAAGCATGAAGCGAAGGCGTTCACTTGAGGACTTGATTATAATACGATAGGCGAGTTGTTGTTGTAAGTACATTTTATACTTATGTACAGAATTTCCAGGGCTCAGGGCTGAAGGCCCCGCCGCTCTAAATTTTTGAGGGGGCCCTCCAGCCCAGCTTCCTTTTTCTCGAGGGACTGCCAGGCGGGAAGGCCTCCAAACGCCCACCTTCGCGCCCTCGCGGCTTCTTGCGTGTACCCTACAGAACCTAAGCCCCTGAGGCCGTTCAAGCGCCGGCGGCTGGTGGTGGAAGGCTTCTGAAGACGGCAAAGGTGGCCAGGCTTGGCCTCCTTGCCGTGTTGAATGTACCTGACAGGCCTCCCTTGCCGTGTTGCGTGCACCCTACAGACCTCCCGCGTGCGGGCTCTTCACTGGGGGAGTTTCTTGGGGGTGGAAGGCCTCGGGGGGCAGAAGGTGGCAAGGCTTGACCCCTTTCGCCGTTCTGCATGATGCGACAGAACCCAGGCAGGCACGCCTTGCCCCCACTTGGCCTTTGGGTCCGCAACGCCCCGGGCGTCTGGTGGCGGCTGACGCTGCCTTGCCACCAAGTGGGGGAATGAGGGCCAAAGGGGCCAGGCCCCGCGACCGTGGCCGCCTTCGGCGGCTTTCTCCCGCCGGAGGTCGTCCTCCTGATATAGTCCAAGAGCCGGGGCGCCTGTGGTTTACACGCGGAGGGCCGCCAGGGGACTCCGGCTCCGCCTTGTGAGGCCTTCGCCCCCGGGAATCCCTACACGCCACCACCGCGGAAAAAAGGGCGCACCGACGCCTCCCCCCCGCTCCATCCACAGGGGGGGCCTCCCTCCTTGGTGTATATGTCTTTTCATTTTATTTAACTCCGGCGCGCTTTTCTGGTGGAGGAGGCGGGGCCGCGTTGAGGGGGTGCCCCCGGCAGCCTCCTGGGCGCCTCTTAGCTGTTCTGCAGCTGTTTCGCAGTGGTTCCGCAGGGTGCTCCCGAGGGGCTCGCATGAGCGTGGGCGAGGCTCCCTCAGCGCAAAACGCTCCTGGGGTGTTCCGGAGCTGTTTCGCAGCGGTTCTGCAGCTGCCTCCTGCGTGTCTCAGTTTGGAGGGCCTCCTGCGCTGCTCTTGGCTGTTCCGTGGCGTGTTCTGTAGCTTGTTCTGCAGCTGTTCCGCGGAGTGTTCTGCAGAGCAGAGTGTTCCGCAGCTGCTCCGCAGGGTGTTGCGCGGAGTGTTCTGCGGATGTTGTGTGCCGCGTTCGGCAGAATGTATGTTCCACCGGGGATTCGGTGGCTTCGCCTACTACAGTGGCGCGGGAAGCGTCTCTGCAGGGCAGAGGGGCGCGCGCAAGAGACGCGGGGGGGAGCCGTGCCGCCGCAGGTGACTGCGGTGTTGGGCGTCGCTGTCGCACGCCGCTGGGTGTCTCGCCTGGAGGAATACGAGAGGCCGCTGCCGCTCTGCTGTACTTCCCCCTCACTCTTCTCCCGCCGGCAACTCCACGTCCGCCTTTCCTCTCCAACCCTCTCCCTTAACATAAGGATGTTTTTAAGTTATAATAGTCGGCTACGAGAGATAATTCATCCTTGACTTCTGCATCCTTGAAAAGTATGCGCGAGCATTTCAGGGGAATGCCCTCCCATACTTTTCAAAGATGCAGCACTTGGCAGATGAATTGCGGACAGTTCGAATCATGAGCGCCTCTGATGTGTTTCTTCCGTTTTTTGATTTCCCTGATACTCAGTTTTTCCTGACTCCTCTTCCCCGTGATTGATCTAATGTCAGTGGTATACCGTGGAAAGTTAAGGATAGTATAATCTACTTAATGCAAGAGGTCGTGGTCAGGCTAGGTGCTCTAATATATAATATTATACAGTTACAGATACGCCCTGTATTAACAGGTAGCGCCTCGTGACCATCTAGGATGTAGTACTGTAGATCCTCTCTCGTCTTTCTTGGCTTTTCCCTCAGCCTTACCAGTCATTTCTTCACAATATAGAAGCCGTCTTGTTCTTCATCTTTAGATTGGTAGTCTGCTCATCCTCTATGCAGTGTTCTTTCTGCTTCATCAAAGCTTTCCTCTTCGTGGTTATGTGTTTTTCTTTGGGTACTTATGAAATGCTTGCTACCACTAGTAAGCACTATGCTATTGATATTACTGTGCCTTCTCCTTATAATATTAATCACTATGCTAATAATATTGACAGATCAAGTAGGTGCGCCGCGAGCGCGGCACGTGTGCGCCGATAGGGTCGCGGGCGAACATAATGATAATATTTACTTCTCCTAGCTAACAAACGACATAATCCACCGGTCGTGCATATCTTTTCCCCATCCCAGGGAGCTAACATCAAACGACATTATAATCCACTATTTAAAATTTTTTTCCCCACAACGAACCGCAGCCCAGTGGAGCCAAGCCCACTGGAACCGGAAGGGGCACTAAGATGAAGCGAGCAGGTGCTCGTTTATGGAGGCTACAATTTTAGATCATACCTTGTATACACTTGCGAGCGCGACGCGTACGAGACGATAAGGTCGCGCGCGAACATAATGATAATAACAACACTTGAAGACGTTAGTTCACGTTCAGATGAGTTATAGGGAGTTTTTCATTTTATTCAAAGCATTTTCTTGTTCGCGAAGGATGATTTTAGTTGATTGTAGGAAGTGGAGAATCTACGTGTCCAACAAGAACGTGTTGTTCACACAGGAAGAGAGTTTCGAACAATGACATTAGGCCATCGTGAGGCTGAGGAGATTCATTCGTAGATGGAAGTGCTCAATACAACCTTTCGTTTGGGTGTGCGTGCCCATTAACGAATACTCCTAGGATATTTTTGAAAAGGAGAATCCTTTTCCTTCCATCTCCTAATGATCTCAATGTCCTTGGAGAGACTAATGAATATCTTTGAAGAGATGAAGACCACGGAAAACTTGTTTGATATTAAATAAATTTGATTGTACTCACCGACTCTGACAGTGTCGACCTCCGCCACGTATCATATTCAAAAACGACGAGAAGTGTTGCAGGTAGTCAAAATTTGATTATAATATGCGTGTTGAGTGTGGGAATGGGAAACTAAATTCAATACCTTCTAAGTTGCGGCCAAGGCCAAGGACGTGCTTATGGCTTTTCAGAAGTATTATATTCTTAACATCTTCTCTCTCTGTGGTCTCTGAAGCCGCTCCTCTCCCTCTAATACTTCAAGAACAGGGTTAGTACTAGTGTTGTATCTGCTCAATTCAGCTTAACATCTTCTTGAATGATGACCAAGAAGCAGGACAGCAGAGAATTGTACTTGGTTATACTGGTAGTTAGAGGCAAACGACCGGACGCGAATAGTGAATGTGCATGCTTCCGGTCTTTTGTAACCTGAATTTGATCATAAGGGAAAACAAGAAGATGAGAACCCTTGTGATCAAATTCAGGCCACCAAATATCGGAACCATTCAGAAGGAAGGAAAGGTGACTATTTTAGAAGTCGTAAATGCAGCATTTAAAATGCTCATCGTGATGTCCTCGTAGGTGAGCTGACTATCTGAAAGCGCTAATATTGAGCGACAGGACCTCACTCGGCGATTAACCTCCCCAGTGCACCCGGATCTGCACACGGACAGTCACGTGAAGGCACTAGTAAGAAACTATACTATGAATATAAGTATGTTTAAAACAACGAATCAGCATTCAGATCCTATGCAAGTAGGCACACTATCCTATCCTGTCGTCCTATCCTATCCCATCCTATCCTATCCTATCCTGTGCTGTTTTCCTTCGTGGACCTCTTTTTTCTGTATCAGTCGTCATTGCACCAGCACACATACTGTCTGGGTGTGTGCATATCGAAAAATTCTGCAGCTTACTGCAGCACTGCTTGTTCTACATCTACTCTGTTCTTGTGATTTTAGTAGTACAGTAATGTAGTTCCAACTGGTTGAAAAGTTGACTTTCGAGCATCTTTTTCTTTATCTTGTTAACAACTCGCTGGCGACGTCGCCCAAAGAATAGAACAATAGATCTCCGAAGGAGCTGCAACGAATACCGGGAATTTTAGATGGATGCAGTCAACTAGTCATTTACTTTGCACCCTAGGTACTCCCCCTATGGCAAGACCGGACTCCGATGCGGAAGACAGGGGTACCGGCGACGGCGACGTTCCTGTGCTAGACAGTGAAGTTAAGGGTAGGTTTTCGGTCGTTCTTTGTTTTGACTCTCCACCCAAGGGGAACGAAGAGACAACAATCTCCCAAGGTTAAGGGTCAACCTTCAAAAGTCATAGGCCCTTCAGAAAGGGGCAAGAGCATAACAAGCGGGGGTTACTTGACTGAAGTAGGAACACCAAAAGCCGACCGCTTCTAATGGTTGCCCCGCCGCTGAGCCTGAGAAGGAACCAAAAAAGGAGGATGGAGGCTTCTTTGGTGGCTCGTGGAACTTGGTCATAATTATGAAACGTAGTAGTTATAGTTTACAAGCTATATTAAGTCTAATAGTCCTGACTTCGCTCCTTTTTTCATCACAACTGGTATCGATCTATGTACCTAGTTGCTAACCTTCTGTTTTGTGGACCGTGCCTTCTTGTAACTCTCTTCTACATGCACTCTTTCTTATGTGCCTACTGTGATTTCTTCTTATTCTTCGGTCGTAACGGTATCATCATGTTCATGTTGCCGAATAGATTCAAATCGTCTTGATGTTCATTCTTACTCTCTAGTCAGTTGGGATCGTCTTGATTTCTATTCTTAAGGCTCTCCGGGGGAGTAGGCCTCTTAGAGCAGAGCAGCTCTCGTCTCAGCCGCGACAGTGTAGCACCTCTAATTCGATCGCAACTCTTTGTGCCACATGCGTTGTTTCCTTATGAATAGGAAATGAAAAGGAATTATCTATCTAATACTACCTCCAAAAATGTATATTAAGTAGATAATAATCTACCTCCAAAAATGTATAATATCTAATACTGCCTCCAATGGAATTATACTTTATTATCCACCTCGATGTATAAGGTGAAGAACAATTGTTCAGAGGATCATCTCCTCCGTCGTCGTCAGCACTGAGTGACACTTGTAGCACGACCTCGACGGCACAGTTTTCATAGTCGTGAGTGCTCACTTCATCTCCGTAGGCGAGCCCATTCCTATTACCCCATCTTATCCCATATCCCATCCTATCCCATCCGGCTATCCTATCCCATCCGGCTATCCTATCCCATCCGTCTATCCTATCCCATCGATCCGTCTATCCTATCCCATCCGTCTATCCTATCCCATCCGGCTATCCTATCCCATCCGGCTATCCTATCCCATCCGTCTATCCTATCCCATCCGGCTATCCTATCCCATCCTATCCCATCCTATATCCTGGAATCCTATTCTTTCTTCATTGATGCTGCTGGGACTGATTCTGGTATCGTGCTGCAGTTGTGGAGGGGCTGCAGAGGCAGACGAGTTGGATTCTGAATTTCATTTGTCGACGCCAACGTCCCATTATGCTAGACAACGACTTCTGAAGTTTTTGAATACTAGACTGTAAGCGATAGTACCCCGGTTGTGGTTTTTTATATTTTACATGGCCATTGCTTAAATTTTTCTTTATAGCGTAAACGACCTCTAATATTGAATTTTGTGTTTTTTCCTAGTTTGTTAGGCTGCTGGCTCCACCGAAGATATGGTAATACTAAGTAGACTAAGCGATAGTTGTACCCCGACTACTGCTACTACTACATAAGTACTAAATTTATCTCTTCATCTTGATCTACAACTTGAAGATGACAACTTCTATCTATGCTTCATCTAATCCTTATCTTGACCTTTTGAATCATGACCACTGCTTTCAGATGAAAGCTATATATTATGATATACTGTTGGAGGTGCCGTTTGTTTCCTCATAAAAGGGTGGAAATAAAGGTGATCACCAGATGAGCAGGTGGGGAACAATATCCGGAGACTCGAACTCATCTAATCCAAACTGAAAAGAAAAGGTGGTTCCAGTAAAGGTCATCCTGACACACCGCGAGTGCCGCCAGCCTTAGGGGGTGGCAAGATACCAGCGGATGCTGGCTACGACGACTCATCCTCGCAGGGTTCAAATTACGAAACTAAAAAAAAATCGATTCGGGTCTAGTAAAGTCTTATTTACAACTTTAATACTTAACTGAAGAGCTACTGTAAATGTACTAAAGAACATGATGTAGATGTAGTACATGATGAGTAAAAAGAGTACAGAAGCAGATCACTTACACGACTTGACTTAAGTGAAGGAGAAGAACAGGACATCATAGTTGATCTGGGTATTTTAATTTCATCATGTAGATTTCTTGTACATGTGCATCATGTAGTATAATTATGAAGGAATTAATAAAAAGAATGTGATAAAGAAAATGATTGTGAAGATCTTCAGTGAGCAGGACTGTTTCAACATCTCGCTGATCATGGTCGACAATAATCATTTGAGATGCACTGATGATCATGACGAGGCTCGTCGTCCATCACCTAAGCCATCTAAGGCATTTGAGATGCACTGATGATCATGACGAGGCTCGTCGTCCATCACCTAAGGCATTTCCAGGAGTAATGAAACGAGGAGTCCTGGAAATGCCTTAAGTAGATGGCTTAGGTGGTCTAATTTACTCTTTCATCTATTCAACATTGGTAGTTGAGAACAGTCATTTGGTAGTTCACCCGTTGAGAGTAATCATGTGAGATGGTAGTTGAGAATAGTCATTTGGATTTGGTAGTTCAGCCGTTGAGAGTCATGTGAGATGCACTGATACTCATTTAAGATGCAGTGATGGCCATCTAAGGCATTTCCAGGAGTCCCAGCCGCGGCTCTTCACCAGCCAGCGGGAGCAAAACAAGCTCAAAGACCTCGCCAGTTGTACCAAATTATGGATCTTCTTTTTGATCATGATCCTTTAGTTCCGTCGTCGTGCTAAAAAGGATCTAATAAATGCAGAGTATTTATTTGAACCCTCACTCCATGGTTTGGTTTTTGGTTTTTACCTTAGAAAAGTTGAGGATGAATCTACTATCTAAGTGATCGTGCTAAGGATCTAAGTATTTTTGATGATCTTTTAGGTTGTGATAGATTCCAATTTTTATAATTCATTGCTCAGGAGGAGGACCCTGTTTTTTTTACATCAAGGAGACGTTCTGGTCACTACACAGGATTCGACGTTGTTTGTGGCTCTTCAATACATAGCCTCGTATGTCTATCTACACAGACCTCCTGACCGCACACTCTAAGTCAGTATCATGGATATTCCTCTGCCTAGGCGGAATACCAGATCGCGCTCATCAGATCTCGATGGCAGCGTTAGTTACGGCGTTCCCGTTCCTTCGACCAATTCACCGAGCGTTCCAGATTTTCTGAAAAACGACAATTAAGAGACAGTACCTAGATCGGAGTTTTCGCTCTTCTCCACATAATATGCGTCCCCGCATCTTCCCAGAGTTGTTAGGGTGAGTCTTCGCATGTTGACCACGACCAGTCAATATTATTGAAACCAGTCTTCAGGCAGAAGCACAAGCAATAGAGAAACAGTCAGAAGTGAATAGCAGAGGAGTTGGTCAATCAAACTCAAACAGTCAGGCAATCAAGAATCAGTCAGTGAATAGAACAGTCGTAATGATAACTGCATGCAGCTACCTAGTTGTGTGATACAACCTGAGATGATGCAGTTGTAGACGGAGGCTTATTAACTAAGTCTTTTAGTCTTACTTAATAAGTGTTAGTTATTATATAACTCTGACCTCAAGTTGAGCATGCTACTGTCTAGTCCTCTAAGAACCCTTGGATGGGGAGACCGGTGGTTCTTTTAACATACGCATACCAGATCCGAAGAGGACCGCAAAGACTCTTAAGAAAATGCAGTTCAGTTCTAGCACTGCAGTTGTTCATCTCCCGATTCCGATATTAGTTTAATAAAAATTGAAATGTTCTTTCTGTGCAGCTTCAGGAGTTTTGTAGTACCTGTCTTTTAACGTCAACAAGTAAAAAGGAGCATTACGTAATAAATTGATTCATGTACTAGAAGTGTTACCGAAAAATGAATACTGCACTAACACTATGCTGCTACAGCATCTCTGTCTATTTGCTAGTCAGTGTCGTGTTTCTTCTAATAATGCTAAGAGCGGACGGCGGCAACTTTCCGGTATCGGGAGTGGTCGCTTCAGTCCGACCAGCAAGCAAGGTGCAAAAAACGCGAAAGGGAATACGAAGGGAAACAAGCGCTCGCGAAGTGCGTCCACGGCAAGAGTTAAGGACTTGTAGACTCCCACTCCCTATAATAGAACTAGAAGCAAATTTTTGAATAGTCGCTCCATAGCTTGACTTTTGTTTTTTACCTTAGAAAAGGTATGCAGGTTGCATCAATCACACCTAACGCTAGCCTACTATTTCCAACAGCACGTAAAGCAACTTGTTCACATTCGTAGCAAGAAGCGCTTCCTTGTTGTCTCCTTGTCGCCTAAATGCATATGCAAGAATGGTAGATATTATCAAACCCAAATACAACAAGTACAAGTAGTAGAAGTAGCTAGTTCACCTCCTGTCCCGTCTCTCTACACAAGACCTTTACTTTTTTTTGAATCTTTCTAAGAAAGGCCAAAATGAGGAGGAGACCGAAGAGGGCGATCTTGGGTTCGTGTCAACACGCCAAGGCCGGCAACGAAGCAGTGTGTTATGAATTGACGTCGTAGAACTAGAAGGTCCTTAAAGTCGAACCGACTAACAGCATCCTCATGATTTGAAAACGAAACCATGAAAATCAAAGACTTATCAAAAGTGTACACTACGTACTAGGAGAAGAAATTGTGTGTTAATGTTGCTCCTTTTCCGGGAGACGAGTCTGCTCGATGTGCAGGATCGATATTTACCTATTAATACAACCTAACCTAAACGATCCTCGCTAGCTGGCCAAATAAGAATTCTAGCCAAGCTAACATTGTTGTAGCTAATGTTGTCATATCATTATCAATAACGATGTCCTGTTGTACTTAGATCTTTGTTCCCGCTTGCAGCTTTCATCATGTGGCGCAGGAGGATCGCCAGAAGATATTGAAACTCCTACCAGAGGCAGACCGCAGCAGCCGAAATTCTTATGGCCTTGTTGCAACTGTATTTGCTTGTTTCCGATATTGAATTTGAAAAATGAATCATTATATATAGAAGAAGAACTTTTTCCAGTTCGTCAGACGTCTTTACATATAAAGAATATAACCTAGTATTAACAGAAATTTGTTAGTTTTAACAGATAAGAAAAAGAATATACTTGATAGAAGATAACCTTTTCTTTTTTCTACCTTCCTCTGGTCTTTGTTTTTCTAGTTAGATCTGCTCCACTACAATATACATAGCATAGTACTTTGGTTTTCCTCGGTCCATCTTATTATTCTGGTCTTCTGCTCGATATAAATTGCTTTCCGTTTCGGTCTCTACCGACCTTCTAAGTTCCAAAGTACTTTGGTTTTCCTCGGTCCATCTTATTATTCTGGTCTTCTGCTCGATATAAATTGCTTTCCGTTTCGGTCTCTACCGACCTTCTAAGTTCCAAAGCAGCAGCGACTAAGGCGAAAGCAGGGAAGCGCAGTGCCTCTGCAAACGCAGCGAAGAACAAGAAATCGAAAAAATAGTCACATCGTTGATGTCATGAAGTTTATTCAGATTACAGAATTACTAAGTAGTTAGATTACGAGGACTAGCATTTGAATTTTTAGACTCCTAAATTTATATTTATTGCATCCAATCATGGCATTGTACCTAGCTGCACACTTCGCCAGTACCTGTAAGTCATGCTGCATCCAATGGCATTGTACCTGTAAGTCATGCTGCACACTTCGCCAGTAGTAAGAGTAGTAAGTCATGCTGCACACTTCGCCAGTAGTAAGCTGGATAGATTGTACCTAGTAGTAAGTCATGCTGCACACTTCGCCAGTAGTAAGCTGTAACCTATCCCCGACAAAGATGTAAATGTTGAGTCTTTCTCTTCTAAATGAAATGAATTTCCGTCATACAGATGTACTTCTTATTTGTTGTAGATTCCCTATTTCTAAATCTATCTTTTGGATGCATCAGGATCAGTACACATTCATAAGTCATATTCGTACAACTGCCATACAACATACATACAACGCGACAAAGCATCACATACTCATAAACAAACACAAACACAGTGTAACACACGGACTCCTTGTTCACAATTTTGAGATTTGGTATGCCTTAGTACCACAAATATTCGCAAATGTTGAAGTTATTTGATTCATTGTTATTTCTTCGTTCACGTTCATGATTCTACGAGTTATCATATTGATTCGTAAAAAAATCCACATAATTTTGTTTTTCGACTTCGTAAAAATCCACATATTAGATTTGATTGATTGAATCTTCATGCATGATCCTATTCCATTCCACCCTGTCGTTTTATCTTGTATATATAATAATGAGCATGTAGTTCTGGTGACGTATTGTGTTGTAGTAAACATCCTCGAAAACTACACTGTACTATGCTGAAAAGGTCCGTCGTGGCGGGTTTGATTGTCAAAGACAGATATAGTTGGCTCTCATTCTCCAAGAGTAAAGGGCAAGGGGGGGTTCGCCTCTTCTTCACCTTTCAGCCGACGCACCTATTACCACGGTGAAATCCCCACCCTCAAGAAGATGTTGACACACATTTATGAGAACTCTCGACGTCCTGCCATTTCTGTTGGTGCTTCAATGACCATTCAATGTGGTCCTGGTTAAAGAAGTCCTGCCAGCACGTGTCTACAACTTCATAAAGTGTGTTCATCTTGACGTAGCATGAAGTCGGCTGCTTCTCGTAGGATCTAGAAGGATCGTTCCTTGTAGTAGGACCGAAGCATTGCTGAAATTAAAATTATGGAAGAACGGTTTTCTCTTTTCAACTCTATGTATCCGTGGCACTTTATTTTCTGGGGTCTACTTTGGGGTCGTCGACGTCTTGTTCACTGGTCCGACTTTTTACAGATGATGAAAGAATCTGTGCTCTCAAGAAATTCTTGTGCCATCTCAATTTAAATGGTATTTCTCGTGTCAGTTCAGATGATCATGGAATATCATAGGGTCTTGCTGTTGAAACGCCTCGAAACATCGTTTTTCGGTGTCAAAATGATAACACCCGTCAAAAGAACCACATGCAGAGGAGATAGTTTGCTATATCCGCGCGATTCTGGTGAATGTTAAATGACGATTGGTGAATATTCTATGGTTTGTTCCATGTCGATCTCCATTAGAACGCGAAGCTACTTAGGTGTAGGTTTGAACTTCCTGCTCACGATGGCGCAGTAGATCGACTGACTTCTTCTTTGCTCGCAACACCAGAAATCAACCTGTATCTCATTAACGGCACCTAGCAATAGGCAGCAAGAACACTATAAATTCGAATTATATAATCTTGGCTTCTCCCTTTTTATAAGGTTGAGGTTTAGGTCTAGCGGCGCTCAAAGCACTAAATAAAACAACCGGTAAGTTTTACCTCTAGAGACTTAGCCCTTTCAACAATATATAATCTGCAAAGAAAAATAAGAAACAGCACGAGGAGAAAATATAAATGGCCTCGTCTTCTTCGTCTTCGCTGCTCCTGACAGGGAGTGGGCCTTCTTCGTCTTCTTCGTCCCTGAAGCGAGGAAGAGAACCCGAAGTCGAGACCGAGACTTCACTGATCGACTTAGCAGTCCCCGATGAAGTTCCGGACGAGGAGGAGATCATGCGCCTGCTTGAGGCAGGCGGCGACGAACACTTCGAGGAGTTCAGTGTTAAAAAAGCGCTTGCACAACTCGAAAGGAAACTGAAACAGAATCAGGACTTGCGCATCCGCTTTGGGGACGACCCGGCTGCGTTTGCCGAGAGCGAAGTTGAACTCAATGAGGGGCTGTTGAAGCTGAAGGACTTAGCAGCTAGTGGGGCAGAGGCATTCGAGGAGTTCCTGAAGCTGAATGGCTTGTCACTTTTGTTATGACGAGAAAGCAATGCAACTACTTTTCAATCTCTCTGTATAACATCAAGTAAAAACTAAAGAAGTAGCACACTACCTAGTGTTATAAGTAGTCGAATGGACGATCGGCAGAATTGTAAAGGTTGCTACCTTCCTTCCGCTTAAAAACTTCCACAACTTCTAACTCCCCTCCGTTGCATGGCGCATGTAAATACTGACATATCGATATGTGTCTTGGAACTGTTAAACGCACTGACGGAGACTGACAATTTCGAATTGGGGGACGAGGACCAAGTCGGAGGCTCAAGCAGTAGCAGCTCAGTTATGAAGATGAAATATAATGTAACTATTTCGCGTACTTTCGTCCATTTAACGTTAAAGACTTGTAATAATATTCGGACCCACGTCTTGATATTCGAAGGTTTGGACACTAGTCTCAAGCAGCACTGGTGCTGTCAGTTTTCTTTTTCCTGGTAGATCGATCCCTCTACAGAAATCCACAATCCATCTCTCTTCCCCCCACCTCCCACACCACCTCCACCACCACGACAGCCCGCGTTTTCTAATACGTCCCCCGGTCCGCAAATGACTCCAGCAGAACGCTTTGTGGATGCCATCGTTACAGCGAAAGTACCAGAGATGGTGTTGGATACTATGTTGAGAATAGGAGACGCAGCAGGGGAGGAAGAGATTCGTGGAATTCAAGAGGCGTTTGGCTTCATAGAAAACATAGTCGAGATCAAGCCAGACGTCGTCAAAGTCTTTGCTCAAGTACTGCCTTTTGATTCGATGGAGTAATAGGTCGGAATAGGTTTCTTTCAAATTCGATGTGAGTTTTTGAAGTCTGCTGATTATATTTGAATCTCGATGGTTTTTGAGTTTGACTAAAGAGCATTCGATAATTTCAATAACCTAACATTTTTAAGAATTGATGTAGCCAGATCCTTCATAAAGGTGAATATGATAGACAACCTTCCTCGACAACAACAATAGATGAAGAATTTTCTTCCTTGGTTGCTGAAGCGGCTACGAGGTGACGGAGCTGCCACAAGGCATTACGCGGCAGAGATTTTGTCGATCATTTTGCAGAACGACGTGTCTGCCAGGGGAGACTTTGGAGTGCAGAATATGGGCAGATTATTGAAAACGGTAGCGGGTTATAGGCGAGACGAACTGACAGATAACCTGGAGATAGAATTCGCAGAGAACGTTTTTGACTGCCTTTGTTAAGGCTACCGCTGGACCATATCCTGAATATCATCCTTGACCCTTTTTTCAAGGAGAAAAAGGGACCAGGGAGGTTCTCGGGGATGCGAGCGCGGTAGCTCTAACTTTGCCAGGTTTTGCTTGTGGACACGCACCAAGACGGTTTTCTGAAGGAGCAGGGGCTGGATCTCATGATTTTATGACTTGTTATCGTTTGACCAATACGAATTAGAAAAAACATGATCTTTTCGATTTTCATACAGGACGGAGCACTTGCGCGTTACCTTGATCTCGGTGTTGATTTGATGTTAACATCAACTCCCCCTCCATTTTGTCCTTGTCCATCATCATCATCATCATCATCCGATACCCTGTTCTGCCTGCTCTAATTATCCGTATAATGAATCGCGCCAGCTACGCATCGAAGTTGGCATTGAAGGTTGCGGATATGGCCTGTAGAGGGCATAAAGAGAATTGCAACAATTTCGTGGAGAAGCTAGGATTGAAGCCACTCTTCGCATTCTTCATGCGGAAGGGACTGAAGAAAAAGGTACTCATGATGCTTTCCTTAGTACACCTATCATCTTCACTTCCGCGTTAGTCTTCGTGGGTTACTAAAAGCAATGACAAGACAAACTTGACGTCCATGGGATCATCAAGTTGAAAGTAGGATGATCATATCATATTTTATTACATCTGTGACTCACCTCAAATTAACTAGTTATTTCCTTCCTAACTTTCACTGGCACTTATCTCACGCTTCATCCTTTATTACATCAGTGATTGTGATAATCAGTCATCAACATAATCGTGGCACCATGATAGGCATGAGTATCCAAATGCATTTGACATTTTTTTACAACAGGACCTCATCGAGAGCGAGGAATATATTCTGGGCTTGATGCAGAGTCTGACGAGGTATTGTACTGGCGACGCGCAGGCGCGATTGATGAACAAGTTTACAGAAAACGAGTTTGAGAAATTGCAGCGGTTGTTTGAGGTGCATTTGGAATTTTCCCAGAGACTTAGTTAAGGCCCAACTTTCATTGGTCATAGAGGTTCTTGGTCACTGAAATCGAAGAGGGTCCCCTTGAAAGAACAGGGGAAAATGAAGGGAAAGGGGAGAGCCTTGGGGGGGGTCTCTTCCGTTCAGAGTCAGTGGCCAGCGAATGCTGAGCTTTAACTTAGGTTAGCTGATGAGCAGCGCGCGGAAGGCAGAGAACTTGTGAAAGAGGACCTCCAGCTAGAGGAGGAAGACATCTACCTAGAGAGGTGCGACGATGGTCTCGCGAGCTTACAATTGGCGGATTTGACGATCATTCGGCTGGCGAATATGGGAAATAGACAAGTGGCGGATGCAGTGCAGGCGTTGTTTGCCTTGAAGGGGGTAAGCAAAGCGGAAATGCGGGAAATTTTGGAGGAATACGTGGCGCACTTGGACCCAGACCTAGGCGCGAAAGATGCCAAGGAGATCAAACGGCATACCGAGGAGGTACTTGGGAAAAAAGGCTGATCAATCATGTTACAACGACAAGAGATCGGGTGCTTGAAGGAGAGCATTCTCGGGACACCTTGTAAAAGGGAGATGAAAAGAAAAAAGGAGATGAGGTGGATGAAGAGGCCTGCCTCATCTGGCTACTATCTTTTGGTTAAGTACATTTTCCAAGAAAAGCATGCGCCCCCCATGCTGATATTAATTTCCACCTCTGATCTTACTAGATCAACTTACGAGCCACATTCCACTTTCATGTTCATACCGATTTCGCCTGAAGACATGACACCGTTGTTTCGCTGCGGTGTCCGTCATGTGTTCCACAACATCATATCTAAGACTCACTCAATCATCGATGATGTGCGAAGTCTCAGTCCTGTTGTCAAAGAATCTCACTTTCTTCGTCGTGAAAGGAAGCTACAAGGACAATACGCTTCTTCAGTTTATTTGACGCTTGAAAAGCCACCCGAAAGGGTAGGGATCACTGAGACAGAACAGAAGTAGTCGGTGCTATCTAAAACAGCTGGACAAGGGAAAGGCGGATTCTCAAGCAGCGACCTTCCACGTTGATCTGCCAGAACTTGGGAAGTTATTTTTCGATCAATACAAAGACACGGAGCAGCAGAAATGGGAGGTCTAATAGGGATCCCTTTTAAGTAAAAACGCGCAGAGAGCTGACCGCCGGTACACGCAGTTTCTGTTTTTCAGGTACGATGTAAGGTTTCGTTTTGTTCAAGATAGTCCATCTTTATTTCAGTCCCGTGCATGAATATGTATCGCTCTCTTTCTGTGTTTTGCTCGTTAGTAAAAAGAAAAACATGGTGAAGACAAAATTCTTGTGCTTGGTCCCCCGTGGTTAGTTGATCAGTCCCGTTGACGCATGGTTCTTCGTTGACGCCGCATATCACAGACGGACACGCAGTAGCACAGGCGGCCTCACTTTGTAGGCCCCGAATGTCGACGACGGACCTTGAGATGACCGACGGGCTTCCATGCACTTTCTATCGTGCACGAAACGATGTGAGCAGCCGAGTGTTGAGCGTTTGCCTATAGGCCAGTCTGAACAGAAAGACGAGGAACATGCTGACTGCTGCACCCCTGAGCTCGTTCGACGAGCTTCCCGCTCCGCTGTTGAGCGCGAAAGACATCAACAGGAATGCGTGTATCTGGACAAGCGACGCGCACTGGGGAATGCGGCTACCTGGGGATCGAGCCGATACGTTGTATGAGAAACTGGGTCACCCTATCGGTGAGGGTACTTACGGAACAGTCTGGAAAGCAAGGAGACGGCTGTTGCCTGATGGAGGTAGTGCCTTGCCGGCGTTTCTTCATCAGAAAAGGGGAAGTTGTACTAAGAGTCCAAGAAAACAACCTACTGAAGATGCTCCGCATCGAAGTCCAAAAAGTCTTGCTGTAGTTGTTGGCGAGGAAGCTACTACATCAAGTTCAAGTTCTGTTTCTGTTGTCAAGAAAGAGCGTTTGCTTGGAGAGAAAGTTTCGCGTTTGCTTGGGGAGACGATTCGGGAGACGATGTTATGCGACTTCATCCTTTCTACTTGATAGGACAAGAATACGAATCTTCGGAGAAGTCGTATCTTGGAAATGCTTCAGTCTAATTTAGGGCAACCAGGCAACGGACCAATGCGAGCCTAAACTTTTCGCTATGAAGCGCGTCAATTTGCGGAACGAAAAAGAGGGGTTTCCACTGAGTGCGATAAGTTAAGGAAATCACATTGATGATTTATAACATTTAACTAAAAAGACTAGTTAATTATAGTATGAAGACAGTTTCACCCCGCAACAAATGATGGAAACATGAAAGTCGTTAAGAAAGGTCGCTATAAGGTTCGTTTCTCGTCCCGCCGTATCAAAGAAGCTCCTTCTAACGACTACGACTAAGTACATACAACACATGATCAGTAGAGTCAGTACTTCTACTTACGTTGTGTCTTCTATAGTACAGTTTTTTCATCTAATGCACAGAGATCCGCTTGCTTCAACGATTGCGACACGTAAATATTGTGGAGTTGGTGGACGTGGTTTGGACTCCGCAAGAGCGAAGTAACAAGTTTCGCGGAACCGTGCACTTGGTCTTTGAATTTGTAGAGCACGACTTGACCGGTCTCCTCACGTACCGGAAACGGATGCTTTCGTTGCAAGAGACGAAGAACATGGCGCGTCAAATTCTCTGCGGACTCGCGTTTCTTCATGATTATGCTGCGTTGAAACTACTGGCTTTGATGGTGTCATCGTACATGTTCTTGACTAGTACCTCCTAGTAAACTCCCACTCAGAAGTTCTTGGCTCAACGAGGGGCAATTTTTTTAAGTGATACGTGCGTGGATACCGGTAAAAATGGTTGGATGCTCTTTCCCCTATCCGCTAATTGCTACAGCAGATCGTGCATCCCCTATCTAATGGTTGGATGCTCTTTTCCCGCTAATTTCTACAGCAGATCGTGCATCGGGATTTGAAGAATTCGAATGTGCTGGTTTCCAATCACGGCGTATTGAAATTGGCAGACTTCGGGCTTTCGCGTTACCTTGAGGATCCTGCTCTGAGTGCAACTGCGATCCTTCCGATTGATGAAGATTGTTTCTCCACAGACGATGAGGAGGACGAACATGCAGATGACGACGTTGATGAGGCACAGGGAGAGGCTCAAGAAATCGCAGATAGAGTAGACGCTGAAGATGGGAAACTTAGCAACGGTCGCGGTTGTTCGACGTCTCGTGGTCTGCTGGGAGGTTCACCTCCATCGCTGAAGCGACAAGTTGCTCATACACGTGCAACTTCGTCGGGTATCAAGCCCACCAACACTTCTAAGCTTCCACGGACTAGACAGTTGCAAACGTATGTGCCTCCAGCGCGTGCACCAGAGTCGATGGGCGCACTGAGGGAAGAAATTGGGAGTTCTACTACTTGTTCGACGTCTGGTGCATTCATACGCTCACGAGCAAACTCTGCGTCCACGACCACGAGCATAACACAGACAGAGCCCCATGTGCTGCGGACTAATCGCGTAGTAACCCTGTGGTACAGACCACCGGAGCTTTTGCTGGGATGCAGGCTGTACACACAAGCTGTCGATGTGTGGTCCGCTGGATGCGTGATAGCTATGGCGTGACTATAAGAGTTCATCATGTGCTGGTGTAAAAACGCGGCTATTGCCAAATAAATCGATACATCATAGGTACAACATCCTCGTCGTACTGCTTACAGTAGTTACACATTCGATCGATATGAATACTTATGTTATTAATGTACTTAGTTTTTCCTTCACCATCCTCCGTCCTCCGTCCTAAGTTCTTGTGTTCCAGTTGTTCCTCCCTCATGCCTTCATTCCTCGTGAGTTGCTTCTTGGCCGTCCACTTTTTGCTGTGGAGAATGAGAAGAAGCTGTACTACAAGATATCCGAATTTTGTGAGCGGCCGACCGCAACCACTTGGCCAGACTTGTATCAGCATTCGGAATTTTATCCGCTCAAGGAGAAGTTCCATGACGTTTTACTTCAAGACATGCTAGGGGAGCGGCGGATGATCATGGCAAAAGAGCTGCAATACTTGCACCGAGATGCAGAAGAAAGTTATGACGTGCTGCTGGGACTGAGTTGAAATTGAATAAGCTAGTACATGAAACCCACTCTGCTGAGCTCCTTACTTGAATCGTTGTAATCCACCACCCAGGTTGAAAATTATGAAAATGATGATGAAGAAGTTCAACTTCTGCGTTAAATTTATTTCTGTTCTAACAGGTGGCTGATTTCGACGTGCTAGACCGGATTTATACGCGCGTGTGCACTACTTTGGGCGCATCATCTACGAATGCAGTAGTTGCCTCGAGAGGAGGAGGTCCCACTCCCAACGACCTCCGGGCAGTCTCGGGAGCAGGTGGAGGATCATCTTCTGCTGATCCATCTTTAGGAGGAAATACAGCTGATCCATCTTTTAGGAGTACAAATAAAGTGCTAGTAGAACGAGTAGAACGAGAAGCGCATCAGTTTTTGTTTCCGGCTGACATCGAATTGCCGTTCCAAGAAAATTTTGGGACAACGGGAAGGAAAAGTGACTTCATGAAAAAGATGCTGTCGATGGACCCTTTGCTGAGAGGGACTGCGGCAGCACTCTATTCACACCCTTTTTATGGTTTCCTCAGTTTCTAGCATAGATCTGTAGAAGTTTATAATGTGCTGGTCTCGCGGCAGGCAGGCTACGCTTCCGAGTAGTTCTGTACTTCTTCGTTCGCTACGCCGTCGCAGCTAGCGTCCTGGGATCACCCTTCCGGCGGTCTTGGCATTTACAAAATTAAATGTCCTGAGGCCGCTCCTTCAGTAGCCCCAGGATACAAAAAAAAAAGTCCTGGCTGATGCGAGACCCCCTGAAATCTGAACCAGTACACTGTCTCAAATCGATGCACATGCAGCTGCATTCGGTCTTGTCCACCTCTGCTCCCCTCTAACTTCTTCTGACTTCCGAAGAGCCCTTGCCTTGTGAAAATGCAAAGATTAAGTTGAACAAGAACCTCAATTTGCACGAAAAGGAGGCAAATCGCATACGAGAACAGGACAAGAGGAAGCGGGAAAACAGAGAAGAGGAGAACCGAAAACGCATGCGCACGCTCGCTGCTGCTGGAGGAGGTGGTGGCCCGGTTTTTTAGTCAAGAATTCGCATGAACGCAAACAAAAAGTTTCCCAGGCGCCTGAACGCAAAAGGACCCCAAGACCGCGAGAACAACATCTAAAACGCGTCTTGGAGGAAGCGCAGGTGAGCACACAACGACCTTCGCTCGCATGGCCGCACACAAAGCTGCTGCGGAACGAAGTTTCTGATCGACTCAAGAACATCAACAAAGTTTGGCTTTGGACGCTTCGAAAACGTGGAGCATCTACAAAGAAATGGACAACGCTGTGCCCACCTGTGTGACGACTTTCGAGTACGGGACTACAGAACTCGGTGTCCTCTTTGAGTCGTTGTTTTCTCCATCCTGAAGAAAACTTCTAGGGCGGGAACTGCACCTGGAACAGCAGTCGAGACCCACACCTGACAGCATCGCAAGTGCGCAGACAAAACTCGTGATAAGTAGATACATTTGTTCCTTCGCATCTTCATATGGATCCAACAAATGATATCTCAAGGTCCTTGACATTCACGCACGAACAACTGCGATGTTTTACCATACTTCTACGCATTTAAGTATATAACTAGGGAAGTTGCTCCTCTGGACCCCACGTGGCAAATATAGTGGGCTAGGAAGTTCCTCCTTACTGCACCAAGATTTTTTTAGCTTCCTTGACTATTTTGAAAACGAGAAAGAGAGAAGAAAAACACTCAAGCAGCTTGAGAGGCTCAAAGAGTTGCAACGTCGAACGCGAACGAGAATAAGAGTGAGCGCTGTTTTTTGTTGTTGTTGCATTTTTTTAAGATGTGAAAGCCTTTACGCGTGTACAGTAACCCGAGGCC